GCTAGTTGTTGAAAATTTTTCTAATATTATTATTTTCTGTAAACAACATGTTTCCATTAAAGTACTGATGTAGCAGTATCAGATAAAGGAATAGAATTGTGTGATATAATTTTAGATAAATATTTCTATTATTTGATATAAGTTTAATTTATGTTCCACTTGTAATGTTCATAAAATCTGATAATTAAATAAGTGAAAAAAAAATGTTGTACTTTTATTACATACCATAAAGTTAACAAATTCATCAATATACTATGCAATATGCACTTGAATGTTTAAGGTATGATACCAATCAGAATCGAGCCGAGCCAACTGAGGTCAAATCCAGAACATCGTCAAATCACGTGGCACGCTATACTGGATGATCTCGAGCCATCGCACATTGTCTACCTTTTTTTTGGTATCGGGGGAGAAAATCTTAAAAAGATACCCTGCCACCTTATATGACAGGGTTACGTGGGGTTTGTACCCACTAAATCCCCCTCGGTGGCCAGCGTCTGTACGTTCTGAGGGACTCCGGGATCTCCCACGGAACGCACTGGTATCCCTTGGTAATACGCGTGAGCACGCCTCTGAGAAGGATAAACCTTCCCCGATTCCCTCAACATACCGCAACAGCTCGAGACCACTTCGTACTAGTCAGTGTCGTGTCTCCTTTTAATCGCTTTTACGACAGGCAGGGGATAACTTAGCCCTATTCTATGAGCCCGAGACTACGGGGCGGTTCGTCTGTTTCTGCCGGCCCGGACAGTGCCAACTTACAGGCAATTATCCCGAAATATTAATGTAAGGTAAACTAACCTACGAAGACTCCGAATAAACCGTAACAACTCAGAGTAACAATGTATGCCATCTCGTGATTACATCGATCCAGTTCACGTATCGCAGGTAGACCATCTGTCTTATTGAACATACATGGCTGCATTACCATCAGTGGGCGACCCTTTGAATTATAACCTCAGAAGATGTAAAAACATTTTGAAAAATCAAATCCAGTTCCCTATAAAATAACAATAATAAATATTTTAATATATAGTCTTATCGTTATCTAGTCCCAAACCAAGCAAAACTTATATTATTCAAAACTAAGCAAAACTTGTATTATGGATAATAATTGATAAAAATACTTAAGCACGTTTGTAAAACGAAAAATGGTTTCAAATAAATACATACTTATTATAGGTGTATAAACACCCAGATACTCGAAAAACACAAAATTATCCAAATATTTTGTTCATCACATAATATTTTTCCAGTAGTGGGAATCCAACTCGCACCCTTTCGGGCAAGGAACAAGTCCGCTATCAATTACGCCAATCATCACACAAATTCAATATCACAAGTTATCAATTGCCTGGGGAAGCTGTACGAGCGCACCATCCTCAACAGGCTTATGAACTATGTATTTTTAATGTAAGAAGGTATCGAGGAAGCTGCTAGTATCCCAGTTACCTCACTTACCAGGCGAAACACCGAAGTATAAAACTTCTACTTCACGCCGGTCGTCTGTGAGCTCATGTTACTTCCACAGACGGACATGCCCATTCCTGCAACAGCGACGACTGCTGCGTGGCCTAACGACGGTAGGAATACTTCAAGGGCCAAAATTCATTCAAGGCTCACTCCCCAAAACAATTCGGTTTACGGCCCACTCACTTCTGCCCCGAATAGATTTAGGACGGCGTGCATACTAAAAGGTCTCAACAACCCCAAAAAACATTACCACCTGAGTTCTCCACAAAGGCCACTATGACAAATTACAAATTAGAATTTGTTACAATTTTAACTTACGTTTTTACTGACACGCTCATATACACAAACCAAGCTTTCGTGTTAAACTATTCCTTTTGTTATTTAGTAGAAAGCACGCTCTCTACGAGACCTATTACGGCGGACGCTCCTCAAGGTTATTGCACCTCCCCTTTGCTATTTTCGCCAAACGCGCTTTTTGCGAATGAAATTAGGGCTATTTCATTCGTAACAAGCGCGTTTTTGAATATTATTGGATGCAGACATACAAACCTAGATAAACGCGAGCCTCTACAAACGTCGCCCGCGCAATGTTCTCTTCGACCTGACTGAGAAAGCATAATATATCTGGTTATCCCACGAATTCTGCGTTGGAGCTTTAATAGTTTTAGGAACTGTAAGGAAGATATCAGTTAAGGTATAATAAAAGTATGGTACAATTAAGAACATTTAAACATTTATTATTTAAACCGTCATATCTGCTGATACACAATAATCTATTTTATAATAGAAACTTAACAATTGTAATGAAACGATTAGTTTTACTTATAAACTTTTTCTGTCGGTATTTATGGTATGAATTTTTGAGTCACTGATCGAGATCTTATCTGCGAGTTGTAGCTTTTAAAATAGCCTCGTATTAATTGACTCCTAAGTAAGAGTCGCAATTTTTTAAAGAAATAATTGCATACCGTCTCCAAATTAGTTTGCATTTTAATGCCTACTAACTGGTTACAATAAAATTTTTACAAAATCATCGTAATAAACATTAATGTTTATTTTATAACTTTCTAGCTGAACCGGCAAGCGTTGTTTTGCCATATAAATTATTTGGAGAAAAAATGTTTGGGGAGGACCACCCTTAACATTTACGAAAAATAGAAGTTGTCCGATTCTCCACCCTGGCCGATATGCACACAAAATTTCACGAAAATCGGTCGAGCCGTTTCGGAGGAGTTTAATTACAAACACCGTGACACGAGAATTTTATATATTAGAAGATAAAAATGTAAAAATGTAAGGAGTCATACATATAAGTATATAGTATAACTGACAAAAATAACTATAATGGAAATATGATTAACTGGATTAATTGATGTTGTTAGGCATTCGGATAATCAAATAAACAAATTAAACTTATCTATACAGATAAATAAAATTGGAGTGTCTGTTTGTAATATTAATAAGCGCTTTTTACTAAAAGCATATGGATGTATACACGGTACATATACCAAAATAACATTTTTTAGCAATTTTGTCTGTCTGTCTGTCTGTCTATTTATTCGGGGTCATCTCTGAAACGGCTGGACTGATTAGGACGGGACTTTCACTGACAGATAGCTGATGTAATAAGAAGTAACTTAGGCTACTTTTATTTTAGAATTTTTTATTTTAAATTCCACGCGGACGAAGTCGCGGGCACATGTTTATTAAGAATGTTTATTGGGGTAAAAATTCCGAACAGTACGTCTCGTTTTTCAAGCTAGAAAAAAAAATTTATCGATAGAGAGATCGTAGAACATACATGAAAACCAAGGCAAACACTTACTTTTAATAAAAAAAAATATTTAAAACTTGTTATTTTCACTAAATAAATCCGCCATTTTATGTTTGACAACATGTATAAATTTACGAATTCACACACTTTTCCAAATTATAACCTTCGCATTATTAAAAAAGAGTCTTTAAAAATACTAAAAGTACTGTTACACTAAAGTTTTCTGGGTGGTCATAAAAAAAGAACCTAACAACGAAGGCTAAGCACCTAACCTATCCGAGTCGGATCGCTGGATCTGTGACTCATTTTGAACCTAATATTCGAGACATTAAGTGTACACTAAGTCACAAATTTTAAATTTTAGAAATTGTTAATAATACATGTTCATGAAGTAGAAACTTGTGTTTTTGTGATATATCTGTGTATTTGTGTCTTCTTACAACGTAAAAAGTGAAAACGTAAGTTTTTAACTTAAAATAAGTCTATAATGAATAATGGACGCACAGTAATGACGGATTTCAGTTGTATGAAATTTAAAAAGTATGTTAATTTTTTTCCTCATAATCTAGTGGTTTTCATTGATTAAAACTTATATAATATTTAGTTATTAACATTCCTCTATAGATTAAAATTTTTTTCTAGCTTGAAAAACGAGACGTACTATTCGGAATATTAGCCCATATTGGAACTTATTACGTATGCACGTATTTATGTACATACATATTTCCTTTAATTACATACATAGGTACTTACTAGAGTACTGCAACCTTAATCATGAAATAGAATATTTTGGTAGTTTAATTTAATTAAAATAAACTGTATTTGTCATTCGACGTAAGCCACTTTTTCTTTTCATTGCTTCTACGTCATTAATTCGTTTGTTTTTCGGACCACTTGAAACCTTTTTCTAGGGCTGGAAGAACTTCATGAAGATGATCCTGAATTGTTTTCTACGGTTAAATTTTCTATTGTTTCATCTTCCTATATTGCCTAAAAGTTTGAATAATCGCGAATCCGTATGAGAGCAGGGTGATCGAATTTTTACTGTAATAAACATTACATCGTGTCGTGTCATCTAGGTACTTACGCAACATTTTACTTTTGTTTGATTTTACTTCAGCAGCTTGTATGTAAATGATTAGAAAATAAGGCTCGTATATCGATACTAAATGAAACTATGTTTTATCGCGTTTATTTTTTAGTTAAAACTAAAAATAGTTTAGTTTTAATTAAAACTAAAAATAAATTTAAGTAATTCGTACCTAAACATAGTTTCATTTATTAATGTGTAATTTCAATTCCATTCCAATAGACTGACTTAAAATAAAACGTTTTGTTATAACTTATTAATAATGCACAAGTAAATGCTTTGGTTCATTACAATCATACTTTTGTATCATAAAAATAAGACGCCATTGGATATCTGATTAGGAACGCTATACAAGTGCAGACCGTTTGAAAGCATAATAAACTGACCGTCAATCTCACTTCTGACATTGGGCCTAGCTTTATGAGAAACAGATTTATTAACGTCATATTATTTATTTTTATGCTTGTGTCATCTTCAAATTTATCAATTAGGTGAAACCAACTAAATACACTTATAATCAACTTACTGAGGAAATTCAAATCATTTTTATTGATTAAGGTCCTACTTGCTTGGAGTAAATCGGTCTCCGCGCTATATTTGGGCAACCGATGTCTAGGACATGGTATTATGTGGAAAAGTTGAGGTACTGAGTAAACGAAATTAATAATCTGAGGAAAGAAAAACAATAGAACTGTCTTGCTAAAATGACTTAGAATACCCACTACGGCAAAGGTCATACCCGATACATAGCAGAATGTGTCCCCGACGAAAACTTTGGAAGGGTACCTGCAATGAAAAAAAGCTACTAAAATATGGCTTAAATCATATTCAATAATAATTAACGAAGTTTTACGAACGCAGCATAGTCGCACAGTGGCCCGGCGTTTGTTTACGCGGCAGCCGAACACGCGACTCGATAAACCTTTTACCGTCCCTACCAAGCCCAGATCCGAGCATCCGAGAGAAAAGCCCGGACTACTCTATCATTTCTCGATAAGGTAGGTTAAACAACTTTTAACAAACTTTTATTATTAAAAGCTATTATTTAACTAGACTTGTTTTTTTAGTGAGAGACAAATCTTGGAACTGTATTTTAAACCAGTCAACCTGAACCGATTGAGCTGAAATTTCTTCTAAGAATATTAGTAGTAACGATTTAAGTATTTTATTGTTTACTTTTCACTTTAATTCTTGTCTATTTTAGAAGCCTTGATTATTCTTAAATACAAATAAATTAAAAGCAAATGAAAAAAAGGATTTGTTATTTTAATAAACTATATTTTAGTTTATAGATCTAGTTGCATAAACATCATCCTCCTCCTGCCCTTATCCCATCTAGGTGGGGTCGTTCCTGCATGGGAGTAAGAGCGGCGGATCCTATACGATAGGATCGTTGAGGACTTTTTCCTACAGCAGCAGTAGCAGTGCTGGCGGAGAACTCTGCTTGGAGGGCACTGGTCTCCTTCTGTGAAGCTGTTATGCTCCGGAAGGAGATACCGACCCAACTCGGTCAACCCCGCTCGGAGACGGCGGCGCCATGCCGTCAGAAACAGACATGCTGCCCTAAGGACTAGAACTAAGGTATCCGATGCCTATCGTAAAAGGATCAACTAATTATCGATAAGGGGATAGTTGAGTTCATAGACTAGCAATAGTGCGAAGTGCTATGCAAGATTGAGAAGGAACGGGGAGAGGTATACCAGTGCGGTGCAGGCCACCGGGGGGGTTTTAGTGGGTACGAGCCCCACATAAACCTTTCATGTGAGAGGTGACAGGGTATCTTTTGAAGATTTCCCCCCTAAAACAAAAAAGTTGGGGTCGGCGCAACATGTGAATTTTGTTGAAAGCGCTTTTGGACATATTTTTTTAAGACCGGCCGCCTATCTAACGTCTAGAAGGGTCCTTGGCAAACCAACACCCAGAACCGGAACACAAATTCGTGGCTCGTGTGGGAATCGAACCGTAAGTTCGACCCACGACACCGAAAGCCAATTTTTCATAAAAATATGAATGTAAAAAGCGAATCTCGTTATGACGTTGAAATAAACACTACAGGGATAATTTTTTTACAACAAGTAATACAACTAAAAAGAACTAATTGTTCAAATTACGTAATTAAATAAAGGTTTAAGAATTATTTATTATTTTGGGTTACTCAAATAGTACCTACATAATTGTTTTGTTGTAAATTGTATTGTGAGCATTATTTCATTGCGATATATATTTGTATCCTTTTATCGCGTACATTTATAAAATAAATCTATAGATAATTGAGTTAATCGGAAAAATAATAACTAAAAGAAAATTTCTTCTTCTTCCTACTTTCACTAAAAAGCATGCATAGTTTACGTTAAAGCGGCGCTGTAATATATATTTTTATGATGTTTTTTTTTTATTACAAAGCATTTTATTTTAAAGTATCATGTTTTAATTGAATATCGATTTATACATTTCCCAATATATAATTGTACCGACTTGATTCTGATATACCTTAGACTTCACAGGGCTGTCACATCCATAGCACATAATAATGATTCCTAATAGGCCGGCATCGGTACGTTCGGTACGCATTTACAATTCGTTAATTATACAAATTGTGATTGGGCCACAGAACAGTGTTCGCTGTTGCACGAATGGGCATGTCCGTCCAAGTAAGTACCACCAGAAAACTTCTGCGTTTGGTCTGGTAAGTAAGATAGATGGCAACGCATCTGCAACAGTACAGGTTTTGCAGATGTTTATGGCATGGGCGGTTATCACATAATATCAGGTGAACCATGAGCTCGCTTGCCACCTTCTTACCTAAAAAAACCAGGATGATATTGGAAGTTTTTACTGGTGAGTTCAAAACATTGTCAATGAAGCTTTCTCTTAAATTTTAAACGGGGATTGCCACAACAACGAAAATATCAACAAAGTTTTTTTCTCATTTTAAGCAGTGAATATACTTGACTAAATATAGCTACAGCTAAAGGAATTTGAAAAGCACTGGTTTCAGATAACCAATTTATCCAACATGAAGAGCACGACTTAAATAATATATATGCAGCAAGAATATCAAAGATATTACTCCAATTATTCATCAGAAATATTGTTATATGGATAAAAGGCCAGTTATGTTCATTTATACTTATTGTCTCAAGTGTACAGTTGTGGTAATACTGTCTGTTGTTTAATTTTTGAACAATGAATAATAATGTCCGATATGGAAATTCTTACCAATTATGTTTCAATAATGCCAAAGTTGTTGCCAAATATGGTATCATGATGTGGAGTGAAAAACTATGTGCTTTATATTGATCTCCTTGGAGCTCTATTATATTGAAAATAATAATTGATGAGGCTATTATCACTGCTTGACCCACTTCCAGTCCATTTATCCCAGCTAAAATGTTTATAGCATTGGTGCAGAAAACTGCTAACATTCCCATGTAGATGTAGTAAAGGAATCCTGTAACCACATTTAGTTATATTTAAATATAAACCAATTTATGGATTTAACAACATTTCATTTTGCTTTTAATGCCAAAGACAATATACAATGTTAGATATAAATAAATATAATAAATGATTAAATTAATGTGAAAGCTGGGAGAAATAATAAACATAAACCTCCGAAAGTGTACATCAAACATATTATAAATAGAAATATAGTGTAATAGAATAGTTATAAAATAAATTGAAACAATATGTAGCTTAAAAAAGAAAAAAGCATTTATTATAAAATTTTGTTGTTACATGATAAATTCTAATCTTCCGTTTTTCGTTTTACCTTTTAACTGATTTTTCATTAGTAATGAAAAAAATACTTTTATTTTTTTAGAGTGTTTCTTAAAACTAAATAAATATTAATTCATGCAAGTAATCAAACTTACCAATATTTACTGAAACTCCAAAAAATTGTCTCAGTTGTATCGGCACAACAAATGTAGTGGAGTTAAAATTCACATAGTAAACAACAAGAAGAGGCAATGATGCCACTGTTGGTAGTATTAGTTTATATCTCCATCTTAAATCCAAAACGTCATCCGCAAAACCCAGAAGTAGCATGCAACATATAGATAATAATGCGGCCAGTAATTCTGCAAACTAGAAAAAAAAATGATATTTTGTATTTGTCTCAATTATAATTTTTGTGTTTGTTTGTTTTTGTAATTTGTGTGTATTTCCTGGAATTTCTAATATAACTGGTTATGTGACTGTTATTTATATAAATACTTTAAAAACTCTATATACTTGCACATAACTACTGATCTCAGGTAACCAGACCTAAAAGATGCCAGAGATAAAAGATGATATCCACCTGTGCACAGATAGTGCACAGGTGGATATCATCACAGGTGGTTATTGTTCATCTCTACTACATCCATAAATTTGTGCATGATTACTTGATGATTATGGCTTTATCAGTTACAACTGAATATACTGTAAAGAGTTTAGCTATAAGTAGTAGTATCAGAATGTATTGAATGTGTCCACAAAATAGAATGATGTTATTGAAGCATAAGTTGTAAATTTCGAAGAAAGTGGCAAAGGTTGTTAGAAAGGGGAAAAAAATAAATATATATTTAATAACAATAGTATTAAAACTACAAGTGATTAAGTAATTTCGTAATATTTAAAAATGTGATCTTTTCAAAGTTTTTATAATTACATCACTGAAAGTTTTTGACCATTTACAGAGTAAACTATTTTTTTCATTATAAAGAGTTTTCGTAATACGGAGGGAAGAAAAAAATAACCAATCTTTAATAATAAATTGTAATACAATAATTTGTAATGTTATTATTGTCAATAGGTAAATTAAAATAATCTGAACTAATGTATGTGTTCAGTGGTAAACCAACAAATTGAACTAATTTTAAAGTGATAGAGATCGCTTGTTATATTTTTATCTTGTTTATAGAGTATTTATAATATATTTTCATTATAACGAACAACAATTTTAAGAGTTAACTATATTTACAAAAATTAGTATTTATAGGAACACCCCAAGGGGTGGAAATTCGTTGGGAATACATTTTTTTAATGATTTGTTAAAAGGGAAATATTTATTATTTAATTAAAGTTTACTAGTTAAAGTTTTAAATTCTGTGTTTTAAACATAATTCTTGTTTAGGAGGGCGGAGGAGGAGAGGGGGCCCCCGTAGTTTCGTTCAGTTACCACTTTTTTTTCTTAAATTGTAAAATTACGTCTTGTGTCCCTATTTTTCCCCTTCACCTTTGATTAGTCAATAATTTTACAATAAACATCTCCGAAACTATTAATGTGCGACGGTTGAAATTTGGCAAATCGTTTTCTTTTATTAATAGGAACGTACATTAAAAATTACAACATCGTTGCTTAATGTACAGATAAAAGTGACTAGCCCAAAGAGAACATAAGAAAATTACAAGTACTTACTTCATTATGAGGAAAATGTTCCGTATCCATTAGACTGTGTCCAAAAGCTATAGGTATAAAAAAAAAACTTGTAACCAAAAACACACATCCCGATACGACGCCAACTGCTTCTGGGCTACAACAAAAAATTCAACTTTAAAATATCAATACTAAAATGATAAGAAGAAACTATGTTATTTTCTAGTTAAAATGAACACTTACACTTTTTCTTTATTACTTTTGCACAAATCTATTCCATAGATCCCTGCTTTTATAAATAATTCTTTTAGTTTTGGTATTAACTCATCGGTGAAGAAATACGCAACTATTGATAAGACTATTAAAATTACTAGTAATAACATTATATATAATTAAACAACACATAAATGAATCAAAACGAGGTTATAATTAACCATAACAATAACATTATTATGATGTTCAATGACAGCTTTGATTTTGATACCTATCAGTTGTCTCTGTCAAATATAATCAGTGCGGCGGTGCTGCAGGCTGCAGGTTTCACATAATATAACCATTATGAAAAAAAAAACAGCACTTAATGATGAATATTGATTGCTTTTATCAGTAATCATAAAACAAAATAAAAAAATATTTAAGTGGGCCTCTACAGATAATGTAAGCCCTTTGTACGCGAGTCCGACACGGACTTGGCCGATTTTTTTGTTGGAAGTGTCGGAACTCAGTTATATTATATAATATAAAATACCTAATTAGAAGAAAAAGAACAGAACATTAAAACGTGTAGAAAAAGTACGAAAAGATTGTCGCCGCTGTGGGAATCGAACCCACGTCTTCGGCATTCACGGCCTGACGCTCTAGCCACTGAGCTAAACGGCTGATAGCCACACGAAAATCTTAACGCCTTCTTTCTACATTGTTATTTAGCATTTGAAGCAATGCTTGGCGCATCTATTGTTATATCCTTTCCAGCATACAAACAATTTCGAATATCGTTTTACAACGATAATTCGAATGAGAGATGTCGCCATTGCTTTTTATACATTTTAAAGTTTTTATAGTGCTAATCTCTGCACTTAAGATTGAACGTTAAAACATGTAGAAAAAGTACGAAAAGATTGTAGGAATCGAACCCCCATTGCTTTTAGTTTTTTTTTAGTTCCCTAATCGATTGACAAATATTCGAATATATCATTTTTGAGCAACTGCTAAAAGGAGTGTTTTAAATTATCAATAAGAAAAGACAGGTACGTATCTTTTCATTCAAGTGATATATCAAATCAAATGAAAATTCCTTTATTCGAACTCGAAGTAAGTTCAAAACGTTTTTCAACGTCATAAAAAGTTAAAATCTTTGAAATAATTTAAATTAAGTAAATTACTTAGTGAAATATATAAGCCGTATAAGTAATAAGCGCGTTCGGACAGTCCGAAACGAGTAATATGACGTCATACCACATCACCATCCACCCGAACCCCTGCACAAGGCCACCACTCCGATACTCAATAAAAGAAGCTTAAAGACAGGCAGATACCCTATTGACAAAATCAACAAACTACATACTCCAGTGGAGAAGAATGTGATCAGAAGAACCTCCACTATATTTACATTTCGCCACTTTCAGAGCATCTTACCCTGTGGCTTATCCCTCAACTGGGATGCTAATCGCCACGTTGAGAGCACCTTACCCTGTGGCTTATCCCTCACAACTGGGATGTATATCGCCGCGTTCAGAACACCTTACTCTGTGGCTTATCCCTCAAAACTGAGATGCATATTGCCACGTTCAGTTTTCAGTGATTTATCAAACTTAGGTTACTTTACTAGTTACACCAGTCGTGTATCGCTCCCCTCCTACCGGGTTCCCGACTTGACGTGGTGGAGGCGCTTAGTAGCCGTGGCTTGGTCCCCCACGGCGAAGCTAAGAGGAACCCACACTGGGCCGGCTTGTGGTGCAAGGCCGGCCCGAGAGGGCCGCTCCGAGTGGGCTCATTGAGCCCACTCTGGATGCGTGCTGGAGGGTGCAGGGGACAGGTCGAGGGTGGTAGAGGTGGAGCCACTCTCCCTGTCTTCTGCTACCGAGGAGGAATCGCGGGGGAAGAGGAGTGTCGGTATTGCGTTGGCCGTGTTCCCTATCCTCCGCGACTCGGCGGGGCTGCACCGCTGATGTAGTGGTGGTGGGGCCACGGGGGGAGAGGAGTGTCGGTATTGCGGTGCGCCGTTCTCCCTATCCTCAGCGGTCGAAACGTGGTGAGTGGCGGAGCCACAGACCAGGTCCGCCGCTGGTGGCTTGGAGGCTTGCTGCTTATTAGCACTGGCTCTCCTGGCTCCCATGGCCCGGTCAGCGAACTCGGGGGAGTTCGTTGGCCGTGAAAATGGGGCCAAGTAGGAAGGCGCACTGAATGTTCCAGCGCGCCTTACCTGGAGGAGAGGGGAGTTGCTCCCCGTGAGGGGGCTGCTAAGGCGGCCAGCGCTGGCAGGGTCGCGGAAGTGTGCGAAAGCGTTCCCGTGACCCTGCCGATATGCGCCTAGGCGTAACATCGTGGGGGTTTTAGTCGGTGCGAGTCCGACATAACCCGCTCTTGCCCCCGCGAGGGCGGGTATTCGTAGGCATTTCCCCTACGTCAACAAAAAAAAAAGAAGTCGTGTATCGCTACGTTGTTCAAGTACCAGTGATAATGTTCACAATGGATATCCATCACCAGTTCATGCCTTAAATCTTCCAACTACTAAAATGCTCGGTAGCTTAAACGGGTAAACCAGTTGTGTATCGCTATTTTACATTTTCTCAAAAACGTGAAGTAACTAATTACCTGGAACGTACTCACCAAAACTTTCGTTACATTTAACAAAAAGATTTTATCACCATTACGTATACGTAAATATAAAATTCACTGTTTTATTTTACGAGGGTAGGCACCCTAGGAGAAAATATATCATCGATTGTTTGAACAGCTAAACGCGAGTTTTCGTATTGTATCCCACTTCTAATATAAGAGTTCTAACGTTTTTAACTTGATTCTAATATTTTATTACTTTTATAACGTCAAGCAGCACTAGTGGTTATATCACCGTCCACTAGCGATGGGTCGTTAAAGGTATTTATTTCAACTTAACGTTAACGTTGATTCATGTTCGTCAACTAGTTGATCAACTAGTTAAATTAGTCAACTAGTTAACGTGACACATACATATGTAAAATTGCAAGCCCTTTCTTCTACTAGGTAAAACGGATGAAAGCTATCTATGCATAAATCTAACAAATCTGAACTATTTTTTTCTTTTGTTCGAAACTAATTTTTTTTCTTATCCAAGTCAACCATCATACGCTGGTGTTTAAAGATTGGTAAGTCAGCACTTAAAGTTAAAAACTTCATTGGTGCCGGCACCGGGGATCGAACCCAGGTTGCTCGAGTATATTGAAATAAAGGCGAGCGCCCGGACACTGAGCTATCACGGCTCTAAAACACTGATGAATATATTTAAATATATTTCCGCTTCAAGTACTTTTTAAAGTTAAAGTGGTCAATTTGTGCTTTTCCGCTAGAACTGTCTTTTTAGGTATGAAGCCATAACTCACTGTTAATACGTTCAATTATTTTGAATTTTGTACCCACAGTTCTCTATACACTTAAATAATCAAGTTGAATCAACCGTTGATCTCTTGTTAACGAATTAATTTTAACTGTCATTGAAATCAACTAGTTGAATTCGTTAACGTCGTTTCGGAAATTTTGTCGTTGAATCAATTCGTTTAAAAACGCATTCAACGATACGTTAAGTCAACGGAAGATAAACGAACCTAATTGAAAACCTTACGTTGAAAAAAACGTCACCAAGTTGAGTTGAAATGTTTGTTTAATTTTATGAAGGCATGTTTAAGTTCACTTTCTTTATTTTTGTTTGACAGTTTGTGAATAGTTGCGACAAGGTTATAGAATATTTTGCGACTTTGCGTAAATATTATCAGAACTTTACTTCATGTTTAGTGTTTTTTTTGTGAAATTGTTAATTTTTAATTAATTATATTTGGAATTTTATTTTATGTTATTAGTTTTATTTATCAGAATTTTACTTTGTGGTTAGTGTTTTTTTTTTTATTTTAATTTATGATTATTTAAGTGTATAGAGGACTGTGGGTACAAAATTCAAAATAATTGAACGTATTAACAGTGAGTTATGGCTTCATACCTAAAAAGACAGTTCTAGCGGAAAAGCACAAATTGACCACTTTAACTTTAAAAAGTACTTGAAGCGGAAATATATTTAAATATATTCATCAGTGTTTTAGTACCAATCTTTAAACACCAGCGTATGATGGTTGACTTTGATAAGAAAAAAAATTAGTTTCGAACAAAAGAAAAAAATAGTTCAGATTTGTTAGATTTATGCATAGATAGCTTTCATCCGTTTTACCTAGTAGAAGAAAGGGCTTGCAATTTAACATATGTATGTGTCACGTTAACTAGTTGACTAACTTAACTAGTTAATCAACTAGTTGACAAACATGAATCAACGTTAACGTTAAGTTGAAGAAAATACCTTCAACGACCCATCGCTAATAAATAATCATCTAATTCTAATGTCTGATGTCATAAAACAAACTACTTAGATGATAATTTGATTTTTGCTAAGGTCAGTTTTTGGAATTGGATGTGTTCAACGTAGTGATTAGGCATGAGATATACCTGCAACATTCTATACCCGGCCTCAAAGGTACGGGTATCGCCGTATACCCGGTGCTAAAACCCAGTATCAAAATACCTATAGGTATTAGTTATGTTCAGGCCTCCTTTTGGAGACCCGGTATGGAATTGAACCTTTCTTTGGTTGGAATTGGAACATTTAGATTTTCAGCATCAGTTTTTCTACAACAACTACTAAACTACTAACAATCAGTTTTTTTTAATTGAGATTTAATCAGTCTAAAATAAGCTCCATCTTTACTAACGTAAAGAACACTATTATCAACAAAAGTAATTCAAAATAAATATTACTGTTTAACCTTATTACGCAATTATTTATTTAACTTATGGTCATAGAAATAAAGAATAAATTTATCTCAAGGAATTATTTGGTATAAAATGCCTAAATCATACGTTTCAATTCGGGCATGATCGGGAAGAGCCGCCGTAAGCGTTCGGGGAACTTCGTACCTATTCGGCCGGCGGGTTGTCGCGAGCATATATACCGCCACCGGCGGACGAGGCGGCCATCCATACCTATCGGGTATGGAACGGGCCTTAGCCGTCATTCCCGGTGTGCGGGCGGGTTGTCGCGAGTGTATAAACCGCCACCGTCGGACGAGGCGGCCATACCTATCGGGTATGGAACGGGCCTCTGCCGTACATACCCGGTGTGCGTACTGGTATGTTCATACTGGGTATTTATACCTGTTCCAGTATATACGCCTCATCCCTAGTAGTGATTACATTCTCTAGGATGTATTTGGATTGCATTGCATCTTATTGTATATGTAAATTTGTTTGAAATACCGTCCTAATTTTCTTTTGCATTTATTTACTAAGTTATATTAGAAATTATATTATTAACTGTGCACAACTGTTCAGTACGCCTTTAATTGGAGTTTGCTGCTTGGTTGGGTTTTAATTATTAAAAAATGAGCACATTAGATGAGATAGAGGAGGAAGCAAAAGCGACAGCAGAAAAAATGGTTATGAACATGATGCAAAGACCTGGTCAACTTGAAAAAGTATGTAAATATTTATATATTAACATAATGCATAAGTATTTGAAAACGTCTTTTTTTCATTAAATAATTCTTGTTTTAAAAGTAGTTCTACTACTTCATTGTTCTTTTTTTAATTGCGTCTGATTATTTGTTAAAATTTTCAAACTTTTCAAAAAAATTTAAATGAAATTTACTTTAATAAAATTATTCTTTTTTTACTTTTAGGTAGAGCAATACAAAAAAAGAATAACACATAAAAAGGCATCAATTGAGGCTCAATTAAAGTCTGCTGTTCAAGGCAAATTAGATGGTGTTAGTGTTGGACTGAAGCAATTACAAGAATGTCTAGATGATGTTACACAAATCAGTCTAAAGTAAGTTAAGTAAATCAAACAACATAATAGTGGACACAATATAAACATTTAAAAGAACTATGCTTTAAGCCATCAGAATCATTGTGGAGTTAAAAAAAGATTGAAGAGTTAAAGTTTGGTGTGAACTGTGTATATGACACTTATTGTCTATCTAGGGTGTGGTGTTGTTACCAATTATTTATTAAAGCCAATATTAAAACAGATATAAAAAAGTGCTGTGTAATACTGCAGTTAATGGTGGTTTTATTGCTAAAGTTTATGAATATAAAACAATATTTTGTGTGTTCAAATTACTTATTGTGTTAGTTTGTCAAATACTACAGTATGATTACTGTAAACAGTAAAGGAAAGGACTTTTTTATATCCTTGGGTCTAAATTGAGTATATAAATAAGTATATATATAAAGTATGAGCCAGAGCTGGAGTCCATTCACTTATTTGAAGACATATAGTAGTGTTATAATTTGTATGGACAGCTGTACACATCATTGTTGGATCACATGTGAATAATGACCAAGAGCGAAGTGGTAATTGTTTACAATATTATGCACCATTTTTCAAAAAATTAAAATCTTTAATTAAAAAAAAATAATTAATAAAATTAAAATCTATTTTTATTAATTATTCTTGATAACATCACTCCTTGATATAAAAATGGACCTCTAACGAACCTAACCTAATAGTTTGACAAATGTTGAACCTAATTTATGATAAGCCCTAATGTCAAATTTGTGACGACGACAATGTGGGGGCTTTTTTGGATTTCCGTAGTATGAAATTTTAAAACTATTTTAAGTTATTTATAAATTTCTTCGGAGTAATGGTCATGTTAGTTTTCACTTATAAAATTTTTATAACAGGATGGATGAACTTGAGGACCTCTTTAAAAGTGTTCCACCTCTAGTCGCATCTCTTCAGGCGGTACGAGAAGAGGATTCTCGTCATTCTCAATATGTTACTGCTATGGACAGCTTAAAGCATATTTTCACGGTGCCTGAAAGTGTGGCTAAAACAAAACAGTGGATTGGTGAAGGAAAATTACTACATGCACATCAGGTAGTTTTATGAACAAATGTTTAACACATATGCATTGTACAGAGAGTTCAGTTTGTAGCAATTTTATTATCTTTTGTTCTAGTGCCTTACTGACTTAGAAAATTCAAGAGATGATTTACTTTATGAACTCCATAGATTACCTAATCAATCATCCCATGATAAGATTATGTTAAAAGCGTATTTTGAAGATGTGGAAATGGTTTCCAATTTGCTTGAAAAACAAATTAAGCTTATATTGGCAAGGACATTGAATACAGTGCGTAAAGAACCTACTGTAATAGTGACTGCATTGCGAATTATAGAAAGAGAAGAGAAAAAGGATCAAATGGCTTTACAGGTCAGCCTTGTATATAATATATTTTTACTTCAATTTTTTTCTAGTACCTTTAGCTTACTTTGTTTTATTTATTTTTAGCAACAAAGTCAGTCAGGATTCATGCCACCAGGTAGACCAAAAAACTGGCGATCAAAAGCATTTGAAGTTCTAGAATGTGCTGTGGCGCAAAGAATCGAGGGCACTCGTGTAGATGAACGGGAGGATAATAAATTGTGGTTGATCCGGTACCTTGAATTGACCAGACAGCTGATATTAGAAGACCTGAGGGTGGTTAAAACCCTTTGTGTTCCCTGCTTTCCACCTCACTATGATATTGTAAACAAATATGTCAACATGTATCATACATGTCTATCTTCAAGTGTGAGTATTTTCTTTGTTTAAGTTGTTGTTATGTTTGTTTTTTATAACATTATATAAAGTTTTTTTATTTGAAATTACATGATTTAAAATTGGTGCACTTAAAGTTGCACAAGCATGGATAACTTATTTGACTTGAGTAATTAATAATTAATTATTATTGTTTCCATTTCCAGCTCCAAGACCTTGTTCAGAATGGTCTAGAAGGTAATGAATATGTGACTCTTCTGTCGTGGATTCTTAACACATATCCAGGCCAAGAGCTGATGGGGAGCGAAGAGCTCAATATTGACGTGTCCACTTTGCCCCCTTTGCTTAGCGAGGAAAGCATGCAGAGATTGCAAGATGAATATTTACAAGTCAGTAATTTGCTTATTGTACACTTAAGTTTGAGAGTCAAAAGTTTCGATCCACTCTACTGTAAAAATATTATGTGACAAAAATAGCGTTTCTAGTGTGTCTACGAAAGAAAATAACGTTTATCACTCACCTAATATACAGGGAGGCTTTTTGAGAAGTGCCCAAAATTACACAGATGATTCATACTCTGTAGTATAATCATTTATTGAAATAAAAAAACAAACTTTTTTAAAAAAATGTCATTCTATTCCCTAAAACACTGCAAATGAATGTAATTATGAGTATTACGAGTGATTTTAAATGTTTATCATTTTTTATATAACATTATTTATGTGTAGAATTTAATAAAAAAAATGGATACACTTAGAAAAGCCTCCCTGTATACCTAAGCTTTGCTTAGTTTAGGACATGGTGTTGTGTCAAAATAAGTCCTGAAAATAAATATTACTGACATTATATTGTGCCTAAACTAGGTAACGCTCCATAGCTTTCGCTGCATTAAGTTTTTGACTGGATATAATGGTAGAATTTATCTATATATATATATAAAAATGAATTGCTGTTCGCTAGTCTAGCTAAAACTCGAGATCGGCTGGACCGACTTGGCTCATTTAGGTTTTGAAATATTTCTGGCAATCCTAGGAAGGTTTAAACAATGAGAAATTATGGAAAAATTGTATGGAAAACCGAAATAGCAACAATTTTATTTTCCTATACAAACTGTTCCTACCTGTCAAATATTTTATGCGTGCGTTCCGAATTCTTTTTCTATGTGTTCAGATTCATAAATTCCCTAGAAATAAATTATATGGCAAAATAACGTTTGCCAGGTCATCTAGTCTCATAATAAAAAACCGGCTTAACACTCCTTCCTTTGTCCACACATACAGTTTACTAAAACAACGGAAGGTCAGGAGTATCAACAAAATTATCGATATGTTTTAGGAATAAAGTTCTCAATATAAAAACAGACAAAGAAATCTACAAACTGTTTAAATTGATAACCGAGAGACTGATTAATTAACCGAGTTTATTCAGAGTTGAGAAACTTTTCCCGACGGCGCTCCCCCGACCCCGTCCTTTCTTAATTGGATAGTCGTTAAAAGACAACAGGATTGGATACTGCCGTGTTGCCCGAAGAATTTCAAGCGAGGAGGTTTTTGTCACAGAAAATGGAGTCGAACTACATGGAGTGGATGGAGAAGACTCTGGAGTCAGAGCGGGCGGAGTGGGGGGGCGATCGCGCGCCGGACGTGGAGCCTCACACCAACGCGTACCACACGCACGCGCCCGTCATCATATTCCAGATGATAGACCAGAACCTACAGGTTTTATACATACACATGGAGGTTATACTTAACTGTGGTAGGGCCACGCAACAATGTTCACTGCTTCACGAATGGGTAGGTCCGTCCGGATAAGTACCACGACCTCACAGACGACCGGCGTAAAGTAGAAGTTTTACACGTCTGTGTTTCGTCTGGTGTGGTAGTCGGGCGGGGGCCCACTTTATTTAAAGGTGGTATTTGCAACCCTACGGGTGTTGCGAATATTCATGGGCGGCGGTTATCATTTGGCATCGGGTGTAAACCGCCAGCTCGTTAGCTACTTCCCATAAAAAAAAAAACTTTATTTTGACAAAAAAAAACAAACGCACTAACATTCGAAACGAATGAGATGAACATAACAATTTTAAAAATAAAATTAAAACATTTTGTTTTTAAAAAGAAACTTAACAGAACCACGAGATGATCCCGTCAAAAAACTTCCTTTTTTTTTTTTTTTTTTTTGTAAAGAAAACAAAGTAGCAGGCTATATATGTCCCACTGCTGGGCAAAGGCCTCTCTGTACAGAGGGTCTGTACTCAACTGTATTAAAAGGTGACACGCTTTTGCAACCGTACAGGTGTTGCAAATGTCCATGAGCAGCTGTCATCACTTAACATCAGGTGAACCGCTAAATAAAAAAAGAAGGGTTTTAAGGCATAGTCCACCACGTAGATAGACCTTTTTTTGAGTCGGTGCAAAATCGCACTTTATGAGAAATCCGTTAAATGTGGATAAAGTTTACACAATTTTTAATAATCTCATCTTTAACTTAACATTCACGTTCTTTGGACTTTACATATAAGCAAAATCAGGGAACTACATAGTTCAGTGTCTAAAACATGTTACGTTTTTTAGGTAACAGAAACAATAAGCAAAGAGATCACCTTCAAAGCTTTAGTGTTGAGCATCGAGCAAGTCACGCGGTACGGCAGCATGTATCGCGAGGGCGTCATTCAATTTAAGGTAAATAACTAACTACTTATTATGTACACTATATTTGATTAGTGTCCGACTGAAACTAGTTTTTACAATATCGCTTCTTCAGGTAGAATAAATGTATCCAGCCCCATCAGTATCAGTTCTAAATAATTGTTCGTTGGAAATACTTGTATTGTGGAGCCGACAAGAATGATTGCCGTTCAATCTATCTCAAAGATAGAAATGGACTGGTATTCCAGTAAGAATAAATATCTGCATTTCTTTGTAACCAACCCTTTGATAAGTTGTATTGAATAATTTGAATAATTGTAGAAGTAACTCGTAAGTTACGAGTTACTTCTGGTGTGATAGTGATTGCTTTCGAGTCTTAAGCAATCACTATCACACCAGAAGCACCCAACATATTCAAGTGCGAAACCTTCCGAATGTAGTTTCGGTCTCGTCTGTAGTTTTGTCCATATTGCAACCGAAACCGAAACTTAACCGAAACCAGACCGAAACCGAAGGTTCGGTCGGATACTATATTTGATTAAATAGTAGGGACGGCATGGCATGTGACTGTCTTATGTGTTACTAGGTGTTTATTTTGCATTTCGTAGAATTATTGACAGAAAAGAAATTACGACCATACATTTTGTTTATAATTTATATAACTTGTCTATATGGCACATTTAATGACTGCCATGAATTCGACCATCTCGGCCCGTTAACAGAAATCGCACTATGGTCATCCATCGCAGTATTTGTCCTAATGCATGTGGGACAAGTTACTCGAATTACCGATTATTTATCCAGTCCAAATAAAGCTTACTTGTTAGTACTTAAAAAACTCCACTAAATTGTTTCAGTTACCCGTTTTTAACGTACTAAAGAGTCAGCGAATTCTGCCCTTTGGTTGTCCCAAGGTTGAACCGGTGCCGAAGCCATATGCAACCGTATGCGCGTAGTCATAGGGTTGCATATGGCTTCGTCGTAACGGTCGTTCAGAATGCACGTTCGCGCAGAACTCGCACTTCTCGGACCGCTCCCGGGTGGCGTACTTCACGCACCACATGATCACGATCGTGAACAACAGCGAGCAGATGGCGAGGCTGGCGCAGCAGACGCAGACGCGCCACTGGCCGCCGGCCCACCACGACCCGCCCGCAGAGGCCAAGTTCGAGGCCATGCTGGCCACCTTCCAGGTGCGTGGCCGGCCCCCGCCCGCGTCCGCTTTGACACAGTTCAAATTCGGAATGAGTCTAGCTTCATGTGCACGGGCCAAGTTCATATTTGGAATGAACCCAGCCTAGTCGGATGTATTCAAGTTCAAATTTGAAATGAGCCCAGCTTCATCTGCAGTGGCTAATTTCAAATTTGGATTGAGCGTAGCTTCATCTGCAGGTGCTAAGTTATAATTTGATAAGCCCAGCTTCATTCGTCGTGTCCGAGGTTAAATTTGGAACGAGACGCGCATTTCCTTAATGTTGGGACACGCAGCAGCTTTTGCCGTTGTGTAGGCGAGCTCGCTTGGGAAACGTCTCGGCGCCATAGGTGATAGACGGAAAACGAATCATGCAAGAGTACGCACACTTCCAGTATTTGGTGTGCTGAATGTAGTAATCATGTCACGGTTTTAAACAATTTTTACAACTTACTGTAGCCGACAGGTGTTGTAGATGCCCATATATAGCGATAATACTTCATGATAAGCCCGCTCGGTTGTCACTACTCGCAATAGACCGAGCTGCTAATCCAGTTAAAGTTTGCTCATTATTTCCTTTATTTGACTAGGTTAAAAACTTAATTTCTACAATATTCTTTCCCAATAAAACAGTTACGAAACTTCCCAATATAATACGTAGTTACGTATCTATTTATTGAAAATAATGTTTATCTTAAGAATTATACATAACATCCAACGCGACTTATCGAATAGTTATGATCGTTCCGGTTTGATGCTTTTCTTTGTAGAAACTGCGCGATGAAGCCGCTCAATTCTTACTAGAAGAAGCGTTTTTGGATTTAGAAGTCCATTTTGATGACTTGTTCACTCCGAAGTGGCTGACGTCCAGCATACCGGTCGATACTATATGCGTAACACTTGAAGACTATTTCCAAGACTATAACCACTTGAGGGAGAAAAATTTCGAGTTCGTCATTAACGAAGCTCAGAATCTGGTGTACAAGAAATACATAACGGCAATGTTATCGAAGAAAATGACATTTAAGAACGTCGAAGAAGCACAACAAGGCGCCAACAAGATCGTTAAAGAAGCTAATCAAATTCGATCGTTCTTCAGGCGTATCGCACCAGAGGGCGTCAATGTTGATTGGCCTTTTGAAGTAATAAAAATACTTGCTGAGGTGAGAATCTCGTACTAATATAATCGTCATATTTTGAATCTCTATATCTAATAAGTTTTCACTACTGATTGCATTCAATGAAGTTCCGGGTACTGTCAAAAATGTTAAAAGCCCATTCCAGGTTAAACAACAACAATAATTTACCATTTTATAGCTTAACATACAGACTAGGTTCTAATTACTACTTTAAAATAAATAATACCGGATGCTCTCAAAAATATTAAAAAGTACGGTAAATCTTATATATTATAAACGTCATATTTTACGTTTTGTTTATATTTTATTACATTCGCTATGGTTTACTAAAAGCTCCAACTTTTTTATTGAATATTAATAAATGACAAAATAATTTAAATTACGTAATTAGTTGGAACTACTATATCTGGCTATCCTATTAAATAGATTTAACAGTTATAACTCGCGAGGCGTATCTATGACGATGCATCCTTATAACACACGAGGCGTATCAATGACGATGGATCGTGTGATTTCACAAGATGCACCGACATTTCTAACCTAACTAAGTCTATCGCCAGCTTGCTTGCTTGCCGCAGGTGCTGCGTTGTCAGGACATCGAGATGCTCTCGCTGGACCTGCACGGCGTGCTGGACAAGTGTCCCGACGTGTCCGAGGAGCAATTGGGGCGTTTACTGGCGCTGCGCGGAGACGTGCCGAGGTCGCATGTTCGCGACACCGTTGCCCACGTGCTCGCCACCCGCCAACCGCCGCGCGCCGCCCCCCACCCCTCCCTCTTCAGGCACATAACCTTCAGCGATCGACTACTCTCCCACTTCGCCCTCTGAACGGGACAGAGTGTTTCTTTTTCAGCGAACGCCGAACCGCGGCATGCACTATTTATGTATAAATCAGAGAAATAATTATGTAAATGTAATAATAAAGTATGTTTATAGTTATTGAGCGTTTCATTCAAGGGGGGCATTAATTATTTGAGACCATTTTGGTGATGTTTCGCGGCGCTCTTCCCTAATCCCTTGGTAAATGTGATATTTTGCTTGGCCCACCCTATTTGATTGTGTTGAATTTTTTTAAACATTTTGCACAATTATTTTTATTTAAAACAACGACAAGAGATCCGTTTGCGCCTTGCAATCTATCCTTAATAACGTCTTATGCCGTTTTTAATCACTCAGTGCATGGTGTAGAGTTTATTTAACTCGACTTTTTCGCAACTTTACACTATTTCCTGCTAAAAAAAACTTATATAACTGATAACTTATTTATCAGGGCACTTCAAAATTAGTACGGTGTTGCCATAAATAAACAATACGTAAATAGTATTACGGAGATCATTTAATAACTCTGTAAATATTGATGTTTAAAGAATTTAAATGTTTAATACAACTTTAAAAAGTTATCCCCTATATGTGTGTTCATTTATTGTCGCGATGGTAACGACACGCTGTATACAAGATTTGCTCGTTTAAAGGATAAGATTCTTTATGGTAAACCAGAGGAGGATATGCGAAAATGCACCCTCCTTATCATAATTTGATAAATTTCGGTTAACCTTAAAGATTATATAGATATAAATAAACACCCCGACACCGGAAAAACACTCAGTTCATCACTCAATATTTTTCCAGTAGAGGGGATCGAACCCACACCCTAAGGTGCATATCCGCTAGGTCAATTAAACTAAAAGAAAAGTAACATAACAGCCTACAAACGGCAAAGAATTCCTCTGTAAAGGGGGTATCAGGGCATAGTCCGCCACGCAACCCGACTGCGGATTGGCGGACCACATATTTTCGAAATATATTTTTCATGTTATTATTTCGAAAACAAGCAAGTTTCTGATAATCGGATATCAAAGATTTATTTTGACACTAGTTTCAAAGTATGTAATTTTTATTTACCATCACGGCATATACGTACAATATTTTAATGTTCGTTTATGAACATTAAAATATTGTATGCACACAGAACACTATTGAACCGATAATGAAAACAACATATTTATATACAGTTAGTTTAATTTATGGCCGTGATACTTGATAGCACAGTGTCCGGGCGCTCGCCTTTAGTTCAATTTACTCGATTAACCTGAGTTCGATCCCGGTTCCAGCACCAATGAAATTGTTAATTTTAAGTGCTGACTTATCACGTGCTCAGCGGTGAAGGAAAACATCGTGCGGAAAGGAAACTTGCTTGTTTTCGAAATAATAACATGAAAAATATATTTCGAAAATATGTGGTCCGCCAATCCGCAGTACACTGTTTTACAGAGGTCCATCATCGCTATAGTGATGAACATAGCTTGTAAACTGTAAACAGGCGTGTTTATTGTGGCTATGATTCCAGTATTCTAACGATAGAACAAATTTTGCGGCCCCTAGACGTAAACAAAGCACGGGTGCAATCTATTTTCGCAGTTAATCTGTCGTATGGAAGTTGTGGGGAGCAGTATTATATATATTTTGAATAGAATACAGAAGACGTCAAATATGATTGCAACGATACATAAAAAAAGGAAATAAATTGTGGTCGATGTTAACAATGAAAACATATTACTGTTGGTTTAATAATTAACGATAATTAAATACAACAATACAACGGTGCAAAAAAACCTGATCGAAGTCAACGATGGCATCTGGAGAGAATCATTTGATACAAGAGCTTGATTATCCCGCGCAACTGAAGGCCAATTTGTTACTAGAAGGGCGGGCGGGAATCAGTCGATCTGTGTCTTTCGCGACCCAACCACGGCTGTGCGCGGCTCAAATCTCAACGTCGGTGTCGCGATGTGGCGCGCCTGGTTCTTCATCCTGTGCTTAGTGCCAGGTGAGGACCCACTACTATCTGTTCTAAGATTTTCCGCTACGGAAATAACCACGGTGTCATCATAAAAGCGAGGAGAGTGAACGATATAATAAAGAGCGGATATTGCCGTTTAGATTTGAAATCATGCGCTCGTACTGCGATGATCTTCAGATTGGAGGAGAGTAATCTAAAAACGTGTTTTTTGTTGTACTAAAGTTAATTATTTCCTCTTAAATTGTGTAAAATGCGTCGTTTAATTGGTCAAATCGGCAAAAGGGTACGTAGATTATTTTAGAAACAATGAAGCGTAAAATGCGTTTTCATTTTGATCAGACTTTTAGTGTGTTAAAATAGCAATGCGGTTGTCTTGCACAATATTTTCATTCTTGCCAACCATTACACGTTGTTTATAACCACCTGTTTAAGACGCTCAATAAATCTTTCGCTTCTTGTCAGTGGTTGCTTATAGTTTAGTTACCTTGCATTAAGACTACGCAGAAAAACCGACAACAACTCAAAACAGATTGCGTCCCGATTTGAAGAATTGTTTAAGATATTTTCTATCCTTGTCCTTGTGATATGTCCTTTAAAAAGCAAGTGATGGCAATAGATACACATGTAAATTGAAAAAAAATGGACGGTTAACATCAAGCTGTTAAATTATTAAAGTAAAAATAAACAATCAGTAAAACAAAAGTTTTGATGGTCCTCTCTGTTGTATACAATAATTATATTTGCCGCAGTGCTGTCAAAAATAGCTAAGATACACATTATTTATGAAAAGTTCCCTTGGTACTAAAAATTAAGAGAATTAAAGCAACTTTTTCTTCAACAATATTAACCGCATAACAACGATGCATACACTTCAATACATAAATGCTTTACATAAATACTTACAGATTGAGAAAATGTTTTAAGAATGATTCATTAACAATGAAAGATTTTTTTTGAAAGAACACACGTGCTATAAAATCAGCTAAACGTAAATTATCGTAAATAAATCATCTTTACGATTTGCACTACCAGTTGTCCTGAACGGCATTTTCGAACGTGTCGTAAAAATAATAATAATATCACATCATTACCCTACCCTATCATTATCAAATTACCCACCATTTTAATTGCCGGTAATATAAAATTAAAAATATTTTTTTTATTATGAATCTAGTAGTAAATTAGGTTATTTTTAAATCATGATAAATTTTTATGTAAAGTACATTTTACTATAATATTAAAGCTATCTTCAAATTCAACATATTATATTATCTCGACTTTGAAGCTTTAAAAATTCGTTCATAATTTAAAAATATAAAAAATACGTCCTTTTCTTCAGGCTGAATGAAATTTTAGGGATTCATGCACCGTCATGATCAACCATAAAAATGTCAACGAACCGTCAGTATAGACTACGGGTTTCTATATAAGGAAAATAGTTTTTCTATTTCGAACTAGTTTAATAACGCTACACGTTTTCATCAGGAAATAGAAAAGACAATAAAGCTTTTACTTTTTTAAGTGTATACCACTTAGAAGACAGCTAAAGCTTTTAAAGTTTCATCGCGCTAATTTAAAACAGTATTAATATATATAAAACATACCATAACAACTATTAATATAAAATAGGTATTTCATACTTTATACCATTTTCTTTAATGACTAAAATACATCACGTCATGCGCGTTCCACAGAAGACGCTACCGACCGAGGTATTTTTAACATTCCCGGACCAACTCAAGGTTGCCTAAGATAGTTGCTTATTCATTCAGATATGACCTAATTTACAATAATATCGTATAAATAGAATTCTCTTACTTCGACTTTCAAAAGCTTTATTGGTCTATAACTTTGTGACCGTGTCGAAGGTGTAGGCAGTTTGGCAGTGTGTATTTATATTCCGGTCCCATTTTATGTTTCGAACGTTGGATTTTATGAACCGATACGAGGTTTACTCCTAACATTAGTATAATTAAATGCTTCTTTCGAAGGGATATTATAACCTTCCTTTAGTTCTAATGAGATAAAACTAAGAACAGGGGTCTTCATTTCTAAATTGCTGGCGTGGGTGCCAGTGCCGTTGCAAATAATAGGCGACTGTCACTTTTAACTGTTCTAAACTCTTTATAATAGAATTGATCCGTTACACGAGTGGAACTGTTTGGAGTGTGCTCGTAGTAGGTACGTAACGTACGGGAAGCGCTGTTCCTTCGCTGTAAAGACAGCCGCTAACGTTCGATGCCTTGCCACTGGGCCATTAATTTATTAACGTTTTCAGCTCGGTGGCAAAAAGCCAATGCTTTTTATTAGAAATACGTGTCTGTTTCTAATCGATAAGAAAAAATATTTAAAAAAAGGCGGTCAAGTGCGAGTCGAACTCGTATGCCGAGGGTTCCGTACCTACCCATTATACCGCCATAATAAAATTGGTAAATAATCACCACTGATTTTCTAAAGAAACGGGTGCACCTAGAAAGTTGAAATTTATACCAGATACTTTTGTTGACCTAGAAATGTCAATTTTTGTTAAAAGCAAGGTTTTACAGCACAAGTAAAGGGAAAATTCCGAAAAATAAAAAAATTGAAAATTAAGGTATATTTTAGTATTTACAAGTTTTCGCGATATAAATTAACTTATTATAACTCTTTGTCGTATTGACTCAGGACCTCGATTTTTATACACCTAATATCTATAGAAATCAGTATCTGGTATAAATTTCAATTTACTAGGTCTACCCATTCCTGAGAAAATCGGTGGTGACACACAGACAGATAGACCGACAAGAGAGAGATCTTATAAGGGTACCTTTTTTTAGCTTTTAAGGTACGGAACGTAAAAGTATAACAATCTTCATTCAGCAACCTACTTTTTTTTATGTGTGAAAGTGCCAAACGAGCTGGCGGTTCACTTGATGCTAAGTGATAACCGCCGCCCATGGACAGTTGCAACACCCGTAGGGTTGCAGATGCGTTGCCACCTTTTAATAAAATGGGCCCCGGCTACCTCACTCACCAGACGAAACACAGAAGTGTAACACTTCTACTTCACGCCGGTCTTCTGTGAGATTGTGGTATCAGCCGGACGGACCTGCCTATTCGTGCAACAGTGAATAATACAACAGTACTACCACAGTGGAACCTATCTTGTACAAAAATTTAATTCTATTACACACACAATAAAGTTATTATGTGTGTGACATAATTCAAAGATACAACCATCAATCATTCATGTAAAAAAAGCTGAAATACATATAAAGATACAAGTATATTGGCGTCTAAGCCAATGTAAATTCTAAGTATGTGGCTCTTAAGACTAGATTCGAAATTTAGAATAGTCAATTTATTTATTTAAATTTAAATTAGGAAGTTTTTGCCTGTGATTTTGACATACCGAAATGTCTTTTGGTAAGCGCCTATGATTATATTCGCATGTAACTAAAACTCGCTGTCTGTTGTCTGGTATAATCAGCGAAATGACTGGAACGACTTCAACGAAGCTTTCTCTTTAAAAAAACTCATTAAGCTGTGACAAAAATTTGATTCAATGATTAAATGGGCAATTTTTTGTTCTTTGGAGAAAACCCTTAGCTTTCTTTAGGCATCAAAAGTAAATTTGGATTTTTAAAGTTTCATCAACAATGTTTACCTATAAAATTATAAATAATAATAATTATAGCCTAAAACGGATTGACATAAACTCAGTTTAGTAACAAGGACAAAATAAGGAATTAAAAAAACTAAAACTAAGTTAGCTATGGTGCAGGCTATATGCTATAGGTACTCGGTATTTCTCTGCGTGATAGAGTTCGCAATGACGATATTATATATTAATAATGATCCGCAATAGTATAAAGGTAACCGACATAGCTCAGAAGATTAGTAAGCTGAAGTGGCAATGTGTCAGCCATGTAGACAGTGAAAACGATAACCGATTGGGAATAAAGGTGTAGGAGGACCCCACTACATGGACTGACGACTTTTGCAAAACCCGAGAAGTCAAAAATGCAGGGGCTCATCTATACACGAAAGATAAATATTAAAACAATTGTAGTAGTTTTTATTTATGAACGCAGTTTTTACAATTTGTATTGTACCTAAATGAAAACTTATTTATGTACTGATGTACCTTAAAATTTAAAAAAAAAATCAAAAATGTAACTTAGGTGAATTTGTTTTCCAGCCAGTCGACAAATATCAATCACAGAGTTCACAGTACCACACGCTGTGCAAGCTGGAGAGGATGCGGAGTTACACTGCAGATACGACTTGAACAAGGACGAGTCAGACAAGGGATTATACGTAAAATGGTGGTGGACGCCACTAAACGGCACTAGTGAACAAATGCACCAACTTTACCAGAGGATCATCGGACGCGACCCTATGATAATTACGAATACAATTCAACTAGGTATCTTTAACAGTATCTATAACAGTTTCAATGTGTGTAAATTAGCACATAGATTTATTTTATCATTTTTGTTGTAAGGACTTTTACGAACATAAATTTTTAAATGACGTCGACGAACACCCAGATTCAAAACAATTATCTCTAGGTCACGCAAATATATACCTCGTATATGAATCCCAACGTCGTAGCCAATACCTGGGCAACTGCGCCGCGGATTCGAAGCACTTACGCGCGAAACTCACGGTCTTACTTAAAAGTCTTTTAACTCTTGGTATCGACGTGGACCTCTTAACAAAACAGCTACGACTCGGTACAATAGAGATAACGATAGTTGCATGACGGTGTGGTAGGGCCGCGCAATAGTTTTCACTCTTGCACGAATGAGCGGGTCTGTCCGGGTAAGTACCACGGCCTCACAGGAGACCAGCTTAAATTAGAAGTGTTACACTTCTGCGTTTCGTCTGGTGAGTGAGGTAACCGGGGCCCAATTTATTTAAAGGTGCATTTGCAACCCTACGGGTGTTGCAAGTGTCAATGGGTGGCGGATATTACTTAACATCAGGTGAACCGCCAGCTCGTTTACCACTTTTTCACATAAAATATATGTAAATCCACGTAAATTATTTGTAACCCACAAACAACCGTACACTCCGAAAGTGCTAATGAAACCAAATACACGTTAAAAACTGATTTAAAAATGTAGGTCGAGTTTGTACATCAGTTCATACAGTGCCACCTGAATAATTCTACAACAGTTGAATCACTCTACTATAAGAATTCTGCCGACTCGCAAGACCTAGGAATATAAGACGGTTGTAGGTCCCTGTGATGCGTCGTTGACCAATAAATCTGTGAACCGAAAGCTCCTTTTTTGTTTAAATTTTACAAAAATCATTACATTTACTAATTTTACATATTTTACTGTTTCCAGAGTCACTAGAAAATGATGGAATTCGATTACTAAACATGACTCCTGCAGACTCTGGGACCTACGAGTGTGAAGTTTCAAATATTAATGAAATAAGGCAACATCAAGAATTAATTGTGTATTGTAAGTCTGAAATACATTTAAATTGTTGTAAATTGAAAATTCCTAATGCGTGAACTATAATATGTATATTGAATATCGTGTATGATACTATAGTATTATAACTCGGCATACCTACCACATACAATAAATATGTAATTAACCTTACTACAACAACGAAACTCACAAAGATTTTATTAACTTTAATGTTGCAAAATAAATAAATCTCAAGGAAACTGTCTTGAAAGCCAACATAAAACTTTTTTCTCATTTTTTAATGTTTTGTTTTTATTTTTTATTAAGCCATGGGCAGCGGTCCGCAACTTAATGTCTCCGTTGCGCCAGATGGACCTGACGAAGACGAAGAGGAAGACGTGTTGGTCACGTGTGAGGCGCATGACGTTGCTCCATATCCGGACATTTCTATTACAGTGGACGGGTGAGACATACACACGTGTATCTTTTTTTACCTCGATAAAGCCACATAAAGTTTTTAGAAATTAGAAAAATATCCGAATCATCCGGGATATGCTGTTGGTTCTGTCCCACGGTGCTACCCATTACCACTGGTTTATCAATTAACGTCAGGTTAACCGCCTGATCGTTTACCGCATTGTCGTAGAAAAATCGACCTGAAAACACACACAATTAAAATAGGTCCAGCCGTTTAGGAGGAGTTCGGTGACATACACGGAAGAAATATTATATATATATATATTTATAAATCTATTAGACCCCAACAACTGCTGAATTTTTTAGGTCTATGAAGGTAAATCTGTTTCGATTTATTTAAGAAACTTAGTGAAATAATTTTTATTAATAATAAGTGCGAGTCGGACTGGCTCACGAAGGCCTGCTTACCATTATCTATCTATAAAAACGGCAAAAAATCGTGTACACTGTATGGGAGCCCCTATTAAATATTTTTTATTGAAATACTTTTTTATTCCGTTTTTAAGTATTTATTGTTATAGCGGCAACAATTATTAACTGTCCAACTATTACGGTTCATGGGATACAGACAGACAGTGGAGTCTTAGTATTAGGGTTGACCTAAAAATGACCATTACGATGATTTATCTTTACTGCAATTAAGATTTATCTTTATTAGTTATTTATGTTTGTTTACAGAGTCTCTTTTAATACCTCCGAAATCGTAGAAGGTCCCATTGAAGGAATGTATGATATAATTGCTAACGCAACCGTGACCAAAGAGACGGCTGACGGTGCGGAAATTCGTTGTGAATTATTTTATAAAAATGACAATATCTCTCATCCTGTTTTTGCCAACATCGAAACTTTCGATATATCAGGTAGGTATCAGTGGCAAATTTAATTTGGGTTTATTTATTTAAGAACGAATAATAGTTAAAAATTCATATTTTTATTTGAACTAATTGTAACTTAAAAACAATTCTGCAAAAAACGTATTAATTTAAAGTAAGATTTATGCATAAAAGCGTTTTCTTATTGTATTAATAGTAAGAAAACGTTTTTGGTTGCATTGAGCTTTAAATGTAATCCAGTATTCTATTAAGTTTTAGGTTGTTTATCGAAGCATGACACAATAACTGCATTTTGACTGATTTATGGTGAATGTTAACTGTTGGCTCATGACACTGTCGGCGCTTTTATACAGCGTGTCTTTACAATCGCGACAATAAATGAACACACATATAGAGGATAACTTTTTAAAATTGTATTAAACATTTACATTCTTTAAACATCAATATTTAAAAGGTTATTAAATGTTCCAAAACAAAGAATTTTAGAACACCCTTACGTATAAAACTGTAACGTAAAGTTCATTTGTAAAGGTCACAAAGCATATGAATGGGTTGAATGAATTTAAAAGAGACAAAACATACTGTTAAAAGGAGACAGACGCTTGTAATGCGACGCTGTGGCAACGAATGAAAAAGTCTCTGAATGTATGAATCAGTCAGTTGTAGTTGTATGAGATGTTAAAAATTGTGTTTCTTTTTTACTTAATTAATTTGTTTGAGAAATATTTTTTTTTAATTATGGATTTTGTTTAACGTTAATATTCATTTATTGTCGCGACGACACGCTGTATAATTACCAAATTCATAATTTGTTTAACATATTGGCATATTTAACTTACAAGGGCTGTTAAGGAAAAATAATATTATTCTTCTTTGCTAAAATATATCGTATGAGATTTGATGCAAAAATATAAAACAAAGTTTCAAGCCATATCTTGTAGTCTCATAAAATCATAGAAAGATTTATTATCAAATGACTTAACGCTATTGTTATTTAATTATACGCTTTTAGATGAGAAGTTGAGTTTCATTAAATGTTTAAAAATAAGAGATAATTTGCGTTATTTTGGTTGATAAGGTAAGTAGTTACATTGTAATTGAGTGGCAATTTTCGCAAACTAACAAAATGTTCGTTATCGGTTTGGGGCGCCAGGGGTCGAGCTATCCACTACAGAGGTCCCCGAGAACTCCACTGTTGCAGATGTTGTCTCCGAAACTTTACAAAATATAAGTAAGTGTCTAGTACCCACAGTAATCCAAACACCCTTTTAGACTCTGCAGATTGTACTTACTACCTAATCTGTGATTAGTTTTTAGGTTTCTTCCAAAATCCGGAAGAATATTTTCGTCAAACCCTTTTTTTATTCACACTAGCTTAAAAAGAACCTCAGCGTAAAAATTATAAAAATCTCTTTGGTAATTTAATTCCACTTAAAATGACAGTGTTATTTTCTGAAGCATCTTATTTTCTTAATCTTTATAAAAACACACCGTATATTATATATCTATAAACTTGCTATTCAATACAATACAGACTATCGGTCTGCGTCCCAATAGCTTGCATATTTTGCAATAAAATTCGTTTGTTGTGACATATCCCAAACAACACATTGCGTTATGTAATGGAACAATTGCCGTACATTTATTACAATATGTATTAACAAAATGATAACTATACATAAATGAATAGGTAAACTAAACCTACGCTTATGTTTGTCATCACTTATAACAAGCATTGCATTTTGATTAAAACGCTATGGCATGTATTTTACTTAATTAATTAAAAATTATTTATTTTTAACAATCATTAAATACACAATTATTTCATTTTCTCTGTAAGAATTAATGTACGCAATTTAGGTAAAAACAAAAGCTTTTAATTAAATTTTCCCAAACAAATCGCATGTTTTTAGTTGGTTTGTTTTGAAATTGGTGAAACCATGCTATTAAAATTGACGAAAAGTTCAAAGATCGTATACGTTTTACCGTTTGTTTGCAACGCGACAGGGCTATTTGTTCGATATGAGTTCCCAAATATTGGTTAAAATTAGTAAATGTTAACGATATTTCCTTAAGCCTTATTTTATTCAATGTTCGAATGGCCTTAAAAAAAATGAGTAATGTCGATTTTGGATTTTTTTTTATAAAAAATAACTTTGTCGTTTATATTATGATAGGAGAGTTTGTTGCAATGACTCGGTGGTGCAATTGCTGAGCTATTGGCTTCGGTGTCGAGGGTTCGATGTCCCCACGTTAGTAACTAGTTGTACGACCCCCTAGATAGTTGTTCCAAATCTGGATGGTTATTAAACTGCTGGTATAAAAAATCTAGCCAGTATAATTAATAACATGTTGATTTATATGTTGTGCCTTACCTTATAGTAACCTAGGCAAGGGGAGGAGAAAGATGAAGTTTGATATATTTCAAGAATATACAGGGAGGCTTTTTTAAAGATGCCCAAATTTACACAGGAGGTTCAGACTCAGTAGTATAATTGTTTATTGAAATAAAAACAAACTTTCTTTTTCAAAAAAAATACCATTCTATTCCCTAAAAAACAGAACTTGTTGACAACGCGGTTGTCATTCGTAAATACCTAAATTTTACTGTTCACGCACACATACGAACTTGTGTGCGTGTCAGTTATGAATGATCGCGCGTAAAATAAATGAGTTGCGTATAAATCAAACACTTTTTGAGATAAGTTCAAATGAATGTAATTAATTACTTACAAGTGATTTAAACTACTTATCATTTTTTATAGAACATTATTTATGTCTAGAATTTATTAAAAAAATACACTCCGAAAAACCTCCCTGTATACTAACAATTACTAATAACGATGCATTAAATAATATTATAGAAATATAATATACCTACACATAATAGAAGTTCGTTTCAAAAGTATACGACGCATTTATGAATGACTACCGCATTATCAACAAGGAAAATTCTAAGGAATTGAATGGCAATTTTTTTGAAAAAAAAAAAGTATGTCTTTATTCCAATAAACGATTATACTACCAAGTCTGAACCTCCGGTGTGAATATGGGCACCTCTATAAAAGTCACCCTGTATGTTATGACTTCTAAGTATTTTATTATACACGTACCTAATAATCAATTGAACTTCAATATTAAATGAAAATTTTTCAGATGGCGGTAAGCAACTCGACAGTTCCTTGCTTCTAAATCTTGGGCTACTGTTACCTGCATTGTTTTGCTGTAATATGTTAATGTGATACTAAAGAGGGTTATTTTATTTATTTGAGGTTAATTTATATATTTATTACAATAAAATTATAAAAGAAAAAAAAACTATTTTCTTACAAATAAAGATCAACCTTGACATTTCCAGCCTATGTGTGAATTTTAGAAGCTCACATGGCAGTTCTTTGGACCGCTTCATGGTAAATTCTGGCAGCATACGAGTGGCGCCTATACCACGAAACGAAGCATCGTTATCACAATACATTTTAACATAACTCACTGCAGCTTTTCGGGCTTTGAAGAGGCGACACGGCACCCTCACCTACCGTGCGACTCAGGTTCTCGGGACACGGGGGTTTCGGGAGGTATCTGTTTCGCGTAGCAAGGAGGGAGCCCACAGCGGAATGCACCACTGTGACGTGGAGACAACCATAACACGCGCTGGAAGAGTGCCTAACCTGGTGGGGCAGGACCTCTCGCTGCTAACCGTGGTTCGCGCTATGGTTGACAGCGAGAGGACGTGGGATACTGCCTAGCATACTAAGAGAACATTATCACCCGAAAGGAGGCCGGCCAGGACACAGGAGGCTGGCCAACGCGCGCAACCTTACCTTAAGAAATTGGAATTTCAGCCAAGGAATCACATTGTATAGCAAGCATTGCTGCAAATGCAATAAAAAAAAAGATATAAAACCTAGAGAACTTCGCGTACTATGTGATGACGCCGACCGCTTAACTAAGTGACTATCTGGACCCGTAATCCTGAAGAGTAGGAGTTCGAATCCTAGCAACTACGAAAGGTTTTATGTACACATCATTGTTCTCATTTTACAAGTTTAAATTGAGCTGAAACCTAAAGCATATTAACAGGTAAATTTACGTAAGACAGTATGTACCATTCACTGCAGACTTATGTAGATCTTTGAAGTTCGTTCTGTAGTTTCTGGATTCATTCAGAAGATGCAGTGACGTCATATTTTATTTGGTCAACATTAATTTTATTTTTAATTTTAAACTGTAGTAGGACCACGCAGCGATTTTTGCTGTGGCAAGATTGCAAGCACTTCTAGTGAAGTACCAAAGAAAACCGGCGTGACGTGGGTGTGTGCTATTTCTACGATTTGCCTTACGGTTGTGTAGAAACGCATCTGCAACTCTACGGGTTGTTTCGTTTTTTTTAAATAGAAGTAGATGTCCATGGGAACTGGGGTGAATTGCTTGCCATCTTGTCACAAAAAAAACTTAACAATATTGTTATACCCAGTGGAAAACAAGTTGAGTAATACATAGAAATATATATTCATCATCATTTAAGTAGGTATATTTTTAAACCAGGAAAAAATTGAATAAAATATTAGACAGAGTATATTTTATTATTTCTCCATACATGGTAATTGTTGTAAAATAATAATCGAAACATATGCTAAAATAAAAAAAAACTGAAATAATGTTAATAAGCAAATAAGAAATTATAAAAAAAATATTACCATAATATTGGATGGCCATGATATTAATGGAATATTGGAAATTAAAATGGTGGGGGTATGATTACCTTAACTTTAATGTGAATCATTCAAAATAGTTACTAGCTGCATCACTTATTACTAATTACATACAAATTTAATTACATAAATATTTAAGAAATGAATGAAAAACATTCACAACTAAAAAAAATATGAGTCTTTGATTTTACTTAGGTACAAAATCTTTGGCAATAACTACCACAGCTACCGGCAATAACTAGCCACAGGCCTAATTTTAAAAACCAGATATGAGTATCTGAAATTAAAATGTTTAATAGTATTTAATACATGATAAAATAACATTAACTATATTTGTATATTTTAAATTCAGAGCTTTTGTAATGTTGACACTTTGGTAGAAAATTGCATTAACTTAAATATATAGTATATTTGTGTATTGTGAAAAAGGACTTCAAATGTTGCCAAATATTTGAAAATTAAATATCACTAGATGTCTAGGTACAATAACTGTATGTATGATACAAACAGTAATTGTGCCTAACAAACAGTAATTAAGATGTTTAATAACAACAGAAAATGAAAGTACATAGTTTAAGTGTTAAAGACCTTTTTTTTCTATTTTCTTTGATGCATAACATTATAATAATATATGCTGACCATAATGAAGAGTAAACACCTGCTAATTTTTTCTGATTAGAAATATTAGCATTTTAAACTCAACTTCAATACATGTTTGTTTTTTCTTATTGAATTATATTTGGCAAAAATTTCAGTTAGGTACTGATAGCTTATCTAATAATATACTAATTATCTAAATATTATTTACTATTCTTATCTGTACTACTAGGACTTCCACAAACAAAATTACATGAATTGTGCCTTGTTTTATTTCTTGATCCATCTGTATTTACATCACCTGCTGCCACAGATGTTAATGCAACAGTCTTATCAAAATCAATGGTAGTATAACCAACACTGGATGTTGTACCTGTAGTTAAGCAAGTAGTAGCTGTCATTTTTTCTAAGCTATTTTGGGATACCAATCGTCCACGAGTTTGTGAAGAATAAGAGGTGCTGCTTTCATTTTTCGAACTTGTGTATGACTGACTCTCAGGGGATGTCAAATCTCTTGGAATTTTAGTACCATCCTTATTAGAATCAATATCTAGGACAGCATAGTTGACTTCCAACTCTTCCACTGGGGACATTGACGTTAACGTATCTGATTCTGAAAACTTTTGATTCTGTTCAGTAATTGAAAAATGAAGGGAGTGTTTCGCTGTCTTCCCACTATCAACTATGTCACCCAATGATAAGTTTGCATAACTGTTAACTTCTGGTTTATTGTTAATATTTAAATTGCAATACTCTACTTGCTTTGGTGTAAGTGGTGTTGTGGGCGCAACTTCACTTTTGTCAATATTTGTTACATTACTCTCATTTGGAACCACATTAACATATAATCTTGCTGTCTCAAATTGTTCAATAGTTAGTTGAGCATAATGTTCACTGCTATTACTTAATGTGGGTGATAAAGTACTGTTACCTGCGTTTTTGGCAAGTTTCTCTCTAGCACGCTTATTTCTTAAATATATTTCTTCATCTTCAATATCCTTCATTGTATTTATAGCAGCTTGTTGACACAGAGAGCTTCGGAGCATTGCTATATCTCTACTTATGTCATTGCTATAAACATGTCGAACCTCAGAGGTAGCTTCTTGGTTATTATTATGCTCTCTCTTAAAGTCCCGCACTTGATAAACATTGGTTACATGATTATTAGCAGTTTGGGAGCGTGAATTTAAGGGCATCACTTCCAAAATATCTACACTCGATGGTGACCTTGGTGATTGTGTTGCATTACGCATTACTGCACTGTGGGATGCAATATTAGATAGGCTATTATTTTCTTGTACTGTATTGTCAGCTTGCCCATTATCAATTGATGAGCGATGTACTACAGAAGCTTGTAGTGTTTGGCGGCCCTGAGGAGATGGTGTTAACCTGGATACAGGATATGGCATGGAATCATGAATAACATTTCTCAATTGTATTTGTTGTTGCAATGTTCGGAATAGAAATGAGGCTCTTTTACATCTAAATGCATAAATTCCTTCTCCTGTCTCACATCTTCTTCCTAAAATTTAAGTTAAGGAACTGTAAGTAGATGTTACTATTTATTTGTTAGTATAATTAATGAACTATCTATTTGTTATATATGTAATATAACAAATAAATAACATTCATTAAGTAAGTGTACATGTTATTTGATACACCATGCAGTATGTTCCAAGCAAAAAAATGTAATTTATTTTATGTCATTAACTAACAAGATAAAGTAAAGTAAAAATATCTTTATTCAATATAAGATGCATTACACTTAATTATTGATGGTCAAAACACTACCACTGTTTCGGAAAAACAAAGCCACTGACCTGAGAAGAACAGACAAAAGAATCTCAGCAGAATATTTTTTTACCATGATTTGACGTTTAAAATGTATTTAAATCCATTTGAAATAGCCTGGAGTGACCAATCTGTTTCAAGAGCTTGTTATCACTTAAATAATCACTAATATTAGTGATATAACAGCCTATGACACACAAAGATTCCTTTACATTTTTTTTAAATTTAGCAATTAATGCCTTGTGAACATTTTCTGGGATTTTGAATGACTTATTCTATGCAGTCTAATTGTGGATAGAACTACATATTCAAGTAAGAACATTATAAGAAACCAAACCTGACTCAAAACTAAAGATTTCTCCTTCAAATCCATATCTTCGCAGTGAATGTAATGGCCAAACAGTAGAATCTCTTCCTTCTCTATATAATATAATATCAGAGTCTGTGATTTCTAATTGGCCGGAACAAAGATCTACTCTATTCTCATCAATATTTATTACGCGAAAAATATTTGGATGTAAATCTGTAATCTCTTTTTTACTATGAAAACAGCCCATTGTAAACTTTGCTACAGGTCATATCGTTTTCTATAACTGAAATGAAGAACAAAATATTTATAAACGTTGTGTTTCGTATTTTATAAAGTAATTGTAAGCACGAAACAAAAAATAAAGGTTTTATACCTTTTTCATTGTAAACAAGTCACCGTCGAACGAGATTTTTTATACCTCTGCATCCGTCTCACAAATAATTATACGTTACAGGATCGAATTTACCTGAGCTCACTTATATTAATCGGTTTTTGGTTAATAATAATTACATAAAGTTAAATTTTCTTATAATTTACCCCAAATTGTAAATAATAGGCCCTATTTTTCTTTATATTTTGACATTTTTCAAAGAGTACTTTTATGTATCTGACATTTTTCCATAAAGTTGCCCTTATAAATAAATCTGTTTATAAGTTGTAACTTTTGGTATGATTTAGTATTTCCATTTTTAGAGTTCTTTATACAAAGGGTAAAACGGAACCGACTCTCCGGAACAGGCGGAAAAAGCTTACAGCATAATAAAGGAAAATTTTCATAAATAAAGGAAAAATTTCAACTTGCTACGAACACCTACATTCCTGAGAAAATTGGTAGTGATTATTTATCAAATTTATTATGGCGGTATAATCGGTAAGTACGGAACTCTCAGCGTACGAATTCAACTCAAAATTTACCGATTTTTATACTAATTGATGTTATAGCAAAAAACAACATAATCTGTGAAAATTTAAAATGTCTAACTATCACGGTTCATGAGATACAGCCGCAGATGAATAGACAGACAGACAGCGCTGTCTTAGTAATAGGGTCTCGTTTTAACCTTTGGGTATGGAACTCTAAAAAGGAAAACGATTAAAAGCAAAGACAGAAACTCTAAGCGTTTCAAACGAGGCCTGACCAGCGCAAAAATAATATATTAAAAAAGATCCTATACGTTACGTAAGTTAAATGACGAAAATCAAGAAAATTACAATAATCGTCTTAGTTTATATATCGCTTATTTTATATTCGCACTCGTTTGGCTAAAGTCTATTGATATAAATGAACTTGAATTGCTTTACGAACGTCAAGGAATACTGTTAATAGGAGATTTTGCCGATTGAGTTGCAGTTCGAATTTATCTCACTGTCAGACAAGAAGTCGCTTATACTATATCATTATACAAGTAAACGCTTATATATACGCAATGCACACATGATAGCTGAAAACGTGAAAACAACGTTTTAATTTTGTAATTACGCTGTTTTCGGAGCTACCCAAACTTTTCGAGAGATGTGATGTTATGTTGTATGATTAAGCAAAACAATGCATATTTTTGCGATAGTAGCAGTCGCGGTTGATTTGCTGTCATTTTTTGAATAGTTTCGTTGTCTACCTCCGAAACTCGTCATCAGATCTAAATGAAATTTATAGGGGACCATTTCAGAATAAAACCCTTTTAAACAACAAAAAAATTGCAAATTCGCCTATAGATGACGGAGTTATGCCCGAACATACATAAAAAATACAAACATCCTAATTGATAACCTCCTCCTTTTTGAAGTTGGTTAAAAACATAAAAACCAAAGCAACAAAGAACAAGTTAACGGCATATTGACTGGACGTCAGGCTACATCTCAGAAGAAGTGGCGGAGGGGGAGAGAGGGAGAAGATTAAGAAATTGCATCACAATTTTCATTCTCCAATGAGAGTGAAGTCACCGTGTGCCTGGCTGTGACTACACTATTGTATACTAATTTAAACAATGTGCTATCCTTCTCGCTATCCGACGCAACAGGGAGGCCCAATACAATTCCCTTCGCATGTAGGGTTGACACTTAGCTGAGACTGCGATCGATAATGAAATCTGTTTGAAATAAATAATACGGTCGAGACACCGCCCATCTACGCCCAACGATCGTTTACGAAAATGAAATAACGAAAATAATCAGATCGCGAGAGTTGAATTATTCCCGAAACACAAGATTCAGGAGTACCGTAAAATAAAAAAGTTAAACTGTTTCGAAATTATGTCGTATGCAAACTCGATTAAAATATGGCACACGAGTATATTATGCGTAGGTTGTCAACCGATAGCCCTTTAGTCTCGCGCTCATACAATAGGGCTACGACAGTGGCGAATATACTTCACTATCTGTACTTTAGTAGCAGGTAATCAAGAGAACTTTGCCTTGGTACCTGAAAGATACAACAGGGAAAAAGATACAAAAGCAATATAACAATTCAACTTTGCTACAATTAATATTTTATTAAAGATCGGCAATTCCTTGTTTGTAACATAGAAGTTGTGAATCCATATTTTTATCAATCCTCTGTCAAATTCATCTATATCAGGGCCTTGTCCCTTTCTCCTAAAAGTGCGGAAATTGGTTACTCGTTATTATATGCTTCCATCACAATTCTTTTCGAGGTTAAAGAAATTCATTCCAAAAAGACAATACAATACCATTTACATGAGAATATTATACTGATTTATCTATTATTTTCCTAATTAGAGTACAAGTGTTGTATATATGTAGTTGTTAACTGTAATTAATAATGTTTTTGATGTTGATAATTACCGCTGCCTCGAGAAACTAAAAAGGCGATACTGCTTTCATGCTTCTATTAGATATACAGGGAGGCTTTTTTAAGTGTAACCATTTTTTTATTAAATTCTAGACATAAATAATGTTATATAAAAATGATAAATATTTAAAATCACTCGTAATTCATTAAATAAATTCATTTGAACTTATCTCAAACAGTGCGTGATTTATGGGCAACTCATTAATTTTACGCGCGATCATTCATAACTAACACGCACACAAGTGCACTCAAATTGGATCACTCGTGTATATCCCTGATTGCCTTTAAAGTACGTTCAGTTTAGGATTGACAGTTATGTGGTTATGTGTATACTATATGTACACAAGGTAAAGGCGTCATTTAGTCCAATATCATTTCTTTCTCATAAAGAATATGTTAGAATATTGTAACTAGGTTTTTTGAAATGTAACATTATCTATACTTCTTGCACATATATGTACCATCGATGTACCATCTCAATGACTGTCCGAACCTTTACAATTCAACGATTTATTTAAAGTAAATGATTTAATTTGAGTTTAAACTTACAAAAATTTCTACATGTAATCGTATTATTTTACCCTATTATCAAAATAATAATAATGTGCCTTTTTTCAATTACATGTTTTACTTACAAAAATATGACGTACTTTTTTCATTAATCTCTAATAAAGGTGCAAGACAGACTATATAATCTTGACCTGTTACTATCTAGCTCAACCTGATACTATCTGGTCATCAAAAAAACACGAATTATGTTCATTTATCCTATATTCTCGAGGGGCAGTTATGCTAAATTTCTTCGGATCAGAACTTCACACGTTTCCACAATTAGTTCTGCTAATTTTATATTCTGGAAGTTTGCTGATGTCTCGACCGATGATTTTTTGTCAACTTGTGATAGCAGTCTTTGTATGATAATCATTGTTTTTGCCAACGAGGGGTTGGCTGGAATTGAAACGTCCAACGTCTGGAACACAATATTTTTTTTTAAATTTATATTACCCAATAATTTTTCATTAACAAATTTGTAAATATAACTAATATTTAGTTTAACTTATATTTAATTATAGCATTTACAGTTGAATTTTTTTTCAATTACTTTTTACAGACATTGTTTACATACTAACAAATTATAAGAATGCATTTAGTGTAAACTTAAATTCATATAACATCCGTAGTCAGGGGACTGACTAATCCATTAATGCTTCAAGTTATTCGAATCTTTGGATATGTAATAACAATTAAACTCAATAAAATGTAAAAATGGTTTCATTGAATAATGCGGTGTGTTCATGTAAATATAAAAAAATATTATGTCGAGATTGGTCAAATGATACTTACAGTATTCTGGAGTCGTTTATAAATTTGCGGCGGTACCGTGACGATCCACTCGGGTTGATTTTTACACCGCTCGAGACTTCTCTTAAGCCTCTGTATAGTAATAGCTACAATGGGTACTAGCAGCAGTTCGGGGTCCGCGACGGACCCAACCACACTCTCGGCCAGTCCATCATAACCCATGTGGTACAATCCCACGACCTGTTTCAAGAAATGTTTTTAAAATGCTTTAACTGGCTATCACTTGTATGTGATTTGATGTATGTTTATGTGTGTGAGCCTGTATGTATTTTTGCAAGATGAATTAGCCAATGTTAACCGCTTTACCACTCGAGAATAAATAGCTAGACAGCCGTAGGTGGTAAATGCATTAGCCCAGTAACAGTATATGAACGGAATTAGGGTGGCATCCAGATTGTTCCATTCCGTTATTTCGCTTATAATCAATAACGAAGTATCTCGGTTTGAATATGTGGAAGGTCGATAACAAAAAGATCAAATTTCCATGTAACCAATCCAATCCAACACACACATGATTAATAATGTACCCTGAGAAAATAATGCATACATATTATGCATATACTAGAGTACGCAGTGGTCGAAATTCGACCGTAATTAATTTAAATTATAAATTTGAACAATATAAATCTATACTCAATACAATACACAATACACAAAAGCGTATGTAAGCGTGTGTATTTTAATGTATTTTTTTGCATAATAAAAAAAATATTAGCATTCTGCATTCCTTCTATATATAAACTATAAGTTTGGGAAATTTCATACTCCTCCATTCGCGTAGAAATTTTCGTAGCAAGGGGCACAAAGTTTTTGCTTCACGTATTAATATATAGATACATTACCGTTAGGTAATATCAAAGTGGCTAGTCGTTAGAACAAAATGAAATAATTTAACTTTAAATTATTGATTACTTACATATTGATGTTTTACAAAACTCTCCTCGATATTCCATAATTCGGCCAAATTACTAATGTTTTCCATCCAGCGCGAGCATTCGTCGTTGTTGTAAATTAAATTTGCTTCATTACTATCCACACACGTAATAGTATCAACAGCAGATCGAATTAATTTTGTCAGGAATTTCATTCTAGGGCTTAACAATTTGCTAGAAGTCTTCGTACTTATATCCCTTTTCATAACATTGCCTGCAAGTGCCTCAATAAGGTATTGATAATCAATGTCGAATAACGTATCTAACGCTTTTGGGAATTTTACATTAAAGTAACACTGATAGTATACAGTACAAGAAATTTGATAGTTTAGATTCAAAACGTCAGTATCAACGTTCTTGACATCTTGGGCGACTTCAACCAACGAAGGCATGCTCTCGTCCCATATCTTCTCTAACTTTATAGCCCTCTTTTCTTGGTCAATTGATGTTGTTGAACAAGCCTGGAAATCTTGAAGATATTGCATTGCAACATCCAGAAAGCTTTTCAAACTTTTGCTGTCAAATCCCAAATCTTGCATACATAAATGATCTTTCGGCAGTTTACCAACTTTGTTAACAAAACGACAAGTGATTTCAAACACGTGCTTGATATAGGTAGACCATATTATAGAATAAAGACCAAGTCTTAGATGCAAGTTATATATGTGTTTTAAACAATGCATTACAGCCTTTAGATCTTCGTTGGATTTAATTGATTTCTGCCAATTCATAGCGTATTCCCAGCACATGTTGGCGATAATATAATCGGCCAACGTACTCAGCGGGAACTGCCGGCGAAGTAGGGAGAGCCATTTGAACAATATCTGATTATCATTTACATACACCCTCGAATTCTCCAAAAATAACTGGACCGATTCACCGCCATCATCATCATCTGGAAGTGCATCATTTTCCAATGATCTATCGATCAATTCATTTGCAACTATGGCCTCGGGCAGAACACCCATGCTACAAAGCCATTTCGCTATCAACTCCGTCACAGACCCCTTTCCCCTGGTGTATATATATTTTAAATTAATATTAAACTCCTCGACCGGCAACTTCGGCAATGATTTGCCGTTGAACTGTCCTTTAAACATTAAAGTGATGCTGAGAATTGATATATCTTCTAACTTGCCAATGAGTATACCCCATTTTGCGTTTTCCTTTGTGACCGATTCCCATGCATCCTCTCTCTCGGTCGTAGCACCTTCGAACAAGCTCGCCACAGCTTTGCAAGCCATTGCCACGATCATACTTCTTAAAGGGCATCGCATCTCCACGAGCATGTCTCTTACGCCTTGCCACCATGGCGAGATGTCGTTGTAGTTTATATTACTAGCATCATCGGTTCCTTTACACAAATAGTACAACACTTCAATAAACCTCTCGATTATTTCAATGTTAATCTCGTCGAAAGGTACATTCATTACATTCATTATCAGCAGTCTCACTATCTCTTTTGGATCGATGTGACTTTTTCCTACAATACTTATTAGTTTTTTGTAATTTTTCAAATTGAAAACTGATTTGAAAATATTTGCCGCCAAAAGGTCGAGCCTCTCGACGGGAATATTGGGTTTCAGAACAATGACATTGCTCGCTTGATTTAAAATGTAATTAGATATAAATTCCTTAAAATTATTTCTATTGTTGTCTACAAAGGATACTCTTGCTTGTTGCTCTTTAAAATTGTTTTCTTGAGCTAAAATTAATAATCGTTCTAAGATACAACTATCATCTTCGAGTAGGTGAAAATTTTGTACATCTAATTCATCCTCTTCATTCCCTTCAAAAGCACGCAAGTTCAAATTTTCACACACTTTATCGAGCAATTGAAGCATATCGTGGCCAGGGTCATTGTTTATATTTCTGTAGAAGTAAATCAATAAAGTTAACTTCGCAAAATAGTTCTTGATTTCTTTCGCAGGGTTACTTAAATTGTCTTTATCAATACGATCCCAAAATATCTCCAAACAAGCTGTCACGATATCAAACGATATATCAACACTCCTTATGAAAATATCGATACAATGTTTCATGATCTCCAAAGTTTTGAGACTAGTCGCCTTTTCAATTATATCAGTTTTAAACTCTTCAGGCAGTGAATAAGGCTTTTTCATACTTTCTCGTATTTCACGCAATAAATGCAAATCCTTGGATCGCTCTAAATGTTCGCCTTCCAAAGCATAATAGAAAGGTATATTAAATCTCTTTAATTTACCATCAGGATCTATTAAAACACATTGAATTTCGGGCATATTAAGTCTTTTGTGCGAGTAATTTTTTTCAGCTCCAACCATGCCACAAGTATTATACAGTAATTGTCCATTTTTCGTTGCCGTAAATACAGCGACGCGAGTTCCTCTTTGCATCAAACGTATGTCTATGAGACCTTTCTTAGGATTGTAAATAATTAGAAATATTGCTCTACGAATGTCTTTAACGACGGTAAGTTGCGGCTTTTTATTATCTGTATCAAAAATCTGGAAAAAAAATAAGCTAATTAAAAAATATAAAGCTTTTGCAGTTGTGCGTACCGTGTTAAAATAGGTACAACTGCAAAATTCTATATCGTTTGGTGTACAGTTGCGAAATTGTTGTTATTCTGTTTCGTATTTTGAAAAGGATCTATATATTAAGTTATACACATCCTTCAACAATTTGAGTAGAGTTACATAAAAAAACCGTATGGAATCCGAGTGGTAAACGACCGAGGAATACTGGTGTGGCTTGTAGAATCAAAGTAATTGACATGGGCTCTCCTTGAAATAAGGGAGGTGTTTTAAGTAAAAAACTAAATAACAACCTGAATGTCCCAATGATGGCCAAGGCCTTTGTACAGAGGGTACTGTACTGTACAGTATATACACATTATTCATAATAAATATAATTTAAATTTAATACATACCTGAACAAAGGCGCACTGAGCATCTCTGTAGCCTTTGAAAAGCTTTATTATATATCCAGTATTAACATCGAGCACTGCAACCCGGCCTAAGTTGTCTGCTAATGCTGCAAGACGACGATCGGGTGATATAGCTACAAATGTTCCATGACGCTGAGCGTCGAATATGCCATTTCGCATAGATAAAATCTCTGATCGAATGACGGGTTCCGAATTTGTGGTAATGCTCTCCGTTGACCCTCCACCAAGCCAGCCACTAGATTCGAAAAAATATTATAAATAATACCCCCTACCCCAACAATACACTACTAAGACTTATAATTATTATTATTAATCTATTATTTCTTAAATGCTAGCCAGTTTCAGATTTTTTACTATGACCGCGCTGTGCGTGTCCAGCATGTTTATCAACACACCGTTTATTATATTCTTACGAATAGTCGCTTATGTAATGGCCAAAAAAAGCGATTCCTTTGTGTTCAAATCAGAACATCACTCGGAACCCGCCCGGCCGATTTAAAATCGGACACGAGCTGACTGACCTTGCCACTTGATGCCTCAGTCAGGCACGCAATAACACACGTGCTAGGAGATAATGGATTAATCGACACGCATGGGTAAAGAGCAACTATTTGGTCTTTAACTATGAAATTGCCGTTTTGTATGAAATAAGTAAAGTATTTTTTTTCCAAACTTTTAATTTCTGTTATTCAACTTAATCACCCCTGCATGTTTGCCAACGCACTGGTAGTTTATGGATGGCCTTTTTGTAAAAATCCGGTGGACGGGAGGCAACAAACTCTTCAAATGCATTTAGTACAGCCTCTAGGGGATTTATTTATTTTCCCCCTAAAAAGTTGTCCAAATTTTTGAAAAATTAATAATCAGTAGGTGCAAGGTCTGGTGAGTATGGCGAATGATTGAGAGCTTCCAACCCCAACTCTTGCAGCTTGAGCAAAAGCGCTTTCGAGTGTCAAACAGAATCCAATTTCATCGCACGTAATAATTCGGTTCAAAATTCCTTCATTTCTGTGCCTGTTGAGCAGAGCGAGGCAGTTCCCGACGCGTAGGTTACGCTGGCGATCGTCAAGTTCGTGGGGCAACTATCTAACAAGCTTTTTTACCTTGCCAATATGTCGCAAATGGACCAATATCGTTTTGATGCTGACATGAAAAGCTACTGCTAGCCCGTCTGTAGATTGAGTATCATCAGCTTCCACAATCGCTTTTAATTCATCATTATTGACCAAAGTGTCCGGACAACTACGAGGTTCCTTTTTCAAGTCAAAATTTCCAGAACAGAACCGCGAGAACCAATAACGGGTTGTGCGTTTGTTTATTTGTTGTAAGTTCTCTCCGAAAAACGTTGTCGATGTTACGTACATTGTGCCGCGTTGGTGCCGCGATGAAACTCGTATTCCATAATTACACGAATTTTTAAAGTACCCATTATGACGAAAAATGTTCAAATGTAATGAAAATACAAAGTTAATCAATATACAAAAAACAGACTGTAAAAAGAATTTCATTTAGGTACCTACAGCTATATTGTAATTCAATCAATTATTTATGTTACAAATTAAAGTTATTTTTAGGTTGCAAGTCCAGAAAACTTTGAAATGCATTTATATATATGGCATTCTTATTAAAAGATAAAAACTTACGGAAGTGCCGACTTAATTTTGTTTGCAACTGCTCTTGCAACATCTTGTAGGGGTGGAGTTGTTCCCCCCTCAAGAGCATAATGAAAACCAGTGTATGGTGCTGTTCCAGTTGTTAAGATCAAACTGTTGACTGGGGGAATAGACCGGTACCTGCATAATCATAAATGCATATATATTCATATAATATTTACTCTATCCATCAAAACGTAGGAATCAATTTCTTAAATTAAAAAAACACTATTGAAGAGATTGGAGGCAATTTAGTAATTAAGTTACATATAATTAAGAAGTATTAAATCTTTGATGAATTATGAAATGCTATTACAACTTCATTTAAGAGTGATTTCAATGGCATCACTATGATATATTAGGTTGTTCGGATCAAACCCGCCCGGTTTTGAATTTTTATTGCGCCATATTTAAGGATCAACATAAGATTGAGCGTTGGATTCAACCACCATGTTCCCCTGACTTAAGTCCGTGTGATTATGGTTGACTTCATCAATTAAAGAGAAGAATTGGTGGTGTTTGGTACTCTGATGGCAATGCCTTACGTAAAGCTTTGGATAAAGAAATAACCGATGGCAACCAAAATGGAAGGTAAGAAAGTTACCTTAGCGCTGACAAGCGGTTATAAATTCGCAAAGAGTGACTACCCCTACTTGATCTTTGAATATAAGTTTGTATAAATGAAAACTATATCTTTTATTGGAATATTTGTGTGGGCGGGTTTGATCAAAACAACCTATTAAAATTAATGAAAATAAAATGATACTTTATGAACTCAAAGCTAAAACTTAGTGTGTATAGATTTTGTATTTAAACTGAATAAGAACTATCTGAACATATTACCAGGTATCATAACCGCCATAAGTTGAAGCAGCCAAAAAGTGGTCAAAAGTATTCTTCAAATCAAGACCAACAACTGATGCATCATTGATTGACTCTTGTTCGGAAAATGACCATTTCCTGATGTTTATATTGCGGTTGTCAACTACATAATCATCTTGAATGCCTGCTTGAACTTTAAGTTGGAATAAGTTTCACTTAAACATTCTATCATGGTAAGAAACCATGATAGAATGTTTAAGATCACTCACAAGATCAATCACATTTCTTTTAATATGATAGTGAACAGTCTGTGTATTTTGTATTCTTAAGTTACCATTAAATTATAAAATGCAAACAAAAACTGTATTTTTCTTTATATTTACTAGATACAATGTTATGTGAACAAGTCTAAGTAAATTGCATGGACAAATGTTTCCCTGGAATATGTGGTTTGTTTCTGACATTATCTTAGGTATATAGAATAGGGCTTCACATTAAAGACAATACCTTAGGTACATAGATGATTCATCAGGAACCTTGATCATCCACTCAAGAAAACCCAGAGAGGATGGCAATATGACAATGTTACTTTTTGCTGCTAGAGAAAGTATGGTGTCCTTGGTCAGCACGTTTTTTTGTCTCTCTATATTATACAGTTTTCACTCACCTCTAGCTAATTGTGCCTTAGCATTGCGTAAGGTTTGAAACAGACTTGCCCCCGATAAAACACAAACACATCCTTGAAAAAGGATATGAATATCATCTGGTAGAGTTCCATAAGTTCCAGTATGACATGATATCTTCATAACAGGTTTATCATCTAGTTTTTCAAGCATTAATAAATGGCCAGTGTTAGTGTAAAATGCAATATTTCCATTACGACAACCAACTATAATACAAAACCAATCTGGTCCATTCTGTAAGTATATTAATACATATATTTAAAACAGATGTCATGTAAAATTGGCAATAAATGTTTGTTCTCCTTCCAACACTTGACATAATTATTGCAAACCTGTGATGATTGGTGTGACGGGCAAATAGGCAATGTTAAAATCGCACTTATTTCCGCAGGCAATGTTCCACTCCAAGATATTATAAATGTGTTACACTCAATAGCGCTTATCCACTGAGTAGTTAAAAGACATAGACGATTTTTAAATCCAACAGCTAGTAAATTTCCACAAGATGACAAAGATACGTAGCATTGGGAAAGCCAATTTTTATCTGAAAAAGAATGTAAGCATGAAAGTTTATTAAAAATAATATAAAGGGTATCTGTTTGATCTCCCTTACCTTCTTTTTCAGGAATAAACAGTGATCTCCCTAGACTTAAAATATCTCCACAATCTGCAATCTGTTCCACAGTACACATTTTTGTTTAGCTTTTTCGATTTTCCACCAATAAATTATTGCCATGCAAGACATATAATTGTAAATAATACTCAAGTCACAACAAAGACATTATTAGAGATGTTGACATTGACACTTGACAGTTGACAGCAGTAAATGAATAACATACAATCCGATTTTCGTAAAAAATTCCATCTATAACGACGCAGTTTAAAAATGAATGTGGTAGCGCAAGGCGTAACTTTAATTATTGCAGCTCTTCAATCTGAGAGCTTCATTCTTTTAAATTTTAAACTTTTGTACATAAACGTACAAAAACTATCGCCGTACGGGATTCAAACCTGCGTGTTCTGGTTTCGAGCCCAGACGCTTTACCAACTAAGTGAAGCGGCCGATGATCTCACAGCATGAAAGTCTTTATCTACGTTCGTTCCATTGCATTTTTAGCAATGCTTGGCGCCAACTAATGTGCATTGTTTACAACATACAACACCTAACAAATAACATTCAACGAGGAATATTTGTAACGAGAGATATCGCCATTGCTCTTGAGTTTTTTTAATTAATTTTTATTTTGTTTTGTGCTGTGTCTTTGTACTCAAGATAAACTTGAGAAACAAGAAGAGAAACTTTTAGATTTTAAATGTTTGTAGATATATGAACAAGAACTCTCGCAGCTGCGGGATTTGAACCTGTGATTTTACTTTCGCGCCCAGACGCTTTATCGATGACCTCACGATGAGCAAACCTTGCCATCTATCTACATTCTTATTGCATTTTTAGCTATGCCTAAATAGAGCGAGACAGTATTTTCGGTCGGCCCATCGCTAACAGCTCCATACAGCTCACATGGAATAATGTTCAACCTTTGGGCTTGTGCACCAAAATGCCAGCTCCTTCTGTTTGACCGTATCTAATGCTCGAGTCGTCGACGGCCACGTCCTGTTCGAATGCTCGAGTCGTCGACGGCTACGTCCTGTTCGAATGTCTCGATGGATATTAGCAACAGTATTTTGACGTAAGTATTACGAAGCTAATGTCAAATACATATCGCCAGTAACCAAATCAATCTGTACGTAGAATACTGAAAACGGCCGTATATCACGGAGAGTGCTCTGGGAAATTGTTCAGATTGATACCAGCTGCTGAATTTCACCATCATACAACTCGTCAAACGATTACAATTACGATGGTTGGCGGTCCACTACTGTGCACAACATCATATTATTACCTATTTATTATTTTGCCTCCCCGAGACAGCCGAGTCCCCTCTCTCTCTCTACAGGTGACATTGATGCTAGTCAATTTGAGTTGCGACTGGAGTCAGTAGCCAAATCAACTCGAGTAAAAAAAAATCCAACTCGTCACATCAGTGACTCATGGATCTTTTTCTGCAAAGCTGTTGAAGTCCCAAGGCTAGCAGCATACATGAGGTAGCCGAAGCCCAGTTTTTAAAAGGTTGTAAACGCATCTGCAACCCTCGGGTGTAGTAGATGTCCATGGGCGGCGGTTTTCATTTAACATCAGGTGAACCGCCTGCTCACTTGGCAACTTTTAATATAAAAAAAATATTTTTTGATGTATAAAAAAAATATATGGGCGGCTGTATGGTGTATATGGTTTATTAGAGTATTATAGTTTAACATCGGATTTCTCCATACAGATTCATCATTATGGTAAGATAAGAATAACGTGACAGATGTAAGTGACATATGTCATACTTCATGTCATGCATTATTCATTTATTCAATTAATATAATCATTGCCTTAGACTGGTAAATACACTCTAACAATATTTATATAAATAAAATATAAGAAATATATTCACCATTCTATTACATATTATAAAAGGAAAGCATTCGCTTGATCCATTTAATATGCAACGAGAAGAAAAACAATTAGAAGCTACATTACATGCAATACTGAACAGAGTTAACGATCTTAAAGCAGCTATACAGGCACTAATAACCAAATTAGAAAATGAATATGAAACGATTAACTGGCCGACATTCCTCGACAATTATGCTATTTTATCTGGACATGTGAGTTATTTCGTCACGTTATTGTCACCAGTGTTTACATTGTTATTACATCAAAATCTTCTTGCATGCATTGAAATATGTAAGAAACAAATTATGATTACATGGGTTTATTTTAAGGGATATGATTCTCAAGTCAATTCAAGTTCTTTCAAATTGTGGTTTGGCTGAATATGGAATTTCTTTTCTATATGTTTTAGTGCCTATAAAATATACATTCATTTATCAGGGTAACATACCTTAAAAGGTAAATGGAACCCTTATAAGATCACTCTCTTGTCTGTCTACCCGTGTGTCACCACTGATTTTCTCAGGAACGGGTGGACTTAGCAAGTTGACCATTGAATTTATACCAGATACTGAGGTCTATAGTCCTTATTAGGTGTCTAAAAATCGAGGTCCTGAATTAACACAATAAAAAGATATGAGCAAATTTAGATTTATGTGAAAACTCATAAATACCAAAATTTTATATAAATTTTCAACTTTTTTATTTTTCGGTATTTTCCCTTTACTTTTGCACCAAGATCTTGCTTTTAACCAAAATTCACAATTCTAGGTCAACCAAAAATGAAGTCCCCTATAGTTGTTGTAGTAGTTCCTGTTGACCTAGGATGACGAAATTTGACAAAGAGCAAGGTCTAAAAGCACAAAGGAAAAACAAAAAAAAAAATAAAAAAGTTGAAAATTAAAGGGTGTCCCCATACATACATAGTTGACGCTAATTAAGATAGTCCTCTGAGTTGTATGCTCCTACAATTTACTGGACTAGCTTTATTAAAATTTAGCCACCAATAAAAATGATACCAAATTTATTATGGCTGTTTAATAGGTAGTGAGGGAACACTCGGCGGACAAATTATTTAATAATTAGAAATATTACATTATTGTTCTAAAATCCAACATTTCTGCTAATTTACAATTTAAAATGATCTTAGCATATAAAATCATTTATTTATTTAAATTATAAGTGCAGCATTATAGCATGTATACTCATATTTAGTTTGTTTTTAATGTGCTTAATTTTGCATTTTCAACCGACTTCAAAATGTAGGAAGTTCTCAATTTGACTGTATTTTTTTATGTTTGTTACTTCAGAACTTACACTTAAGTGTACTGATTTTGATGATTCTTTTTTTATTTAAAAGCTAGAGCTTCCCATGTGGTCCTGTTCCCCAGAGATACTTAGGGAACTCCTGAAAATCAGTTATAAAATGAATTCAGAGTAAGATATTTGAAGTTGGTTTTGTATTTCATTAATAAAAAAATGGACTTGTTCTTAGTTGACAGGTCTTAGTAAAATTCTTCAATCTGAAGTTGCACCATCTTTGAGGTCTGTAGTAGTTCTGCCACTGCAGTTGGGTTGTGAAAGGGATGAAGCATTAGCACGTTTAACAGAAGGAAGGGTTCCAGCCTGCACTCATGACTTGGTGCCAGATTTATTGAGAACTAAACCAGAACCACAAGCTGAACAACGTCTACAGCAGTTTAACCACAAAGCCAGTACCCTCAGTCATGATACAGCCCAGGTAAGCCAATAAAGCCAGTAACCTAAAAATATTCCTCAGTTTTTATGATAATACTAATAATGTTCCTATTTATATATGTATTATATACAATATTTATATCCCTATGTTTATTTTTATTCATAATATTTATTTTATATATACAATATATATCTATATTTTTAGTTTTTATCTATAAACCCAACTAGACGAGAAAACAAATGAATATCTCCCCCTAATAATATCAATGCTCAAATGCCGATAGCCGTGCTCCTCGATACCGCCGGTTTCTCTCCCTTTCGCCCTAACACTCGGCCGTTTGGTCTCCCCTGCCAAGGGCTTCTGTCTGGTTGGGTCCTCTTTATTTATGTGTAAATGGGTCTTTAAGGTCACCAAGCATATGATTGGGTAGAATGAATTTGAAAGAGATAAAACATACTGAAGGAGAGATTTGTAGTGCAACATGAATGTATGAATCAGTCAGTTGTAGTTGTTACAAATTTTGTTTCTTTTTTATTTAATTAGTTTGTTTAAAAATATTTTTTTTAATTATGGATTTTTTTGCGTTTTATATTTTTTTTATTATTATTGGTAAGTAGCGTAAGACGTGTTAATTTATTGTCGCGGTTGTAACTACATGCTCTATATATCTGCATGCTCTTTATATCTACATGTTTTTTTTATTTATAAACTTAACCAGCCGAGAAAACGAATAAATACCCCCATAATAATAATACATATTATCATAGACTCTCACAAAATATAAGTTATTATAAATTAAATACATATGTAAAGAATGATGCCCTAATAATATTCAAAAATATGTATTTAATAACTTAAAGAACTTTGAATTCATAATAAATCATTCGTATTTAATTTATTTTATATTGTAAATTTTTATACATTCAGACACAATAATTGTTATCGACTGGTAACGATTAAAAATTAATCGGGCCCAACTTTGACACCTCGCAACTAGAGGTAAAATATCACATTGTCGCGCCTTACTAGAAGATCTTGAGTACTGGTTATTGGCAATCGGCCTGAAATATGAAAACAGGGCCCCGTGAAACAATATCGACTTTTTATGACCTTCGATGCGTTCGATAAAGCCGAATTCCTTACAGACAACCTAGAAGTACAATTTACACTATCTCGCGTATACCACGGTGGACCACGTCATTGAACTGAGGGCCGAGTTAGTACTGAGATTCGACTCTTTATATTTAAGGAACACAGAATGATAAGACATTATTAAAAAACTGAAATCAAGGCCCCGATAAGATTAGCAACAAAGCCCGCCCAGGCCCGTTCATTTGTCTACAGTTGAAAATTTTCAACATTCTTCTGTCCTAATACTCCTTCGGACGCCTGGAAAGAGAGGTCATAGGGACATAAGACTATGACCTCTTGATCCTCTGACCTAATGGTCATAGCTATCGCCCGTTCAGTATTCTCAATTGCTTTGGTAAGCTGTATTGTTAATAGGTTGAAGGACTTCGTTTATTTCAAAGATCTTACTCCTCCCGAGGAATTTTCAACAGAATCATTCCTGTCCCGAATAGATCTTTCCCCCGACCCTTTTCTTCCATGAGGCAAAGACATTCCACAAGTTTGGCGAACCGGCCAAATGAAAGGCTCATAGCCGCGTTCGTATAGGACCGACTGCAAGCAAGATTCCCTTAAAGTATAAACTTTTAACTTCAGTTATACAAGGCTCGCGTACGCTCAATAATGCTACACTTGCACATATTTATTATACGCACCTAAAGATACTTCTGGCAGGGCAAAATAAATTTATTATTTATTAGTATTGCAACCGGTGCGGTATCAAAGAAATTTCGAAAGCCCGCTCCCGAAGCTACGCGATCTTGAACCAACCCTGCCGGCCTCTAGCGGTGGATCAGGTATAACCGGCACCACCTCTCATCCATTCAAAATGGGCGCAATGAGCCCCCTGGAAACGATCCTTTGTGGCAGCTGTATACTACAGGCCGGGAGGAGCAGCGGTATGTAAAAAAGCAAGGGTTGGTAGGAATCTTTTTGAAAACACCTTGAAAGGTGATGGCCCATCTGATGCAAAACATCACACCAAGCCCTAAAAATATCCCGTCTGGGATTGGGGGAAGCGGAAGTCGCAAAATTTTCTTCTCTATCGCGATTGCTTCTTAGTTAAAAAGTTTAGTAGAGTACTAAAATATTTAGATAAAATGTTCAGGGTATTAAGTGCGAAAATTCCCTTTTGTCATTTGATCATTAACGTTTATTTGAAATAATTTAACATAAAATGAATATTTTCACAATAGCAATAATTCACTTTTTTGCTGTGCATGTAATCACCATTGAGAAAAGCTAACGGGGGGATGATAGCTTGCAGGGAGTACTTTCCTCAATATTATATTATTTACGTATAACCGCTGTTACATTGATCCTCATTATAAAGTAAAGTAATAAAGTTTATAGCAATGTATGCTATAAACTTGTTAGGATTGCCATTAAGAATATATGGAAAGTGCAATGGTGGTCACCTAGTCAAATGATGTTTTGCTTAGTGTGTTCAATCCCTAGAGTAAAGTTTTTTGTTCCGAATTTGGGTGGTCAATGTGTTCATAATCGTTATAAAATTAATGTATTAATGTAAATCATAATAAGTCATGAAACCTTTATATATAAAAGCGATGGAATAATTTTAAGTTCAATACAATAAAGTACTTATCTATACATGTAATAAAATTTTACTGATTGTTGAAAGATATTTGAAAATAACTATTATTGGGGGCCTTTATATACGAAGTAGACCCAAAAAATGATGGTTAAAATTTTTGTCTGTTGTCTGTGTGTTTCTGCGCGCAAATCTCAGAAACGGCTTAATCGATTTGGATGCAACTTTCACTAATGCGTTGTAGAAAGCTTCACTTAACATTTCCTTTTAGCTTCACTTAGCATGACGATTCGAAAGGCGTAATGGGTAGTGTAACTGCCTCCTGCGCCAGTGGGAGTGGGTTCGATCCCCACTACTAGAAAAATATTGTGTGTGAACATAGTGTTTTTCTAGTGTCTGTGTGTTTATACATATGTATAATATATGTATTTATTTACAAAAGAAAAGTATGTTAAAATTAACGGTGGTAGGGCCACGCAGCAGCCTCGGCTGTTGCATGAATGAGCAGGCCCGTCCGGGTAAGTACCACGACCTCACAGAAGACCAGCGTAAAGTGGAAGTATGACAAATACTTTCGCGTTTCGTCTGGTGAGTGAGGTAGCCGGAGCCCAATTTTCAAAAGGTTGTTAACGCATCCGTAACCCTCGGGTGTGGCAAATGTCCATGGGCGGCGGTATTCACTTAACATCAGGTGAACCGTCTGCTCGTTTGACAACTTCTCGCATAAAATAAATAAAATGTTTCAGTATGTTTATCACTTATTTAGTTACAAGCGTTGCTTAGTTTGGGACTCGGACTCAGACTCAGGACTAGAAAGTCCTAAAATATTATTATTTAGGATTAGTTTTATTTAAATCGGGACATAAATAAAAAAGTTATATCAACATAAATTACCTATTTGACGATTTGTGCGATAAAATGCTATATAACAGCTACAAGTTGAATTGGATGAAATTATAGTTAACTATACAGCGTTTCGTTACCATCGCGACAATAAATGAACACACGTCTAACGCTACTCACCAATAATGAAAAAAAAATATTAACGTTAAACAAAATCCATAATTAAAAAAAATATTTTAACTAATTAAGTAAAAAAGTAACAAAATTTGTAACATCCCATACAACTCGCGCCACAGCGTCGCATTACAAGCCTCTCCTTCTAACAGTATGTTTTGTCTCTTTTAAATTCATTCAACCCATTCATATACTTTGTGACCTTTACAAATGAACTTTACGTTACTGTTTTATACGGAAGGGTGTTCTAAAATTCCTTGTTTTGGAAAATTTAATAACTTGGTAAATATTGATGTTTAAAGAATGTAAATGTTTAATACAATTTTTAAAAGTTATCCTCTATATGTGTGTTCATGTATTGTCGCGATGGTTACGACACGCTATATATTAAGGTCTGTAAAATTATAATGATTGTAAGTTTATATAAAGTTAAAAAAAATGGTCAAGTGCCAGTCGGACTCGCGCACGAATGGTTCCGTAGGTACTTATTGTAAGCACGATATAAATAGTACATGCGGGCGAAGCCTCGGGCGATTAGCAGGCTAGACGTAAATATAAAGATAAATTTCATTTCATCATTCTTAGCAAACATATAGTTTTGTCTATTGTATTGTTGTATAATAGTTATTATATTCATGAATAATATTTTTTTTGAAATAATTTTAATACTATATTTCTTCTGTACAGAAACAAGTAGCGCAATTCACGAAAGTTATTAGCCATGTATGGGAAATTATATCTAAGGGACGTGAAGACTGGGAAGGAGAATCTATGAGATCAGCAGGTAATTTTTTATATATAGGGAAAAGAAACGATAAAAACATATCTATATCAATTGTCAACCAGCCTCTAGTATATTAATAACTATTGGATATAAATATTGTTCTCTTTTAAATACAGGTATGCAGCCTACTCATAGTATAGCCGATACACATGCATTGGTTACTGCTGTGGGAACAGGAAAAGGACTCCGTCCTGGCATGCCGTCTATAGTGCCGCCAGGAGTAGGCGCTCCCGGAATGGGGCCATCACGTGGGCCTGCGCCACAACTCGGCCCATCTGCACCCACTATGCCTAAAGCACCCTCTGCTATCAAAACAAATATTAAAGCTGCTAACCAAATTCATCCATATCAAAGATAACACCACTAAAATAAAATCAATGTATATTATTGAGGCAATTATAAATTAAGTCACAAAATAGTTTTTTGTTTTTATTAGCGAGTTAAACCAACATAGTAATTGTACAAATACTTTTTAAAGTTATATACTTATACAAGTTACAATTCAATTATTGAAATATTTAAGAGAAAAAAAAAATTAAATTAATGTTGCCTCTCAAGGCACCAGTTTTAAATGTGACAAAATAAATTAACATTGATCATTATTAAATCAAAAATAATTATGCAAGCAAAGTTCTATTTTTAACTGTAAGCTAAGCCTTAACATAAATTACTACACTGGTACCTGGGGTATAAGGCTTATTGTGTTAAGTATTTAATTCATAGTGTTTACCTGTAACAAAAGCAAATTATTATTAGACTTTCAGTGGGTTTTATGAAATTAATTCAATCATAAAAGTTGTATTGAATGTAAACAGATATTTAGGTGATATTTTCAATTTCACCACACTAAACCTAGCCATATAGGATAAGCATAGATACTTGTATCATAATGATAGATCACTGATTTATTTATGATCATAACTGTGTTTGGAATAATTTTGTGTTTTAGCCTTTGGTTATCATATTTGATATATAAATCTAAATTAGCAAATTTACACACATAAACATGTTCCCTTCAACTGGCGGACAAACCCAATCATCAATTATTTTCATCTGTAATATTTCTTATTTGTTTATCAGACTACAACAAATTTTATAGAGCTTTTAGTTCTTTTTTTGCCATCAACGTATTTCAAGTGGCATGAACGAGGTCGGTTGTTCACTCACGATGTCGTCTATCTTGAGTATGGCGCGCACGGTCTCCGTGGCGAGGCCCAGTGCGGACGCGGTCACGTGCAGCGGCTGCAGCACGTGCTCGTGGCGCATGTCGGTGACGCGGCCGCGGCGCACGTTCACGCCCGAGCCGCAGCCCGCGGCGCCGGTCGCGTGCGCCGCGCGCAGCTCCGTCACCGTCTCGATCGGGTTCAGGCCTGCGAGCAAGAGATAGACCAAAGATAGCAAAAAAAAAAACAGCAGCATCAATGGAAAATTCCAAGTCCAAGTTTCTTTATTCAATATAGACTCATTTAAGACTTATTGAACGGCAAAAAGCTACCACCAGTTCACTAAATTAGATCTGTCCAAAGGAGATCAGGCAAGAAACTCTGCAGTCTTCTAGCCAAGGGACTTTCAAATGCTGCCTCTCAAAGTCTCCTTAGATATTTGGCACTTATCCACGTTTCGACCTGTTGGGTGTACGTCGTCGGCGTCGCGGCGATATAACATTAGCGTACAAACCCGCATTCTCGGCGAGCGTCGACGGCACCACTTCGAGGGCGTCGGCGAACGCGCGCAGGCAGTAGTGGTCGGCGCCCGGCGCGGCGATGGCGGCCCTGGCGAGCGCGGCGGAGGCGGCCGCTTCCGGCGCCCCGCCGCCGGGCAGCAGGGCGGGCCGACGCGCCACGCAGCGCACCACGCACAGCGCGTCGTGGAGCGAGCGCGCCGCCTCCGCTACCACCGCGCCGCTCGTACCGCGCACCAGCACCGACACCGTGCGACCGCCGTTCGAGCAACCCGTCATCTGTAATTGAGTTTTTTTTAAACTTTCCACTGCATCCTAAACAACGGCCGTTTTGTAATTAACTACGTTATACACTGCGTAATGTACGCAGTTATGTACGGAGTTATGTATTTATCTATTTTGAATACGCACAACTATCACAACTAGCTATACCCAAAGCAATAATGTAGATAAAAATTATAATATTAACCTCAGAAACAATAAAAACCAATCGGCTCAATGTAATCAATTAAACAAAGTATATTGTTTTAGTACACGCATACCATCGAATGTAAAAATCGAGTTATCGCTTAATTCTTATATCTCTAATTGGGACATTCTAATATTTGATTATGGGTATCTATAGGTATAACATAATAATGGGGTAATATACACCGTGTCGTTACAACCGCGACAATAAATGAACAAACATATAAAGGATAACTTTTTTAAATTGTATTTTAAACATCAATATTTAACGAGTTATTAAAATTTCCAAAATAAACAATTTTAGAACACCGTTATGTATAAAACTGTAACGAAAAGTTTATTTATAAAGGTCACAAAGCACATGAATAGGTTGAATGAATTTAAAAGAGATAAAACATACTGTTAGAAGGATAGATTTGTAATGCGACGCTGTGGCAACGAATGAAAAAGTCTCCGAATGTATGAATCAGTCAGTTGTAGTTGTATAGAATGTTGCAAATTTTATTTCTTTTTGATTTAATTAGTTGAAAATTTTTTTTTACTTATTGATATTTTTTACAGTTTACATTTTTTTATGATTATTGGCAAGTAGCGTTAGACGTGTGCTCATTTATTGTCGCGGTTATAACGACACGCTGTATAACAGGCATATATAGATATGTCATCAATGCTGCTGGTTAGTCAAAATTTTAAAGATTTAAATCGAAACTACATTTTATACTGTAAGAATATTTTGTATATGAATTGAGGACATACATAGGTATAACATAATGATTTATTACTAAAATCAGAAACATCAACCTATTTTACCTGTCCGCTTCACGTTTACGTTCACAATAACCCGATTCTCAAAAACGATTACAATTACATAACTGAATAACATCTATCTTTACTCGACTAGACTGACATTTGACTGCAATGCAAAGGAGAGGTAGCCAAACGTACCAGCAAAAGAGCTGTAGCCAGAGCCGCAGCGAAAGCTTATCACCAATGTATCGTAAATTGGTACAAAGTTAGTAACTGCTCGTTGACGCGAGCGGACTGTAACTGAAGAAGAAAATAAATCTCTGGTACGCGTGAGAACGGCGGTCTTAAACTCAATGTGGCGAAGACCGATCCAAATCTGTTTTGCACGAGTCCGGAAGCATCGACCATGATGTTTTAGCCCGGATACGCGATGCTTGGGCTAAGTTGCGAGAGGTCACAGGTGTGGTCTGCGACGGCAAAATATATCATCATCCGACCGGTACTTCTGTATGGTAGCGAGCGCTGGCCAGCTCTATCTCGACACACTCAAGAGCTTCATGTCACGGAGATGAAGATGCTAAGGTGGATGTGCGGCATCACGCAGGCCTGACCGCATACGTAACGCATTCATTCGAGGCAATCTCGGGGTCCGTGAAGTAGCGGATAAGCTCCAAGAGCGGCGACTGAAGTAGTATGGGCATGTCGCACGCCGATCGGAAAACTATATCGGAAAGATATGCCTTGACATACCTGTACCGGGAGCTAGATCTCCTGGACGCCCGAGGACGTGACGTGAAGCAGAAGATGAGTCAATGGACTGACCCCTGACGATGTTGAAGATCGGGCAAAGTGGAGGACTTTGAGTAGGAAGGTAAACCTTGGTAACAGCCAGGATTAATATCAGATAGAAGAAGATAAGCAAAGGAGAGGTAATACCGTCGTCCCAGTTTTGATTGTAAACCGATGATCGTAAACCGTAAGCATTTTTGATTGTAAACCAATGATTGTAAACCGTAAGCATTCGAAGAATGAAGATTCTACATGCCCTATATAGTAAAATTTCTCCTTTAACTATAAAATTTTTCGAAATATGAAATAAAAATCCTAAGACTTGCCTTAATATATCTGCCAGCAGGCTCATTAACCTCTTCTACCAAGTCGACATTGACTAAATTTTCTGCTGTGAAGTGATCAAGAGAAGCGATTGGACGACAACCCAGTGTCTTGCATACAAACTCAATGTCTTCACGCTCAATATCTTTAATAACCATAGTCTTGATTTTGTCCAAGAAGTGAACGGCTAAATCACTTAATGCATCACTGGAATAAAAAAAAATTTAAAACATTAATAAAATCTTTGTATATATAATTCTTCTGTACATTTCACTGAACTCCTCCTAAACGGCTGGACCGATTTTAATGAAATTTTTGTGTCTTCAGGTGGATTCGAGAATGGTCTAAATTTGGTCCACTACAATTTTTTTTTCTTATTTCTAAGTTTGCGAATTCAAGTCTTGTGTACAGGAAAACGTCTGTTGGGCCCGCTAGTATATGTATATATTTCATTAATCTATGGCACAGCAGCTAAAATATTGTCTTCGGCGCCGGGGGTTGTAAGTTCGATTCCCACATGAGACAACTATTTGTATGATCCTCAAATAATTGTTTCGGATCTCGGCATTTCATTCCACGCGAAATCTGTGTATGTAAAAATTATTACAACAGAGGATAATAATTATTAAAACAGTAAATTTCAGACAAAAAAAAGAATTTAGATGAAGATTTTTCAAGGAGAAATCAAATACAAAAATTCCAGTAGAAGAAATATTAACAGTGACATTCTAATGAAGTTCCACATGTTGATATTTTTGTTGAATATTGTTTAAAAAACTTACCGCAAAATTGACTTTTGAACCAACAAGACATTGCATCCAGCCTTTTTAATTTGTTTTACAATGTTTAAAATATACTGTCGCTCCTCTTTCAAGACTCGGTCCATTGCAGCATAATCTGACACAATCACATTGTGATCCATCTATAGTTTATAAGATTTTGATTAATTGACGAAATGACAACTATGATGTAATTGAAATGAACACTCATTCCTCACTTCTAATAGATACTCACATCAGTTTTTGGTGGTGAAATGCAAAACTGAATTAGTCCAACTTTAGCTTTTTCAATACGATGTGGCCCATTTACATTAGCAGAGCGGTGTGGTATGACAAGTCCCTGTATTAGCTCTGTATCTTCAACAGTGCCACCAATACGTTCAATAACTTTAACATCGCGCAAATCAACCCGAGCTCCCACTCCACCAGGAATTGGATCCATTACTGTAAAAAATAATTAAAAAGTGATGATTCTTTAACTTATGCAATTGCAAACTCAAGCCACAACTATACTCAAGTTGCAATATTTGACAAATTCTATTGGTAGGTATACAAGTATTTAATTAATGTATTTTGTAGATAATTATAAACATTGTAACCAAATGTAATATGTGTGCAGATGAAGTGTCGGATTAAATGTCTTAATGTCTTAATTGTTTTATTTTGGTGCTATTTTAAGGATTAAGCATTAATTCATAAGTCATGCAAGCATGTAATAAATAAATGAACTTACCTGCACAAATAGCTTGAACTGCAATAGGTGCCAAAATAGAAGAGTGTTGGGAAACAACCTTAGAGTTAAGAGATGTGGCAGCAGCGTTGAGAAGAGCAACTTCATCGGAAAGATCGACAGGTGTGGACATACCTTCCACAACCTGAAAATGTTAACCAAATTTCATTATATAGGGATGGGCAAACAATGTTCACAAAAAAGTAACATAGTGGGGGAAAATAGTGCGCATTTCTTCTTTCGCGCAAAGAATCACGATAGCATGTGCGGTCAATATGCTAACCTGCCATTTAGCCTGACTCACTAGCTGCTACTGTCAATACTGTCTAAAGTCTAAGATTTTAAAAATTTTTTTAATGCATTGTAATGTACACCATTTTTGGTTTTTCAAACATTTAGTGCAATCAGCACTATGTTTTTCTCCAGAAGATTTGCTCACTCTAAAGCAACAACATATAACTGTTGATGAGCAAAACATGGTAGTTAAAGGATATTCCACAAAGTTCTAATGATCTTGCGATTTAAGCACGCAACATATAACTGTTGATGAGCAAAACATGGTAGTTAAACGATATTCCACAAAGTTCTAATGATCTTGCGATTTCTTAACAGTCATTGCGAATGTGAGACGCACTGGAAACTGGAGACGTATGAATTCAAAAGGACTGTATTTTATTTGGTATTCTTGGAATAAGCACATCCTAGCCTTTTAACTTACCTATGATTATAGTAGCTTCAATCAAATTTTCTGCTTTAAATATAATCGCCAAAAGCCAAATCGTTCATTAAGCATGCTCTGATATTATAAGTTTATGACTAAAATTAGGAGCAAAATAAGCTCTTCTATGGAATAATAAGTATCAACTTATAAACCAATAATAATATTTATAATGAAATATAAAAACATATTATGAAAACAATGCAATCATAACATTAACTGAGTAATCCAGATTGAGTCGTGAGTTAGATCCCCACACGGGACAAATATTTGTGTGATCCACTGATAGTTGTTTCGGATCTGGGTGTTTGTCTGTGTGAAATTTATGTTTGTAAAACATCCTTACAACACAGGATATGTTATCCTAAAGTAAGGGCAATGTTTTTAACAACAAGAAGTTTTAACAAAAAGTTTTATATGTAGTTTTTAACACTTCTTGTACATATCTTGTATATATGCTTCTGAAATATTTGGCCTCAAATTTAATAAAAGAACTCAAACTTACCTGCAATGCCATCTGTAATGCTTTATGGAATCCATCTGATATAACTGTTGGATGAATTCCTTTCTGTAAAAGTTTTTCAGCTGCATCCAACAGGGCACCGGCAATTACAACGACAGATGTAGTACCATCTCCAGCCTCTATATCTTGAGCTCTAGATAACTCCACCAACTGCAATTATATTGCCATTATTAGTTTTGAAATAATATAATTTTAAATTTTGCCACTTAAATATAATGTAAGATTACAAATATTGCATATTTTAAATCAATTACTTCAACACAACAGGAGTATTATATACTTTCGTATTACCAAGCAATAGTTTTAAATATGTTAAAACTTACCATTTTAGCAGCTGGATGGATTACACTCATTTGTTTCAAAATTGTAGCACCATCATTTGTAATTGTCACCTCCCCATTTGCTGCTTGAATCTAAAAACAAAGACTTAATGAATAAAAAAAATAAAAGAAAATGATTCAAAAGGTATATAAAAAATACTGGTGTTGACTGAACACTGGATTACTCAGTGGGGCAGGTGATAAGCTATTAGTTTGACTCCAGGGGTTTTGGGTTTAACTTCCACACGGGACAATTATTTTTGTGACCCACAGATAATTGCTGCAAATCTGTGTTTGTTTTAAGATGGATTGACGTCAGGCAGGCCGCTGGTAGTAAGAATGCATCCAAAATAATCTTACTGCATGATTCATGCCGATCCCATGAGGGATACAGGCAGAAGGATGATGACGGTACATAAAAAGTACTATTATATTTTCCATTATAATTTATATACCTTAAATTATGTTGGCCTATTAATATTACTATTTGCATTTTTACAAATTATTATTCTTAACACAACTGAATATGTATGGTAAATAATGAAGAAAAAATTTAAAATTGAAATTATAAAATAAACCCTTTAGATGGAAAACTAAATAGGTTGTATGTTTTTCTAAAAACATTATTTTAGTATTAATGTTGAAAAGGAAAAAAATAGATATAATATTGTAATGTGAATTAAATAAATATTAATATTCATGTGTGCTGTCCATTACCATTTTGTCCATTCCACGCGGCCCCAAACTTGTGCGAATAGCATCTGACACGGCTGTAAGAATTTTTTTTACATAATTTGATTGTTAGAATCATAGGTGTATTATTCATTACTATATGATTATTAGAGTTACCCAAGTATGCGTATTGGTGAATAAATATAAATTCAGAGGATTATATTTACGCATATACAATTATAAGCTTGTATACACAAAATTAGATTCAACATTTATTTATTAGAAACTGACAAGTTTTGAATGATATATTCTATACCTTCTTTAATATCCATTATAGATATATCAAGGTTTAATTTTTTTTTGTCAAAACCTTAAATGCTTCTGCCTATTTTAACGTCTTAATTTTTGTATTCATAATATTTCTCTATCGATTAAAAATATTTGCATATGAATAACGCACGTGCCCCTATTATAAACAATTAAAAATATATTGAATGTCATATGTAAAAGTTTTTAATTAAAATAAACATTGATATCGTAAAACTAAGTGCGATTAGTTTAAAAATATTGCGGATTAAGAAAAGCTTTACGATTTGTATAAATTAAGTTTGTAGCGAATATAACATTATTCCACAGATATTCTTATTTTTAATAAAATTAAAACATCTGGACATGACATTTATAAACAGGTTCCGATGATTCAATTTGTATTCGTACTTGATTTCATTGCATTTCGTAGATGAAAACAAAACCGTATGTAATAATAAAACTTTATTTTGTAACAGTATTATTTTGTTCTATTTATTTTATATTATTTAAAGTACCTTTTGCAGCATTTATATTGCTCAGCCTAACATCGGCCGGCTTGCTTTTATTTTTGTATACGGATGAATTTACTTTTGCAGAATCTCCGCCAGCTTTTGGAGCCATCTTTCGTATTAGGAAATTTTAATTTAGTGATTAATGTGGGTATGATGTCTTTAGATTACTTTTAGTGTTCACGGATTTAAAGATATTACATACAGTACTTCTGAACAAGAACTAGATGTCACCTTATGTTTAAATTTGAATTGTCATTTGTCAATGTGACAGCTCATGAGTTACCAAACAAATGCACCTGCTGTAGGTGTCTAAACACGTGATGTTAACAGACTACACATATTGATAATTTGGAGAAGAAAAGCGGTATAACTGTTGATGAATCGTCCTATGGAGAAATACCAAAACGTGTAACTTTTTTTGAAGTTATATCGAGAAGGCGGTCCACACGGCCGTAGCTAGGGGGGGGGGGGGCATTGTAGGGCAATGCCCTACCTTAAAACCACAATGCCCTACCTTAAAAATACCAAAGTAAAAATGAGTAAATATGACCACGTTTTTCAATTTCGTACACGTCTCAAGTGATTTCCCATCCTACTTCGCCGGAATTTGTATATTCTTTCTATGTTGTACCTACTGTGTTCTATTTCATGTTTCTACTCCACTTTATTTAAAGGAGAAATTTGAATTTGTAGGGCTTCTAGGGGAAGATCCTACTTTCTTCGAGGAAGCTCATTTTAAAGGTGCCAAACCACAAAACGTAATTTTTTGAAAATCAAAAGAAAAGAAATTTGAAAAATCTTTTACCGTACAGGCTGTTAAACTCTACTACTGCATTATATACTATACTATTGCACATCCTACGTAGTAAAGTTCCTTTACGCCATTGGTTGCCTGGAAGAGATCGCTATGAAGTGATACGGCCGCCAAATTGTGAATTCCATTAATTTGTTTGTCTATTGTTAATTTTGTGTATATTCTTTTGTCTGGTGGACAATAAAGAATTAATTCATTTATTCATTCAAAAACTAAGATACATTATTGTAATAAAAATTGTAGCGATAGGTATCTCAACTTTTCCGAACATACCACAGTTTGTCAAAATCAAAATAATTTATATAGGAAACATACATTTCATCTATCGATAGTAATTTTTAATCTACCACCGTTTCATCATGAGGTTCCTATAACGGAGAAGAAACAGGCGAAAGAAACTCCGCAGGTATCCTCTTATTCGTAATTTTTTTCTTAAAAAATTAAAATATTATACAACTGTTTTTTTTCTTTCTTTTAGAAATAGCTTGGGTGCGATCAATCAACTCATTACCAGTGTGTGACATTCATTTCATATTCTAATAATTCTTTGTTCTGTGTACTCGTATAAAAAAGTACCTGGAGGACCGAGCTTTGCTCGTTTTTTTTGGTAAATAATGTATTTTGGATAAAAAAAAAATAAAGAAAGCAATGATCAGGTATAGAAAAAAAAGGAAAAAAAATAAGTGTTGATCGTGATACGAACCGGAGCCGTCTGTTTTGGGGCCGCCCGATTACCGATCAAGCTATTATAAAAATTTTTTTGGGGCGAAATTTACCGTCATATTCGAATGATATTTTTCATTCCCTGAAAACAGGGATAAATACATACTAAATTTCATGAAAATCGCTGGAGCCGTTTCCGAGATTCCGATTATATACCTATATATACAAGAATTGCTCGTTTAAAGGATAAAATAATGATAAAATAGGCATTTGAATGATGATGATCTAATCAATTCGATTGCAAGTCTCGATGAGTTGGATGTAGATAAAATGCTTCCACTGAAAAGTTTGGGTAAGTTTAAAAAATTTAATAATTCAAGTAGGATAGTGTGGTTAAAGTTTACTTGAGTCGTAACGAGGACAAAATGGAAAATAAATTGCAAGTGTTGTACAGGCAACGACGGCGTTTAAAGATACATATGAACTTTTTGCATCTGTGGCGACCATAGGATGTAGCACTGCAGTGTGCGAATCTACGTTTTCAACTTTAACTGCAATTAATAGGCTTCAAAGGCTGTCAATGGGTCACGAGAGAATGGCTGGTATGGTATTACTAGCCTTTGGAAAAAAAAAGGACAAAATCAGTTGATCTGAACGAAGTTCTTCGCATTTTTAATAACATGGCGAATCGAAGAATTCAGCTGTTTTAAATATTTTTATTATTATGTTAATTATTATAATAGGTCTGCAGAAACAATTTGATATAAGTGGTATTTTTGATCGTATCATCTCAACCAAAAATTAATGATTACCTCACTCTCACTCAGACGTGGATCTCTACATCCAAAGCTGGAAGTTCAACCATCTTGTTCGCTTATTCTTCATCATTAAGGATTTAATAGTGCTTATATCCATTGCTCATGTTCTGTCACAGAAATTATTTGTCTACGAATAGCTATTGAACTGACATCATGTATATCACTGACCTGAGAGGTCAGTGATATATATGATGTTTGATTTAGGAGCTCATGCTAGTTGGGGCAAATATCCTTTTATGGCCAACCGCTCCCCTGGGAGAAAAAGGTCAAATACTTAGGAGTCACTTTCGACTCGCGTATGTCATTTAATACGCACATTAATAACGTTCGCAATAGAGCCGCGTTCTTCTCCGGCTGGCTACACAATTTAACTAACACTAAAAGTAAAATGCCCTTAAGGCACAACTTATTAATATATAAGACCTGCGTACGATCTATTATGTCCTACGCATGCATGCACCTTGCATGCACCTTCGCCCACACTTGTACTCGCTTGTACAAGTTGCAAATAGTACAAAATAAGTTCATCCGCCGCGCAACCAGTACGCAGTGGTATCAACGCAACGTCGACCTGCACAGCGATTGCAGACTCCCGACGATTCGCGAATATTTTAAAGACCTGACCAAACGGTTCTTCGATAGAGCCGAACATCATCCCAACCCTCTGGTGGTAAGCGCAGCAAATTACCAACCCAACACAAACGCGAACGTCAACAAGCGTCGCCCGCGAAACGTCCTCATCGACCCGAGCGACGAAGAGGACTTAGAAACGATGGACCCACCGCTGGGGGTCCCGCCGGATATCACTACACCCACAGTTAGTGCAACAACAAACACACTAGTTCGCCCTCGCCTCCGAGCACGGAGAGCCCAACACAACGCGTACACAATGTACACCCGCGTTCCGGGGCGTTTCTCACCGCTCCCAGCCACCGATTAGCTAAATGCACAGTCGACGGCCATCGGGGTTTCGGTCCGAACCGCGACCTCGATGGCCCTTAGATGACACACCATACTTAAACGCACGCATGAGCACATGCGTGACCCTACCCACAGCGGAGGGCCCAACCCCGTGGGTTCTGGCTAGCCCACCGGTTCTGCGTCAGATGAAGCTTTAATAGTCTCGGGGCTGAAAGTAAAAACATCAATTAATACAAGATATTATGATAAGTTTTATTTCATTGTTTACTTTCGCCCTACCTGTAATCAATGCTATCCTACCTCAAATTCAACTCTAGCTACAGCCCTGGCGGTCCATCTGATGCTAAGTAGATTCCGCCACCCATGGACATCTAAAACAGTTGAGGAACTTTCAGATGCATTCACAAATTTTAAATATATTTTGAACTATACCTCGGCGGCTTTGATAGCTTCGTCTTAAGATCGCAGCGTAGTCGGTGCACAAGGACACCTTGACCCTGTCTTCTCCACTTCAGCTCCCCGACCCCTGTTGCTGAAAGATGTGTATTTCGTCTTACAAATGGCACAACACTACCCTATACCTCGATTATGGATGACTAAGCTCGAGAGCCTCGAGAGAGCCCCGGCTCGGGCTGTCACGTTATTATTATTTTCACCGGTGTGGGAGGCCACCAAGCTCTTCCGGACGCTCCATGGAGTAACTAGGCTCAGGCCTTGGCTGTTACTCAGTACCTGTTTAGCATTCCGACTCAAGGGTGCCAAAGAGGGTCTGACCTCGGCTTGATCGGTAGCTGTAGTCTAACAAGGAGAATTTCTAAAGCTATCCTTAAAACCTATTCTGAAAACATTGATGCTGGGAGAGGAAGTGGTGGAAGAAACCCCAGCAACGCTTCTATCATTAGGTACTGGGGATATCCTGCCAGGTACGGGGCGGAACCTAGTATATATTTGTCACCGTTAGTATATGTTTGTGTTTGTAGTATATCTTTGTCATGTGTTAACCTAGTATGTGTTTGAAACTAGTATATGTATACGCAGTGTGTTTTGTTTTTACGCAGTTGTCTAATCCTGTTGATGGATATCTTGGTCTAAGCCATTTGCGGTGGAACGTACCTGGCGGTATGGATTTGTAGGTGACGGCACCTACGTCTAACGGATGGGTATGCGCGGTTGTGGAATCGATGTAGTTACGCAACGACTTGAAGAATAAGTCGATAGAATAAGATATAAGTCGATGTTGCGCATGAACCACGGTGCTTCCGTAGCTCTGCGTAAAAACGGTTCTGGAATACCTGAAGCAGGTGTTTTTGCTTCGGAGCGATCAGCGCGACAATATAGGGTGAACTAATGCGTATATAAGTCACATTGTTCTGAGCGGTCATTGTTGATGTTTTGTTTGTTAGAGGATAAAGGCTGAACTCAACGCCATAAAACGAAAAGTCCGCACCTCACCATGCACAATCGCGAGATTGTAGCCTCCGTAACTACTTTCTGGCCAGATCGGATGAGTAAATCTTCACGAACGTCATTAGTTGTGATAAGAGGCTTACCCCTTTATCCTTAGCCAACGAGCAATTACAGGACCCGGGAGTATTGCGTGTTTCTGGATGGGAGACGGTATGGAAGGAGAAAGAGCTCCACGGGAGGTTCTCCAAGGCTATACACGAGCCTTTCGTTAAAACTGCTGTCTCCCTTAACTGGCTACGTTTCGGTGACCTCTTTGAGGAAACCGAAGGTTTTGTCTATGCGATACAGGATCATGTTATTAAGACGAACAACAGTCGGAAATACATCCTAAGCGATAGCAACGTCGACATCTGTCGGGCTTGTCGCCATCGTTATCGGGAATCGTTTCGGCATGTTATCTCCGGTTATTCCATGTTTTCTAACTCTGAGTATTTGCATAGACACAACCTAGTAGCCAGAATCCTACAGCAGGAGCTCGCTCTGAAACTTGGTCTCGTGAATCGGAAACTGCCATACTACAAGTACTGTGTGTGTATAAGTGCTGCGTGGTTGGGCCACACAGCAGCATCGGCTGTTGCACGAATGGGCAGGGTAAGTACCACAACCTCACAGAAGTAGATTCGTAGATTCGGGGGCGAAAAATCGATCTAGCTAGGTTTCATTTTTAGAAAATGTCCTTTTATCCCTGTTTTCAGAGAATGAAAAATATCATTCGAATATGACAGTAAATTTCACCGCAGAAAAAAATGTTATAATAGCTCTGTCAGTAATCGGGCGGTCTCGACACAGACGGCCACGGTTCATATCACGATCATTTACACACTCATTTTTTTACTTTTTTTTCTATACCAGGTCATTTACTTTATTATTTATTTTTTTATTTCCAAAATACATGATTTACCAAAAAAAAACCGAGCAAAGCTCCATCCTCCAGGTACTTATACTAAAAAGATCATTTTATTTTAATATTACAAATTTTTAAACAAGTTTGTTCGATTTGCTGAACCCGTATTCTATAATGTTATTGGCAACTTCTTGTTATTTAATTTTAAGTGTTTCAAGTTATGATAAATAAAGCCCAGCTCAAGCTGAAATAATTATCCTATTATCTAAATAATTTTATAGATTTATATTATTATAGAATTTTTTTTTCTATTAAATAATATTTTCATAGTTTTTGATGTGGCATAAAGTTAAAAACATTAGAATCAAATCAAAAATATGTGTGTACAATACAAGCTTGAAGCTGCCAACGGCTTTTAACCCATTTATGGCGAAAATATATATTTTGGGCTTTTTTTAGGGTCTAAATAAGCTTAGCGCCGTTTTTAGGGCCATGAATAACATTTCATACATTACTATTTTGACTAGCGAAAATGAAAAAAAATATGCAAAATGCCTATTTATAGATGTAATTAATGAAATTTTAGTTTATACTATGTAGTTTTATAAATTGATTCAACTATTTGTAATGAAAAGTAATAAAAATTATTTACCTTAAGTAATTTGAAACTCATTTAAACAATGACTGAAAAAATCCAGAGATTTTTTCGGGGCTTTTGAAAATTGTATTTTTAGGGCTATCTAAGGCTCTTTCATTTTCATTTTAGGGCCATTTTTTTTAAATTAGTTGGCAACACTGACTTGAAGCCATCGAGCTAGTATTTTTCCCGCGCAATTATTAATTTTTAGCAGGTTGTGACTTGTGAGGCACTTCAGATCATCTTAAGCATTTTTAAACTTACCTATTTTAACGCACCTATTCGTCCCGTTGTTCTACAATTTAAGTAAATAGGTATTTACTAAAATTTTAAAATAGGGGTAAGATATATAATACAATTCTACCAACACCATTTAGATTATTATTCATCGCATATCTGCTACTATGGTTGGGAAAAGTAACAAGTTGTACGTTTATAAACGAGGTAAGTATTTCTTTTCTTACTGTTTTTAATTAGGAAGAAGTTTATTTAAAGTCTAATAAAATAAGATGTAGTTGCAACATCATATAATTCCTTTAACATTGTTTATAATTTGTATTATTAACGTTAATTTTATATATTTTTTTAATTCTGTTTACCTTTAATGCATTTATAATATGATGCAAACGTAATACATGTTGTATTCTTTATTTATATTCCTAAGGTGCAGATGTGTAGGAATTGTACAGAGCATTAATCTCTTTCTCCTCTTTGTATGACCGCCAATAATGCATATTTACGGGGATTGTATTATGAAAAACACTGATGTATAATTCAGCATAGAAAAAAAATTGTAAACTAGCTTAGGCCTGTAACTTTATTTCCATGAATCATATTTAACTATTTTGTCTCTAAATAAGTACTATTTTCAAAAACAATAGTTTGTAAGCTTCTTGGCAAACTTCTCTTCTTTGAAATCAGTTAATATTAAATTTAATTTCTGTCACCCAATTGAACCTTCATCTAGAAATCGAAATGTACCTACTTATAAATTTTCGGTATTAATTTCCATTACCACAGTTTGATTTTCGAGCTAACAAAAAACTTTTTTCGATAGAGAAAAATTACTAATGAAATAATCAACACACAGAATTATCTGCTCACAGTTTTCGAGATAAAAATTATTTAAAATTTGTTATTTTCACTACTCAAACTCAATACGGACTTCAAAAACTCAATATACAGTACTGCCAATATGATAAATATAGGTAGCGAGTGACATCATACTCGTATCGATTGTAAAATCGATAAATTTTTTTGTAAAAAAATAATGAGTCATAGATCCGACACAGAGCACCCCGACTCCATGCGGTCTTGTGGTCCCTACCCCTAGAGTGAACATAAAAAGGTGGAGCCAGAACCTCGCGCCGGAGGTCGAGTGGGTGAAGCGACACTCAGGGGCGACATAGCGAGTGTTCTGGCGAAGCATGTGGAAGAGTCAAATTTAATAATGAAATAATAATTATTAATTCATAATTAAATTTGACTCTTCCACGGCCAGAAATATGAGTATTTTTTTTTTACATTAAACAAAAAATTAAAATTTATGAAAGGTGAATATTTCGTATGTAAAAAGAAAAATCTTCGTAATTTTAATAAAAAAATTAAAGAAAAAATCACTATTAATCTTAATTAGATAAGGCTTCTTGATATATAAAAATGTGCAATTACGAAAAAACCTATCAATTTGTGTTAAATAGACATGAAATTAATTTATACTACTGATTAAAAAGATTTTATAAAATTTGTAATCGAGTTCCGAAATCGATATTAGCATATTGGCTGTATTGATATTTGAGTACCTAATCATATATTAAATTTAAAAAGATAAGTATTTCCCGCTCTTTTGAATTTCCTCTTTAATATTTGTATTTGTAATGGTGGATAATATGTGCGCGTCTACTAGCACTAGTGAATTATGTACGTATTGTAATTTATATTTTATTTCTTTTTATAAAATTTTATTAGAATCTCAATCAGATCGTTCAGTACTTTTCAATTTTTTTTTGTGTCGTCGTGGTGTTCTTGTAAAAAGTTTTGTTTGTTTAAAGTGTGGACAAGACGTGTTTTTGATTTAATATGAAAGTTTTTAAATGTTACAATGTAATAATTTAACCCAAGACGAAGAAGCGTCAGTGTTTTTTATTAATGCAACATTACCATTTGGAAAAGTGTGCGACTTCAAATATGTATGTATTTTTAACAAAAAATCTTTTAGTAGCTTTATATCTAACATGTTGTCAATAACAAAATGGAGGACTTTCTTAGTGAAAATAACGAGTTTTAAATATTTTTTTCTCGAAAACTATATGCAGCCAGATAATTCTACTTGTTGTTTATTTCATTAGTGATTTTTCTTTATCGAATAAAATTTTTTTGCGCCTGGTTAATCACACTGTGGTAATGGAAAATTTTACCAAATTTTCAACTCCAGGAGTTTATCTAAAATAAATTAATAAAATACACATTTTTACAGGTGGAAGAATGGAAGAAGTGCATATAGATAAGATAACATCAAGAATTAAAAAGCTTTGTTATGGACTAAACATGGATTTTGTGGATCCAGTAGGTTCCAATTTGTTCTATTAGTTTCAAATATCCTTTTGCCCTGTACATATATAAAAACTGATGTTGCACAATGTTATTAAATTGTTTGTGTATGTAAAGTTTTTCTGCATTTCCTGTCTTATTTTAAAATAATTTTTCAGGTATCAATAACATTAAAAGTTATTAGTGGCATTTACTCAGGAGTCACAACTGTAGAGCTAGACAATTTAGCTGCAGAAACTGCCGCAACCATGACAACTGATCATCCAGATTATGCAGTGCTAGCTGCAAGATTAGCTATATCAAACTTACACAAAGAAACCAAAAAGCATTTCTCAGGTTTGTGTGAAATTTTACTTTTTTCTTGCTAATAATTGCCTTGCTAATATTAAAACCATTTGTACCATACATTTGTTTTACAACCACAAATTGTACATGAAAAGACCATTATTTGTTCCATGGTTGGTCAATTGCCTTTATAGCTAATTAATTTTACTTTTGTTAATGTTATGGTAATCATCAATAATTTTTTGCAATACAAGAACTTGAATAAAAGTGGAAGAAATAATTTTGCAAAATTTGTTACATGTAAATAAGATGCAAGAAAATTATGAATATGAATGAAAAAGTATTTCTTACAAAACTTTTTGAATTTTTTCTTAGTAATGGTTTGTTCGTTTCTTTTTTCAAAACTTGCATTTGAAATTCTGTAACTCCACTAAATGTGTTGTTCTTTATAGATGTGATGACTGACTTGTACAATATAATTAATCCGCATACCCAGAAAAGCACACCAATGATTTCTGATTTTCACTACAAGATCATTATGGAAAATAAAGAGAGACTGGACTCTGCTATAGTCTATGACAGAGATTTCAAGTACAACTACTTTGGTTTTAAAACGTTGGAGAGATCGTATCTTCTTAAAATAAATAATAAGGTAATTATAATATTTCTCATAAATTTATTTTATAATGTACAAAAATGTTTTCTTAAATAGATATAGCGTGATAGCTCAGTGTCTGTGCGCTCGCCTTTAATTCAATATACTCGAGCAACCTGAGTTCGATCCCCGGTGCCGGCACCAATGAAGTTTTTAACTTTAAGGGCTGACTTATCACGTGCTCCGCGGTGAAGGAAAACATCGTGAGGAAACCTGCATATTTTCGAAATAATAACAAAAAATATTTCGAAGATATGTGAAGTCCGCCAATCCGCAGTGGGGCCGCGTGGTGGACTATGCCCTGATACCCTCTGTATAGAGGAGGCCTTTGCCCAGCAGTGGGACATGTATAGGCTGTTACTTTACAAATAGATATAAATTTAATATAAAATTTTCTTTAAGGTTGCTGAGAGACCTCAGCATATGTTAATGAGGGTTTCAATTGGTATACATGGTGAAGATATTGATGGAGCTATTGAAACTTACAATCTGTTGTCTGAAAAATATTTTACCCATGCTAGTCCCACTTTATTCTCAGCAGCTACTCCAAGGCCACAATTATCATCATGTTTTCTAATATCTATGAAAGATGATAGTATTGAAGGCATATATGACACATTAAAACAGTGTGCATTAATTTCGAAATCAGCTGGAGGTATTGGCTTGCATGTCCATTGTATCAGGGCAAAAGGAACCTACATAGCAGGAACCAATGGAGTTTCCAATGGACTTGTACCAATGCTACGAGTATATAATAATACAGCTAGGTATGTTGATCAGGGGGGCAATAAACGTCCAGGCGCTTTTGCAATTTATTTAGAGCCATGGCACTCTGATATATTTGAGTTTCTAGATCTGAAGAAGAACACAGGAAAGGAAGAGGTAAGAGCAAGAGAACTTTTTTATGCGTTATGGATCCCAGATTTATTTATGAAAAGAGTGGAGAAAGACGAAAAGTGGAGTTTAATGTGCCCTCATGATTGTCCTGGTCTTGCTGACTGTTGGGGAGAAGAGTTTGAGAAGCTATATGAAAAATATGAGCAGGATAAGAGATTTGTTAAACAAGTGAGAGCTCAAGAGTTATGGAAAGCTATAATAGAAGCACAGGTGGAAACTGGTACACCATATATGCTTTACAAAGATTCTTGTAATAGAAAGAGTAATCAGAAAAATTTAGGTACTATAAAATGTAGTAATCTATGTACTGAAATTGTAGAATATACCTCTCCAGATGAAGTTGCTGTTTGTAATCTAGCTTCAATTGCATTAAATAGGTTTGTTAACGAAGATAAATCATACAACTTTATAAAATTAAAGGAAGTCACTAAAATAATTACTCAAAATTTAAATAAAATTATTGATGTGAATTATTATCCAGTACCTGAAGCTAAGAACTCAAATATGAGACACAGACCCATCGGCATTGGAGTCCAAGGTTTAGCAGACACATTTGTATTAATGAGAATTCCTTATGAAAGTGATGAAGCGATAAAGCTGAACCAGGAAATATTCGAAACTATTTATTATGGTGCATTAGAAGCCAGCTGTGAACTTGCAGAAAAACTTGGAGTATACAGTACATATGAAGGTAGCCCAGCAAGTCAAGGTATTTTACAGTATGACATGTGGGATAAAACCCCAACAGACCTTTGGGACTGGGCTGTTTTAAAAGAAAAGATTTCAAAAAATGGCCTACGAAATTCTCTTTTGATAGCACCAATGCCTACTGCATCAACAGCACAAATACTTGGTAATAATGAATCATTTGAACCATTTACCTCCAATATATATCAGAGGCGTGTGTTATCTGGTGAATTTCAAGTCGTGAATCATCATTTGTTAAGAGATTTAACACAGGCAGATCTTTGGGATGAAGACATGAAGAATCTGATAATTCATAATAATGGCTCTATTCAAAACATTGAGAGAATACCAAAAGATATAAGGGATTTGTATAAAACCGTATGGGAAATTTCTGTTAAGACGACGATTAAAATGGCCGCTGATAGAGGTGCGTTTATTGATCAAAGTCAGTCTTTTAATATTCACGTAGCGGAGCCGAATTACGGAAAACTGACGTCAATTCACTTCTACTCCTGGAAAATGGGACTTAAAACGGGAATGTATTATTTGCGTATAAAACCCGCCGCTAATGCAATTCAATTTACAGTAGATAAATCTAAAGTGAAAGTCACAAATGGGAGAACCGAGAAAGATGAAGCTAACATGTCAATGATTGCCTGTTCACTGCGAAACAAAGATGACTGCTTGAGTTGCGGGTCATAGCGTTAACTCAATGTAATATTTTAACGTTCTTATGTGTATAACATAAACAAAATTAATGAACATTTCGTAAACTACGAGAATCACACTTGAATGCTAATTATTATTTTTTTAACAATGCATTTAAACAATTATGATATATTTTAAATAAATAAATATACTTCAAAGGTATTTTTTTTACTAAGTACTTACGAAATATATAATAAATACGTATGCACGTCATATTTGTATTGTACATAACGGATAATGATGCTCAAAACATTCTGTATGACATCATAAAATACAAAAAAAATTTGTACTATGTTAAAAACTGATTAAGTTATGACCAAGTTAATAGCGAAGTTTACGAAGCGGCCGCAGCGGTCACTAACGGTCGCCATTAGCAACTTTAAGGCGCGTAGTGTTTTGTTAGGTTAATTGCGACTTTGAAACCAATTAAATTTCCGATTTATCTCAAATTTTTTTACAATCTATGAATATTTATATAGTGCTGAAATGTACAACCACTTCTATTAAAATGCCAGAAAAACTATTTTTAACTTTCCGAGAGACCCAAAACTTTGTAAAAAACGGTATTCAAGTTGTAAAAAGAGAGGATAAAACTCCACCCTCTGCCCAGGCTCGTCTTGTAGCCTTGAAGTGTGGTAGGCTGGTAGGGCCACGCAATAGTTTTCACCGCTAAACAAATAGGCAGGCCCGTACGGGTAAGTAAACGACCTTACAGAAACCCTATCACACTGTCCTGTAGCCTGGGCAGAGGTTAGAGTTTTATCCACTCTTTTTAGAAACAAATTGCACGTGGACAACTTACTTAACTAATGTCTTCGTAACTAATGGTCCGATTTAGATAATTCAAAGATATAGGTAGTTCTTATTACATAAAGAATAATGTGGATACTAGTTTTATTGAATTTGCTATAAATACGGAGGACCATTACTTTCGTGGTTTGCTTCATATTTAAAAGACAGATTTTCATACGTAGTGATCAGAGGCCACTTTTCTCAAAAATATGAGTGCACTTCGGGAGTACCACTGGGATCCATTATTAGGAGCCCTATTATTTAATATTTTCGTAAATGAAGTAACTAACTATGTACATAATTCAAAATGTTTCATCTTTGCGGACGATTCGCTTCTCGTAAAAGCAATTCTTAACGATCATGATGCATCATCAACAATCTCTACAAGAAGATATTGATAGAATTGCTCGTTGGAGCAAGTTAAATAGCATGGATCTCAACGCTTCTAAATGTTCATATATCAACTTTACGCGTAAGCATACTGCATTAGAAACTCAATACACGTTGAACAATAACCCACTTCAGAAGCTTGAATCCATCCGAGACTTAGGAATAACAATTGATGCTAAATTAAGATTTAATATTCACATTGAAAATATTTGTAGATCGGCACGCAAAATGCTCGGGTTTTTATACCGGAATTCGAAATGTTTTAAAAAAATCAAAACAAAAAACTTCTTTACACTTCCTTAGTTAGAAGTAAACTAGAGTACGGTACCATCATATGGAGCCCTAATTATCAAATACACAAAGATCGTATAGAAAGCATACAAAGACGATTCACTCAATATTGTTCTAGTGGTAATCATATGGAATCCTATTCTACTCGTCTCCTAAAACTAAAATTAAGCTCACTATCGGACAGACGTAAACTACATGATTTAGTTTTTTTTTTTGTACAAGCTTACAAATGGAACTATAGATTCTGCAGAATTACTATCACAAATATTGTTTAAAGTTCCCTGCCGTGTACCGCGTTTTTCGATTCCCTTACTCAATCACAAATTGTATAAAACTAATCTTGGTCATTACTCTCTTATACCGAGAATAAGCAGATTGTATAACGAATGTGTGCTTAAAGATAAGACTATTGACATATTTAGTGATAGTATAAAAACTTTTAGAGCCAAAATTGTCAAACTATTTAATAATTCAAAGTAAAATTCTACCATAATTTTATATAAACTCGATATAAATTGTTATTATTTTTATAAATTTTTAATTTTCTTATTTTTCTTGTTGTCTTATTGTTGTTTTTTTTTTGTTATTTCATATTAGTATTTTACTCATATTTGTAATTATTATGGAGTTATCGTACACTTATCGTCTTTTTAAACACGCTGTAACTACCTTTAAATGGAAACATGTAAATCTTAGTTCCTAAGTCTATTGTCAGTGTTTATAACAAAACAACATGTTATTCCGTTGGTGGTTCTATTAATAAATAAATAAATTAAATTGACTGATCCTCGTTGGAACGTCTTATCTTTATGCGTTAGGCCGTAGAGACCAATAATAGGATTGCTTAAAATCTCCGCTCCGTTCTAGTGGATTTACGAGCTAGTTTAAAAACTCGTACATTTTCGGAAACGGAGTGAACGAATATTGAGGAACGAGGCGGCTAGGAAACGAACCAGCCTTGGGCTGGATGGGATGGTATGCCGCTAACGTTTGACCAGTACGACTCGTTGGGCGAACTTGGTCTAGCTCCGCACAGTCCGCACCTCCGCTCAGCAATACTCGCTCGCTCCGCCCCGCTGCCTCGTTCCGCATAAATGAACAAACACAGTTCGCAACTTCACTCCGAAATGCTCGCTCCGCTCCGCGTCAATGAACAGGCAGCCTTAGGCAGGGCGGCGATTAAGATGCGGTGTCTTAAATTTTAGAATAACAATTATGCCGTCTTGTATCGTGTAGATGTAAAAAGTAACAGCCTATACATGTCCCACTGCTGGGCAAAGGCCTCCTCTATACCGAGTGTATCAGGGCATAGTCCACCACGCGGCCCCACTGCGGGTTGGCGGACTTCACATATCTTCGAAATATGTACATATTTTTTTGTTATTATTTCGAAAATATGCAGGTTTCCTCACGATGTTTTCCTTCACCGCGGAGCACGTGATAAGTCAGCACTTAAAGTTAAAAACTTCATTGGTGCTGGCACTGGGGATCGAACTCAGGTTGCTCAAGTATACTGATTTAAAGGCGAGCGCCCGGACACTGAGCTATCACGGCTCTAAATACTATATATAGTATTTAGAGCCGTGATAAAAGATGTACCAAGTACGATTCTAAACTTAACAAAACTCAAGAGATCTCATATTTGTACCGCCGTGTACCCATAAATGATGTAACAAGTACGATTCTAAACGTAAGAAAACTCAAGAGATCTCATATTTGTATGTATTTATTTTTTCGACGTATTAGTATATTTCATTTATTTTTTTTATATTTTAATTTGTTTAGTTTAGAAAATAAACTCAATACGAAGACAAGTTTGACGAATGGATCGTCCCCTGTTGGCCTTGTGGTGACCGGGTGCTGGGGCGCCTAACCTGTACCTCGTTTACAGGTGACTAAACTTGAGGGCTCGGGCCGTCACGCTATTATTATTTTCACCGGTTTGGGAGGCCACCAAGCTCTTAAGTCGCTTTGGCGGACGCTCCATGGTGTAAATAGGCTTAAGGGCCCCCGAAAGGGGACCTCGGTTTGGGCTGATTCCGATTCAAGGATGACTGAGAGGGCCAGACTTTGTCTCAATTTGTAGCTGTAATCTGACAAGGAGAATTTCTAAAGCAATACCACTTCGGAAAGCGTTGGCGCTCGGAGAAGATGTGGCGGAAGAAACTCCAGCAAGGCTTCGATTAACAGGGAAAATTTAGTATATGATTGCCGCACTCAGAGTGCTAGGTGTTCTTGTGTGCTTCCGTAATTGCTTTATTCTGTTGATAGCGCTTGAAAATAGTCGTCTGACGATAACGTCAGGGAAATTGGGGCCGCGTCGCGGTCTTAGCTATTTGCAATGGAACGTACCTACAGGTAGGGGTCTGTAGGTGATGGTTCTTACGACTTAGCCCTACGGACCTCGTTCAATGGAAGCTGTCCAGCCGCCGAGCTAACAGGTAGGACCACGGCAACAGTATTCGCCGTTGCAAGAATGGCAGGATCGTCCGGGTTAGTACCATGACCTCACAGAAGACCGGCGTAAAGTAGAAGTGTTACCGGAAGTGTGAAGTAGCGGGGGCCCACATTATTAAAAGGTGGCAACATATCTGCAACGGGTTTTGCATATGTCCGTAGGCGGCGGTTATCACTTTACATCAGGCGTACCGCCAGCTCGTTTGCCACTTTCTCACATTAAAAAAGAGTAGACTGACTTTTGCCCCCTTTTATAAATAAAAGCAATTTTAGACTTTTAAACATAAGGGAAGCTTCTCAAAACCTACCTCCGTCGTTGTATATTTTTCAGATAAACACATTGCAGACCAATTATTAAAATAGTATCTTAAAGATACAGTGTAACCTTAATTTAACGAGCCCAAGTATAACGAATTTCTCGATTTAACGATTTTTTCGAAATCCTCTAGAACTGTCCATAAAGAGCTAATGCAAAATATTCCTTTACATTACGAATATATTTATCAAATCCTTTACATCACGAATTTTGAATAACTGCAGAATATAGATAGAAAGCATTAATCTATCAGTATTATACGTTTTTTTTGAACTTTCACATAACGTATACTCATCAAATAATTCCCACTCAATTGTAAAATAGTAATTCAAAAAAGTTCAAGGTTCAGATAAAAATACAGTTTATAATGGAAACGGTTCGCTTTATCAGCGTAATCCTTATTAAAACGAATCTTAGTCCAATTTAAACCCCTTTACAACAAACTTCATTGTAACTAATTACGCGGTATAACTAATATTTTTTTAATTCTCTTGAGTTTTGTCATATAGAGATTACACTGTATTGGTCTTTCTTATTCAAAATCAAAATTTCTTTATTCAACATAGGCTTATTTTAAGCTTTTGTTGAACGTCAAAAACTACCACCGGTTAACTAGACCTGCCAGAGAAGAACCGGCAAGAAACTGCGGTGCTATTTTTTTTTTCTTTGAATGATTTAGGTATATACACAAAAGTATTTAAGTATAAAATTAGCGGGACTTGCAATTGCAGATCAAGTCATTTCTACACATCCTTGTTATCGATGTATTCCACAACATATTATACTAGGCCTTTTCCAATAAGCTTTTACAAAATGTTTGAGAATATTTACAATTAATTGTTTGTTGATGTCACCTTAGAATAGGTGACATCCACAAATAGTTAATAAGTTATAAATGTTACCAAGAATAAATTAATATTGATAAGCTACATTACGAAAAGATTAAGGTAATTATTACTAATTTAGTATTAATCTACATTCATTTGAAATTGAACAAAAAATATTAATTATAATTTAAATAAAAGTCGCCAAATTAAAAGCACTTATTATTATTCTCCTCATTGAGAGTACCCATTATTAAACTAGTGTTATTAGTATGTAAAAATCATAGGTTGCACCATACTGAACAACAGGAAGCTGGGAGACGGAGTAATGCAGGAGTTATTACACTGCAATTATGTAGTTAACTCTACAAGCGCAAGAGCAGCCTTTTCACAATATCAAAAAAGAACTTCTTATGCATGCATTTTCGATTTTCTTATCTGTCGGAAGCAAAAAAAATGTTTTGCAAGAATGAGTATGGTTATTAAAAGTTGTGGCGGATAAAGGTTTGATATAAAAATAAACGTGGAATTGGTAAAAATTGTGGAATTTCCTTTTAATCAAAAAATTAATCGCATTTATGACAATATTAATACAACCCTTAAACAAAAATTCTTGAACAGTTAATTTAACAGTTGCCTGTCATGAAAGTAAACATTTCAGGATTTTTCATCACAGTTTCTGCTACACTCCACCCCACTGAATTTTTTTGCCTTAAATCATGTTTTTTCTATATGTTTTGTTTAGTAAGACACATAAATAAATATTTATTTTATGAATTATAAATTTCTGGTATTAATTCAACATAAAACATATCAGTCAGTGTTAAAACAACAAATTCTATAATAAAATAATAAAACTTTCACTTACTTAGAATCTCGAAAAGAAACACAAGACTCGATACTCGAAAAAATAATAATAAATGTAATTAATAATTTAAACTAAAACTATTGTTAATTGAACATGTTGATGCCTGTCATTGAGTTCTAGTGCGAAATTTTAAAATTGATAAATCAGGGAAATATTTGGAAGAAGCTTCACATTACGCAAAACTATAAAATGCGTATGAAATATAATTTATGAGCGAAATTTATCACGGGTCTATTCCCAAATAGCTCACTGAATTTTATGAACCATTTTTATAGGTGTCTGTTTACGTAGTGTGCCTGCGATACGTACATTTTATATCGATAGGGTAACATATCCGATACAATATACGATGATAAAGCTTCGACTTTACAATTTTCCTAGATTTAATTCTTTTTAAAACTTCTTAGGATTGGGTATATAATGTCAAGTGCCTCGCTAATGTCGTTTCTGCTTTTCCCACCTGTAACAAGTAGACGTGAATGCTTATTGTAAATGAAACTATTTTACGGATTTTGTTTTAATTTATAGATATATAGAATTTATATATCTATATATATTGTTAATTTCAAGTGCTGTCTTATCACGTGCTCGGGGGTGAAAGAAAACATCGTGAGGAAACCTGCATATTTTCGAAATAACAACAAACAAAATATTTTGAAAACATTTGAAGTCCGCCAATCCGCAGTGGGGCCGCGTGGTGGACTATGCCCTGATACCCTCTGTACAGAGGAGGCCTTTGCCCATAAGTGGGACATTTATAGGCTGTTAATTTACTTTAACTTTTTTATACATTTTCAAATTAATGAGGTATTTACACAAGCATTTTCAAAGCAATTCAGTATTAGCCTCACTTACTTTAGCAGAGTTCAAAAAAACTAAATATAGGTATGGGGACCGGCAAATATCTTCAGCAAAAAGCGGCGTAGTGGAGGGAAAGTTAACGCATCTTTCGTTAAACCAAAGCTTTAGCTCGTGAGGTCAGTAATTTCTGCCACCCGCAAAGTGCTTCTAGAAGACCTAAAATCGAACACTGCGCAATTGAATACATTTTTCTAGATGTTTGCCGCTCAGTTAATTTGTAAGAATCGTATGAACTGCTTATTTTTATGCTTAATCAAGATCCCACCGGATGAAAAGCACCAGATGATAAACTATTTGAATACAAGCCTATTCATTCTAATCGTAAAGACGCTCTTTTTTGTCTCGGAAGGGAAATCTCACATACCCCATCATTTCTCACATGACAGGGTTATGTAGTGTTTGTAGCCAATAAAACCCCTTCGGTGGACACTTTGTGTACGTTTAGAGGGACTTCGGGATCTCTTACGGAACGCATCGGTGTCCCTCGGTACTGCGTAGGAGCATACCTCGGACAAGGATAAACCTTCCCGGATTCCCTCACCATCTTGCAACAGTTCGATGCCACTGCGTACTGCTTTCCCGTATCCCCTTTTAGTCGTCTTTTACGACAGGCAGGGGATACCTTAGCCCTTAGTATTCTATGGGCCTAAGACTACAGGACTGACGCGACGATTCGTCCGTTTGTGCCGGCCCGGCGCTGTGCACTCCCGAGCGGGGTCGGCCCACTGCCTTTCCCGCTCGGCGATCACCTTCTGGAGCATAACAGCTTCATAGAAGGAGACCAGTGCCATTTGAGCAGAATCCTCCGCCAGTGCAGCCGCAACTGGTCGTTAGTTGTCAATGAATCGGGAGTGACCTTTCGCTCCGGAAACATTTTACCCAACTAATTAAACCAGCAGATATGCTACACTCTGGAGACCTATTGTTAAGGCTTGCATGCTGTACTCTGTCCAAGGCTTTCGAGAAGGAAATCAAGGAAATCCATAAATGCTTTAACATTGTTCTTCAAAATCTTGACATGTAGGTAGTTAACATATAAAGAGGGGATATATAGAGGGTTCCGATCGAACAATTTCGCTGAAAACCGTACTGCAGTTCAGGTCATTCTCTTTATGAAGGAATTCTGGCAGTCCTAATGAATAAATAAATAAAAACATTTCATCATCATATCAGCCGTAGGACGTCCACTGCTGAACATAGGCCTCCCACATTGACTTCCACTTCGACCGGTCGTTAGCGGCCTGCATCCAAGCCGTCCCTGCGACCTTGGCTAGGTCGTCCGTCCACCTTGTGGGAGGCCTTCCTACGCTGCGCTTGCCGTCACATTCACACATTTCACACTCAAAAAATTCATTATAAGCCATACATTGAGTATGGTAATCGCAATATATAATCTTTCGGATTCTGATTGAAAATCCTATAGAAAATTATTTTGCATACCTGTAAAAACTATTTTTCCATTTACAAATATGAGTAATACAACTCGCGGACGCACCATTCGGTATACTAATCCAGGAAACAATTCGGGTTCATAAGATGCAAATTGACCATGTGCTTGTTGTAATGCCTCCAACTTCACAGGGAACCTTAGATCTGCTGTTGCAATAAAGTTTTGTATTTTAAAATCTAAAAATTTTGCCTGTAACATTCAATTTTAGAGCATATATTACAAATTATTTATAGAATAAAACAAAATCCCGAACATTTATTACTAACAGGAAAACCGAGCTTTTGAATGATTCGAGCAAATTTTCTGGCTGCAATATATGAATCATGTTCATTTCTAGCACCTGTACAAACAATTTTCCCAGTCCTGCAATGGCATAGATTTAATGTAAAATCAAGATTTCAGATGCTTTGCGCAATATGCTACATTTTATTTGGAAAATTTCTTACCTAAAAACTAAAGCAGTAGCTCGAGGATCCAGTATTTTCATTACAACACCTTGAAATCGAGCAGGATTATACTCGGAAAATCTTGTTCGACAGTAGATATCTAGTAATTTTAATTCACAGCCCAAACTAACAGATGATACACAATTCCTGAAACAATATCCAGAATACTACCAATAAACAACTTCCGAGGCTTAAAAAGAGCAACTATCGTAGTTTCAATACTGAACATAGATGAAAGAGAAAAATGGTATAAAAGCCTAGTACATAATATATTATTAAAGCATAATAATATAGTATAAGGTCTTTTGATTAACAAACCGTATATGCCCAACTACAGAAGCTATAGGAAGAGAACGGTCATATTGTTACTATGAAACCAGAGATCTTTGCTGAAGTAAAGAGTTTTATGGCAAGCTTTATGCGGCTGATAGATTTCCACATTGGCACATGTCACTCACACGCGCGATAGCCAGACCCTTAATCCGATACTAATCTAAAGATATTCCCTAAATCAGCTTAGAATATGTCAGGACAGTCCTTGAACAGCTTAAAAATGAGAGCCAGTAAGCATTGAACTTCAACAGAATTGCTGAAACCGGAAGAAACTGTTCAGTTCTGTTTTTCACATTGGGTTTGCACCATGGATGTAGAAAAGGGATCATCTTATTATTCAAGGCAGGTGACAAAAATTTTGAACCAGGGTTGCCCACCATTCACAATTGAATATTTAAGTGGAAGTTTTAAACTTAGTACCATGCAATAATGAATTTTCTATATTTAATGTGAAACTTTTTTCTATTGCCTATTTTTATTTTTTTGTCTGTCTATCACATGTCGCATTACAGGTGGAGCAGGGACAAAGTGAAAGATGCTCGGCAGAGCAGCCAAGGCCAATAAGGCAACACCCATGGCTTGCATAAGCTAACCATATTGATTTTATTTTAAATTTGAATCATTAATTATTTTATAATTAATATTTATTGTAAAGATCAGTTAAATGCCTTTGATGTATATGGTTTCTTAAAACCACACAATTTTCTTTTTATTTAATTTTTTACATCTGCAAATATTGCTAAAGATTTAAATTCTGTATTATTATAGTATTTAGAGCTCAAACGAGACAGGCTTACCTACTGTGGGACCTTAATTAACTTGGTAAACAAAAGTTTTTTCAGTTTTCATTACTAAGAACATGTGATAAGATATCCCAAGAATGAATTCTTAGTCAAGCATGCAACCTTGGACCACTGTATAAAGTGATTTTAAAATTCCAGATAAAACCAGTTTCTAAGACTTACTGTAATTTGATACTATTCTTTGCTTGAGTAGATCCACTTGCTACAGGAGTTAGGGCAATCATTGTATTATGGGGATTGGCAGCTTGTGGTGTGAAAGACCTATATGTGGGTGTGAGTGAAATATCACCCATTATTCGTGATTGTGATGATGCCATCAGAGGGGTTGCAAATGTTTTGTCAGTCTCAGGTCTTAGTTGAGGAGTACTTTCAAAATTTGATTTTTCATTATCTGTGTTTACAAAATCAAGAGTATCCAATTCATTGTTCAAAACACTTGCATGATTTTCAATATTCTGGTCACTATCAAATGTTTTTAATTCATCACTGCTCATGGTTCCATCCATATCTGCTTGGTTTGAAGCTTGCTTTATCTGTAAGGGTTAATATAACTAAGTAATGTTAAATCAATTATTATTAAACCTTTGCCATGCTTTAATGTTTGTGCATTAAGAGATGATAAAAATAATAAATATTTATGTCAATAAAAAGATGCTATGAAAATACACAATTCTGACAGAGAAACATGCGGCTTCTATATTTTACATATAATGTACAACATATTTTGTTACTTTTTATTCTCTCTCTATTAAATAGGTCATTAAATTTTAAAACATGTAAGCATTCCTTAATAAGGCAAGTGAAATACATTATTATGTAAACGAAAAACTAACTTGAGTTATTTCAGAATCCTCTTCTTGACTGGAGTCAGACTGTAGCGTAACATCTTCCATTAGGTCCAGGATATTTTTTTAGTTTTTTATATAATTCTTCAAATAACTAGTTTAAGTTCTAAATCACATAAATGACAAAACGTCACATAAATATTATTCGCAATGTTAATATGACTATAATTTTTTGCATTCAATAAGTCGTAATTTCCTTGCATAAAAAATAAATGTAGAGTTATTCTTATTATTGCTGACTAGTATATAACGATTGTAAACTTGTAAAGTATGTAAAAGTAAAAGTATAACCTACTATAAACTACTCTTGAAACTCGAATCTCGAGTCGGCCCGAAAGTCGAATCGAAGTTCGTATTCGAACGTCAACACAGAGTACTTTGGAATATAGGGAAAATGAACGTCAATAACTCAATACTATAAAAATTATAGTATTGAGATGCGATGATAGAATAATTATTATTCTATTATCGCATATAGAGGCATAGACTATTAATGTTACACATAGAATAATATATAATATTAATGTTATACATAGAATAACATCATTCCGCTTATGCATTAGAAAAAGTGCTACTTTTATCGCTGTTCCAGTTCCATAAAAATCACAGTGATAAATCCAAAGATCTTATACTTAAAAACTAGATTGTGCACGAAAAATTTTGTTAAGCTAAAATAATATCTATTATTATTATTGGCTTAGGGTAGCTATTTCCTTATAAGCGGTAGCTAGCTAAAAAAGGTCCTGGTAGAAGTGGGCGATACAAATCGTATCAGATAAATATATGAATACTATATATTGGTACAATATCTGAAAATCGCTTACTGGCCCGTTCAAAATCTATGTATTTTACAATATTTGATATTTCCGAAATCTCGCTCACTCACTATACCGACACGAATCGCGATATCATACGCGTTTGCCACAATATCAGATTTTTAGACAAAGCGCGTGAGGTACAAATATTCACTAGTTAGAACAGTACGGCAACAATATCAGATTTTTAAAAAGATTTTATGAATAAGTTAAGTAATTTTGAATCTTAACTTCATGCAAATTTAGATCCGTTTCATTTAAATTATTACTACAATATCAGATTTTTAGACAAAGCGCGTGAGATACAAATATTCACTACTTAGAGCAGTACGGCAACAATATCAGATTTTTAAACAGATTTCATGAATAAGTTAAGTAATTTTGAATCTTAACAACATACACATAAGATCCGTTTCATTTAAATACTAAGCATGGTATCAACGATTACGATATCTTTTTATTCCTTTCTCTTGTATCTTGTATTAACTGATGTTTTTGCTTTCAGTCCCGAGACTATTAAAGCTTCATCTGACGCAGAACCGGTGGGCTAGCCAGAACCCACGGGTTTGGGCCCTCCGCTGTGGGTAGGGCCACGCATGTGATCATGCGTGCGTTTAACTATGGTGTGTCATTTAAGGGCCATCGAGGTCGTGGTTCGGACCGAAACCCCGATGGCCGTCGACTGTGTTTATAGCTAATCGGTGGCTGGGGGCGGTGAGAACCGCCCCGGAACTCGGGTGTACCTTGTGTACGCGTTGTGTTGGTCTCGCCGTGCTCGGAGGCGAGGGCGAACTAGTGTGTTTGTTGTTGCACTAACTGTGGGTGTAGTGTTGTCCGGCAGGACCTCCGGCGGTGGGTCCGGCGTGTCTAAGTCCCCTTCCTAGACCGGGTCGATGAGGACGTTTCGCGGACGACGCTTGTTGACGTTCGCGTTTGTGTCGGGTTGGTAATTTGCTGCGCTTACCACCAGAGGGTTGGGATGATGTTCGGCTCTATCGAAGAACCGTTTGGTCAGGTCTTTAAAATATTCGCGAATCGTCGGGAGTCTGCAATCGCTGGGCAGGTCGACGTTGCTTTGATACCACTGCGCACCGGTTGCGCAGCGGATGAACTTGTTTTGTACTATTTGCAACTTGTACAAGCGAGTAGGGTGCGTGTGGGCGAAGGTCATGCATGCGTAAGACATAATAGGTCGTACGCAGGTCTTATATAATAATAATTTGTGCCTTAAGGGCATTTTACTTTTAGCGTTAGTTAAATTGTGCAGCCGGCCGGAGACGATCGCGGCTCTATTGCGAACATTATTAATGTGCGTACTAAATGACATACGCGAGTCGAAAGTGACTCCTAAGTATTTGACCTTTTTCTCCCAGGGGAGCGGTTGGCCATAAAGGGATATTTGCCCCAACTTTCTGCATTGACGAGGACCATTATAAAGATGTGCTGGGTAAGTACTTCGTGTGAAGTGAATCGCCACACTCTTTTCGGGATTTATTTCTATTCTCCATTTGCGGAATCAATCGCCGAGGCGGTTGGCAGCGCTTTGGAGTCGAGTGGTTAGTTGTCTAAGGTTGCGGTCTGAATAAACGAGCGCCGTGTCATCCGCAAAAAGCGCGAGATTGACGTGGGGGTCTTTAGGTATATCGCCCGTGTAGAGCGTAAAGAGCAAAGGTGAGAGGCAGGAGCCTAATGGTACGCCGGCCGTGAGGCGGCGGCTTGTGGAGAGGGTGCTTTCAACTCGATATCGAAAAGAGCGGTTCGACAGGAAGGCCCGGATGGTGTGTACGAGCCTATCTGGCACTTTGAGTATGTACAGCTTGTAAAGCAAGCCATTGTGCCTTGTCGAATACTTTTGCGACATCGAAGAAAAGAGCCCCTGTACTAATATGTTTAGAGTGATTTAGGCCTTTTAGGATATGTTCCGTTAGGCGGAATAGTTGATCGGGACAGGAATGTCTAGCTCGAAAGCCGAATTGTTCCGCTGGCAGAAGGCCCTTGGAAAACACGTGCTCATTGAGCCTGTTTAATAAAAGCCGCTCGTAGAGCTTCCCCAGGCAACTGAGGAGGCTGATGAGACGATAACTAGAGGGCTGCTTGGCTGGTTTATTAGGCTTGCGAATGCCGATAACCCTGGCTTCTTTCCAGTCGTCCGGAAAGGACCAACTGGAGAGTAAAGTATTCTAAATGATCGCCAGTAAACAGATAAGCGGCCCAGGGAGAGCTTTAAGAATTTTGTTACTAATATTATCTGGGCCCGGGGCGCATTTGGGTTTTAAGTTTTTAATAATATCTTGAACCTCTTCGGGGGGTCACTGAATTCAAAGGATCGCCTTCCGGTGGAAGCGCAGCCCTAATATCGATTACGCGGTCCACCTCCGTTAGGTGGGCTGTATCGATGTGTTCGCACGATGGCGAACATTGCTGCTCTAAGTTGTCCGCAAGGCATTCGGCTTTTTCGGAGTCATCTAGGGCTACTGAAGCGCTATTAGGTCTAACTAACGGCGGTAGAGATTCGCGGGGGTCTGTTTTCAGACTGCGGGCCAACCGCCAGTAGGCGGTGTGCGATGGCTCGATGTCCTCTAGGAGAGTATCCCACGTTGTATGTCAGTGTTCCGATACACGATCTTTGACTTCTAGCTGAAGGCGTCGAAGTAGGGTTCGGTTCGATTCCGATCGGTATCGGTCGAAAGCGCGTTTGGCTGCATTTTTCTGCCTAATTAGCAGTCGCAGGTCGGGCGGAAAGTTAAGCCGTCGGTCGCCCGACAGTTTCACCGTCCGTCCCGAGTGTGCGACTGTGGAAGTGATGGTTTCTCGGAGACTTGCTATCGCTCGATGTGCGTCATCGAACGTAGCTATCGTCTCGGGTAGGTCGACTAAGTCCTGGGGGTCCAAGGCCTTGAGTTTTACCTCAAGACGATGCCAGTCCACTACGGATTTGGTCGGAGGGACCGCGCCGGCGTTTTGGCCCAGTTTACACAGGACGGGCCTGTGATTTGAATCTAGTTCATGGATTGTCTCTATCGACTCGATGTCGAGCGAGACCTCCTTGAATAACATGATATCTAGGATACTCGGTGTCGCGTGTTGGTAGTTGTCCACCGTAGGATACCTAGTGTGAGTCGCAGGAGCAATTATGCTAAAGTTTAAATTATCGGATAAGCTAAAGAGATGCTTTCCGTTGTTATTTGGGATGCTGTGGATGTCCCATGAGCCGTGTTTGCAGTTTAGATTTCCTGCAATTATCACGGAAGGGCCTAAGTTGAGTAGCGTATCTAGGTCGTTTTGTAATAAGGGTTTGTTCCCCGAGAGGTAGGCTGAGACTAGTACAAGCGGCCTATGGCCGGTGAGCGCTAACCTACACGCGGATGCCTCTATATGGCTTAGCTCTGGAATGTCGAGCGGGCTACAGTGCAAGGACCTTTTGTAATAAATTAAGGTGCCTCCCAGACGGTTTGCTAACCGGTCGTGGCGGACTATGTTGTAGTTTGCGATTCTGGGATCGCGAACACTAGGTTTTAAGAAGGTCTCTTGCGCTAGAAAAATATCTACATTATAATCGCGAAGGAAATCTGCGATTTCGTCCCTTTGACCCTTAATGCCGTTTGCGTTGAAATACGAAACAACCACAGCCCGAGGTTTTGGTCTACCTGCGGTTGTACTTCCCATTAAAGTTTTTATGAGTTCTAACTAACGACGCGGCGGAGCGCGGTTTTATTGCGCGGACTATTAAGTTTATGGTTGGCTTGTAAATGCCCAGAGGGCTTCTACAAGCATTTTATGTTCGCTAATGGCTTTAAATCGCGCGTTGCCAGATGTGGTGGCCGCTATTTTAACGGACAATACGGCGAGTTCTTGTCTATTAATGCGGTCTAATAAGGCGCAGATGTTGGCAATTTGGGCGAACGGGTCGTCCTTGTTTTCGGCGAAAACCGACGGTGTCGACTGCACCTGCGGCGTCGGCGCCGTTTGATAGGCGGGCTGCGATTGAGCGATTGGCCGTGAGGCGACCGGGGGTGCAACTACTTGCGCGGCCACCTGGGGTTTCACCCAGGCGTTTACGACGGGTACGGGCGCGGGAACGTATTTCACGGGCGCGGGTTTGGGCAAAGTAGATTTCGCGGGATCTTTTCTCGCGGGAGTTTTTGGGGCCTTAGCGCAGCCCCTGTAGCTAGCCGGGTGGCCGGTGGTATGACAATTAACGCAGTCCGGTGGATCTCCGCAATCTTTTGGCCGCGTACAATCGGGCGTGCCGTGGTCACCGGTGCATTTGACGCACCTAGGGTGAGCGAAACAATTATTAGCCGTGTGGCCATAGTGTTGGCAGTTGTGGCAATGCGCCAACACTCCCGATCTTCGCGGGGGCTCGATCACGAGGTCGCTGAACCCACAGACCCTCTTCAGGTTGAAGATGGCCTTACCTTCCGGGGTAGGGTCAAGTTCAACCATCACCATATCCATAGGGACACGGGTTCTGGGATGTCTGAGGCGTCGGACGGCATGCACAGGGTATCCCTGAGTGCGGATGTCGGTTTTCGCCTTGTCGACATCCGACTCTTTGGGGACGCCCTTGATAACTACCCGAAGCTTGCGTTCTTCGGGCAACGAGTAGGTGTGAAAACCTATCTTATTTTCGCGCAAGTATTTCGTTACACGGCGGAAATCGTCCGTTGTGTCAAGGTATACGCGGATACCTATTTGTGTATTTTTCGATCGGGGGTCGCGGATGTTGTGGCGTTCAAACCATGAAGAAATTTGGTGCCACTTAGCCTTCTCCTGAATCATGATGGGTGGAGGAGGCTTTACGTTGGCTGTTTTTTCGCTCGGAGGCGAATTCGGGCATCGGTTTAGCTGCCGCGGTGGGTTGGTTAGTTGAAGCGGCCTCGCATTCGGGGTCGCTGTCGGCAGCGGGGCGTTTTTTGCCCTTCTTACGTGACTACCTCCATGTCCGATCCGCCGTCCGATTGTGAGTCGGGAACGACGGCGCGGAAGGGGGCCGAAATGGGATGCGTGGAAGGCGCGATGGGTACGATCGCGGCGGCGGAGGTCGACGCGACGGGCATTTCTTGTGTCGCTGAAGGCGACGCATTAGCGGGCGCTGAGGGCGTCGGAGATGACGGCGAGGCGACTGCCGGTGAAGCCGGCCTCCCCACCTTGCGGCAGGGAGGTATGTACCTAAAACTAAGAACTAATCCGCCTGCGCTTTAGGTGCGCTAGGGTGGGTACCTTGCTGTCGCCTATCGCAACAAGCACACAGTTATTAAATAAAAACAATGCCGCCTCTGAGGCGAGAAGTGTGTATAGAATTCTACTTACAGAACAGGAACCTGCCTACGAGCACAACACTAACACTAAACTGCTGCACTGCTTGCACAAAGATTTAAATTGCAACCGAAGTTGCGAGTAGCGTCTAATTCGGTTGGCATTAGCCCTCCCTCTTAGAGAGAGGTCCGTTCCGTATGAGAGCACGAAGTGGAATCAGCACGAAGCGGAATGTTTATTTTTTTATTTAGCACTAGCCTTGAGCCGTAGCGAGTGACAAAGCGCGTGAGATACAAATATTACACTAGTTAGAGGGGTACAGCAAACAATGCACAATATCAGATTTTCCAACAGATTTTATGAATGAGTTAAGTAATTTTGAATCTTAACAGCGTGGAAAAAAACTCTGTTTCATTTAAATACGAATCATGGTATTAACGATGTCTTTAAATTTTTTTTAGCCTTGACCTGGAGTGCATTGGGGTGAATTATTTTCAAAATAGCATGTCTTTAGTGTGAATCGATTATTTCACTCAAAATAATATTACGCAATATATAAAACATATCCCCGAATTTTCTTCATACATTTATTCATAACTAGTAGGTAATAAAATAACAAAATAACTATATGCCTTAGTTTAAATATACAGAACTATCAGTTTTTCAAAAAGCATTCTAATATTGTTGCTTATTTTAAGTTATTCAACTAAAAAGAAAAATCACACAAAAACCGTCAAATTAAATCATAAAATGAAAATCCACCCATTGATACTTAAGTACGTAATAAAAAGTAATAAATATATATATATATATAAAATATTGATAAATATATATATAAATATTGATAAAGTAATAAAAATAACAAAGAAACCACCATAAGAACAACAAAACATTGGTTAAAGAAACCAATGTTTTTTTTTGTAAGTTAAATTCTTAATAAAAATATAATTAAAAAAAATAAAGTTAACTTAAAGTTAAGATTCTTCGTCTTTATGTCGGGTAACATTGTCATAAAGCTATTTTGAGTCCATTAACTTTATCATACTTCTGTGAGGTTCAAATCTCCTACATCCTCCTTCCAACTGATCCCTCGTAACCCTTTTTTAGTTTATAATGCATGGAACATTTTTATTATTAAATCGATTTCGATCTTGATTTTTAATCCTATTAATTTCGGAAAATATTCTTCTTCGGCGTTTGACAAAGTCATTTGCTTCACAAATCGGGACAAATTGCCGTACTTTGGTTTGCTATTAGCATCACAGATTTGGCTGATTTCACTCCAAAATTTATCCACCATAAAAGTTTCAGACATCTAACTAGCAGTTGACAGTGAAACGAAATGCCGGAATAGCCTTTCATATTTTTGATATACTTTGATGTAGCCATGTGTTCCTTCAACGACGGCAGTTTACTTAGTACTTCACAGTTGCATGCTTTACAATGAGCACTCGTAATGTATACCTTAGATTTACAAACCAACTTTTAAATGAGGGATATTGCTCCCATTCATCGCGATATCCTTGTGTATATTTACGTTTCATTTTAAACTCTATTATAAAAATTCTCAATAAAGGAATTCCAACTAGTCTATCACACTCTATGCGCACGGCACGAATGGTAACGAAAAGAATGAAAATTAAATAGTAACAATCCATTCAATGAAAGGGAAAATACCCCGCATTTATCCGATAAGCCAAATAAGTAATATAATAACTGAAAAGCGTGAATTCTACTAAAATATACCAAATAATTTTTACATACTAAATTCTATTGCCAGTGCCTCAAAATCTACCAAAAAAGTAGAAATCTACTAAATCTGGTCACGCTGCTTCGATCAAACTACTGAGTGATACTCGTGACATATTACAATGCTTACAAAACACGATTTTTAGGAGCAGCGATCCCGTCGCGTTTTGCCTTTGTTGCGCTCCGTTTCATTCACTGTGATGAGTGTGTGCGAAACAGTGACATGGAACGAAGTGATTTTGTCACAGTCACAGTGATTTTTCATATTAAGTCGCAGTCACATAGACATTCAGATCACAGTGATTTTATCACTGTGGCGGTATTTTTGTCACATCGCTAATTCCCATAGAGTAAATTAATACTACTGGTCGTCGCGCTAACAGAAAACTACATTACTAAAAATAAAAAAGAAGTTGTTTTCTCTGGGAGAAAAATGATATCGATGTATCGAATGAAAACTGTTCCACACTATAAACATCAAAATATTTATTTACTTCTTTTGAAAAACATACGTTTTTGTTAGAAAATTGAATAGTATCCTGTGTATTTCTTCGTAGGAATTATAAGACACTGTTTAATAATAATGACTAATAATGATTTCTTTAATCACAAATTTAGTTAATTTATTTGCAACTGTAACTCAGTGGCTGTTTATTACGGCCTCGTTGCTCGGTGAAGTTATAGTCAAAGTTATAACAACAATTTTTTTAACAGTGCTTAAAAGTACTGAGAGTGTGTTTTTATTCTTCCGAATAGTGTACGAGGATAACTTCTTCACATTTGCTGAAGAAATACCTACTTTTGTGGTTGATTTCTTGGAAACAATTCTCAAACAATGGTTTCAAATTCAAAATTATACTAGTGATTTGTGCTACAGTGCTGTAAACAATTTAAAACTCATTTTAAGAAGCATAAAATGGTTTCTCCAAGAATTTGTTTTGATCATCAGTGAAAGTGTATTGTTTTGGAAGAAAACATTAATATTTTTGGGCGAAACATTGTGGCTGGTGCTAACTTTTATACCCATTCATTTACCACATATATTGAGAGAAATTTGGGTATATTTACGTGACCGTTTTTATATAATGTCAATTGAGGTTTACATGAGCCTGCTCAAGTTCACTAACTTTTTAACTGATGTCCCTTTGGAGTCATTTGGAGGATTACTTGTTACCATGATAATTGTACGCTTATGCATCCATTTTAGAGATACATTGCGAACACAAATATCTGCTTTATATTGGATAGTGATAAGAAAACTGCTATACATTTATCACATGATTTATCATTATTTTAATGACTATGAAACAAGATTAATAGCTCACATGGTCAGTGGCCAACAATTATCAACCAGACAAAGTACGGGGACGATATCTGATGAGGATTTACCTAATGCTGCAGAGGCACTTTGTGTCATTTGTCAAGAGCGTCCAAAGTGTGTATTAACTCTACCTTGCCGCCATGTGTGCTTGTGCTCTGAATGCTGTATGAGATTATATGGTTATCAACGAACATGCCCTATATGCAGGACCTTCATTTATCATTCTGTTACAGTGTATTTGTGATATCTTTATAAAAATAATTGAAAAGGAGTTGTCTAATGAAAGATTCATAGTGGATTTTTATTAAATTATTTTATAAATTTCTTGAATCTATATAATTTATAAAAAAAAATTATAAACATTATTCACAACCAAAGTTTGTATATAACTATATAAGGAAATGTTACTACATAGCCCAAAAAGTAACATATAAAAATAAATATTAAACACCTCTAAGATAAAATAACTTCACAATGATCTTAATATTATTTTTACTATTTTTATTAATTATGACAGTTTTTAATTTGTACTGTCATAATTCTTTGGTCTTTGAAACATAGCAATGTAATTATTTGATTCACCACTACTGCTTAATGTTTTTTTTCTTGCATTCAAATTTAAATCTTTAAAAGCTAAATTAACATCTTTAAAGGTATTTAAAGTAAATACTGCCACCATTAATATGAAAAAACCACATATACACCCTAATATATCTTGGTTTTCAATTTTCTCCCATTCCCTAAATAGAATACCTGAAGAAAAAATAACTAATACTGTAAAAATCACATAATATATCGGAGTAACTATGCTAGTATTAAACATGTCTAGTGACTTATTCAAATAATTCATTTGAATTGTTATACAAAAGACAGTCAACAACACAAGTAACCAAAATATATGCTCAGTAAAGTTGTTGTTTCCTCCTTCAAGACTTTCTTTAATCCCCAAAGCAACTCCTTTGCAAAATACAACTGTTAAGCTCCCCACAGCCGAACATATCAATAAATAAACAACAACATTTGTATTACCAAATCTTGGGACAAACACTACTTTTACTATTAAGAACATGATTAAAATAATCATAACATAAGTAATGAATAAAGAATCAAACAACTTTTCTTTCAAAACCAAAAATCCTTGTATTTCTTCTGTTTTTGGTGAATGCAGGATGAATATTATGGACCCAATAATACAAAGAAAACATCCAATCTGTAACAATCAATGTGTTTATGAGATGGAACTCTAAGGTAAGTTGATCATTCATATATTAAGGTATAAGAGAAGTTGCTACCTTTCCTATCAAATTTAGTTTTTCGTTAAGGAATTTAGATGAAAGTACTGCGGCCACAAGAACACTTAGAGCTCCCAATGGAGTAACCAAAGCTGCAGGTGCAAATGCATAAGCTAAGAGATTTGCTGTTTCTCCAAGGCCCACTATGAAGCAAATATTATTTTTAATGTATGATACTATCAATTTATAACATTACAGAAAGTATAAAATAAGTACTTGTAAATAGCCCTAACCACCATATCCATTGCTTAAGGTATGAGTAACCACCTGCCGATGGTCTAACATCACCAAGAGCATTTATTTTCTTTAAAGCAATTTTTTTTATTATAAAGCTTGATCCTATAAAAACACTAGATGATATAGCCAATCCAAGCCCTAATATAAATTGTAAATTTTTTTGCTTTTCATCATTCAAGGCATTAGAATTCATTGTGTATAATACATGAATAATTTGTATGAATAATATAATACTTCTGCAGAAGTGGTAAAAACATTTAAAAGATCAACTAATACATAAAGTTTCGTAATGGAAGTGATAGTAGAGATATTAACATGTTGTATTAAAACAATCTATATAAAAAACGGCGGAAACATGTAAGAAAATTGAAAACTTTGCTACCTACAGCCAGATGACGTATCTTACATATTCTATGAATGTCAAAAAATATCGATATATTGATATTTATGATTTTATATAAGTATCGATATATTTGGATTCGATATATCGACATGAATTAAAAGGGATTGTGGAAGTCTCCAAGCTGCCGAGGTTCTGGCTAGGCACCCTGTGCGCCAGGCCACCTCAGTCCGTCGGATCTGTAAAGGCCCCTAAGGCCAACAGTGGCTCATCAAGCCCAAAAAAAATCTCCAAGCTGCAAGACTGGACTTGGAAGCTCTGCCTCATCCGCCATACTCACCAGACCTACTGACTGTTAACAAAATTTGGGCAACATTATAGGAAAAAAATTGCATTTCCAAAAGGCAGTACAAAATGCCTTTGAAGAGTTGTGTTCCCGTCCAGCTGATTTTTACAAGAAGAGAATCGATAAACCGCCACTGCGATGGCAAAGATACATCGATTGCATGGGTGATTGACTTTAAATACCAAAAAAAAAATAGTTTTTTTTTATATATTTTGCATGCAAATAATTAATTACAATAAAATAATAAAAAGACTCGAAAAGGGTATAAATAATATAAAATTATGAAAGCGCCATCTACATTCTTTATTGAGAATCGTAACGGGTGAATTTAATTGTGAATATGCTGCCATCTATAAAAAAAAATGGTTCAGCGGGCAACTTCAAAGGTGTTACTTTTGTGTAACAGTGATGCGTGTGCATCATAAAATTTCAATCATAACAATTTTTTCATAACGCGCCTAAAGAAGTATAACTTTAATAAAATAGTTAAAAAATACTTTAATTTCCTTCATACAAGACGGCAATTTCATAAGTAAATACTAGTGATGTGCCAAATCATTAAAATTGTAAATCCGCGATCCGGATATGGATCATTGGCGTCAATATCTGCGGATACGGATATGGATCTTAACATAATATCCAGGAAAAATCTCAATATTAGTGTATCCACCGTCCTTGATTTTGTATCCGATTCGAAGGATAAATTATATTTAAGTTTTTCAGAAATTGAAAAAAATAATTGTTTCAAGTAGCTATATTTTTACACCCACTGGTCAAAGGAATAAAAAAATTGCTTACAACTATGGAAAATGAAATTTAAATTGTTTATAGTGCTAATCTTTGCACTTAAGAATAGCACTATAATCAATTTTTCTACATATTTTAATATGGAAAATGAAGTAAATCTCATAGAAATTACAAGTAATAAGGACAAACCAATGATTTTTGCCAGAGTCTCGAAGAGTCTGGCTAACATGTTAGATAGTGATGATGATGATGAATATTAGATACGAAAACACATTTGCTCATACAGTACATGTCAGTATAAAGATTATCGAGAGAGCCACGATCCACGAAAGTATTGGCAGATTAACCGTGAAAAGTTTGGAGGTATCAGTCAGATGACTTGACGACCCGATTGGCGTGGGGAGTAGGTAATGAACCTGCTTCTTGCGCCAGAGGGTATGAGTTCGATCTCCACTACTGGAAAAATATTGTGTGATGCACATAGTGTTCTTCCAGTGACTGGGTGTCTATAAATGTATATGTATGTATTTACAAAAGAAAAGTATGTTTATCAGTTTTCTAGTACCCATAGTACAAATGCTTAGTTAGAGAACGTAAAAAATGTATCTGAAATTATTTATATTTCTCGCATATATTCATTTTTTATCATGACTTGGGGGTTAAAGCTGCCAAGTTATTTTTTTTTGAAGTACAATTTAGCGTTCCTATAATTATCACTGTGTTTTTAATCAAATGTTAGCACTTTGAGTGCCACAGTGTATTGATTTACTAAATTAGAATTATCATTTTGTTACGATTATACGGATAAAGATCCGTCAAATATTTACCGGATATGGATACGGATCTTTTTTTCTGACGGATATCCGCGAATATAAATACGGATATCCGGAACATCACTAGTAAATACCTAATGTTTCGTTAACACCCGAATCGTGGAGATGCAAAGAATAGCGGACATACGGACTGCTTCATAGTGCACCTATTAAGTTGTTTTTCTCGAATCTACGTTTACTTGCGAATTTCTTCCAAAAAAAAATTGTCTCACCTACCGGATTAATAGTATACTATTCCTGACAAAAATATATCTGTGTAAGATGTAATACTAATAAGAATAAAGAACGAACTTCTTTAGCGTAAAGACATTAAATGCAATTGACAACAGTTTATTTAAATAATTTGGAGTTATTGGTAAATCTCAGAAAGTTGTTGTTGATTGGTAACTTGGCATGTTGCTTTTACGGTCGGTGTGCGCGTGCATGGTAAATATTTTACTCACATTATTTTTCCAAACGCGTCAAAAGTATAACTTCAAATTAGAAATCGATTTTAATGCCAATTTTGTATCTGTTGCTCTAAATTCTTTAGTGACAACGTCAAATCGTCTACAACTGATAGTGATTTGACACGTCGCCATTGTACATTAACATATCACGATAATTGTATTATTTGTCTCTCCCTAATTTATGAGTATTGTTTGAACTTCACCAGTTACTATAAAGTTTATGATTTTAAAACCTGGTTTTTCCATAATTTCTGTCACTGAAGACAAGATTTCTTTGCTGGTTTCGAAGCTAGAATGCAATGCTCCCTCGTCGTCGAAACGTCGGTGTTCCTGAACGGGCACCATTGATAGAGGAAAATATAAGATCATATAACAAGCTAGATAAAAAAGGGTCACCTCTTTATCACCGTCCATTAGACAACTCGCATAAATACCCTGAAGGTGCTTACAATAATAGAGAAAGCGATACTGTTTTTGATTTTCTTGAGGACTTTGTTTTTGAACCAGTTATGGCTGCCCGAGATAGAACTAATGAGTTTATGGCGACTGTACGCAGTCTTCAAAACAGAACACAAGTTAAACCAATGATAAGAGATAAACGTAAAGCAGAAGTTCTTGAAACCTATTCACAGTTTATGAGTATGGCAAAAGTTATTAGTAAAAATATAACTAGTACATATGCTAAATTAGAGAAATTAGCATTGTGTAAGTAAATTTCAAATTCCTTTTTTCTTTTTCACTACTACTTAGTTAAATTAATATAATCACATATTTTTTGATGATTTGTTTGATTTGGGCTGTACTTGGACATTTGACATTTAAAAAATTATCTGTTAAACAGTTAATTTATGCATTATTCACATTTAGTCAACCTACATTACATGTAATAGAATTAATTAAAATACTTATTTTTATATTTATGCAATATTAGAAATGTTTCTAGAAATGTTGAAAGAACTGTTCAGTGGCTCATTCATGATACAAAAGTATGGCATAGATTTAAATGGAACATAATGATTTATATTAAAAAGTTCTATTAAACTATTTCATAAAAAGAGTATCAATTAATATACTTAGTTTTCAGTGTACCATTAATTTGTATATATTTTTTTCTGTTTCATTGCAGTGGCAAAAAAAAAGTCATTATTTGATGATAGACCAGTAGAGATACATGAGTTAACTTATATAATAAAAGGTGATTTAAACTCCCTAAATCAACAAATTGCCAGATTAGGGGAAATGCCTAAAGGTCGTCGCAGTATGCATAGTCATTCCTCGAGTGTGGTACTTGCTTTGCAGTCAAGACTTGCTTCAATGAGCAACCAGTTTAAACAGGTGATTATTTGTGTATTTATTTTATTTAATGAAGCATCAATTTGTTTCTGGTATTACATATACAACCCAACAACCAAGATGACACAGTAAAGATAGTAGCAATTGCTTATTTTTCTATAAATCTGAAATTAATCTTATGAAAGACTGCATACTGCAATTTTTAAACTTTTATATTTCCTTATTATTAAAATATTATTTCCAGGTTCTTGAAGTGCGATCGGAAAATTTAAAACATCAAAATAACAGAAGGGAACAATTTTCGAGTGTGGCGCCAATTATTAAGGAAATACCATCATTGCTGCAACCTGATGAAGTTAGCATAGATTTAGGAGGAGAAGTTTCCAATTTACAAACTCAGCAGTTAGCATTGAGAGATGATACAGATTCTTATGTGCAACAAAGAGCAGAAACTATGCATAATATTGAGAGTACTATTGTTGAATTAGGAGGTATTTTCCAGCAACTAGCTCATATGGTAAAGGAGCAAGATGAAGCCATAGGAAGAATTGATGCCAACATCCAAGAAGCTGAAATGAATGTTGAAGCAGGTCATCGTGAAATATTAAAATACTTTCAAAATGTTACTGGCAATAGAGCTCTCATGTTTAAAGTATTTGGGGTCTTAATATTTTTCTTTATTTTCTTTGTTGTATTTATGGCTTGATTGACTTCATGCCAATATGGCATATTATGCACTTAAGTGCTCTTCAGCTCATAAAATATTGATTTCAGGCTGGTATTGAACTTTGTAATATATGTTATATAATGTTATATATATAAAGCCAAACTTTAAACTGTTAACTGACATTTTACAACTATTAACATTAGCCTCCTACATGAAGTCTTGTTTTTTCATTAAATTTTTTTCACTGTGCAGTCATTTGTTGTGGACAACATGTCAATGCAAATGGCAAAGTTCAATGTGGCGTTCTAAGAGGAAGCCTATGTTCAACAGTGGATGTCTTATGGCTAATGATGATGATGAATAGGTTGTTGTTATTCTTTACTGATTATTCTCTCCAAATATCATTAAAAACATTGATTACTTAGTGGTCTCTCCATAACAGAATTATTGCATCATAACTTCTTTGGGAAGATAATAAAATGAAGGTCAGTCAAACCATTCTAGTTGACAACCCTTACTCTAAGTAAGACTGAAGCTAGTTGTTAACTGATTGTATATAATAAATAATAACTGTATATATTTAAGTGATAATATTGGTGACACCACATCCTTAGTTTGACTGGTAGAGAATACCTTTGGGCATTAAGTCCGCCCTTTGTTACCTTGTTTTACTGAAGTTTGGGTATAAAGATTAAATGAATAAAAATAATATGTGAATTGTGATTTATTTTGGTTACAGAAAACCAAAAAAATATAAAATTAAAACTAAAATGTAAATATGTATTTTTTATAGGCCAGTGAGGCAACCATCTTTGTACTTATAAGTTTAATTTTTAACCCCCTTACAGTATAAATAGAGGAATTAAAATAGCAATAGTAAAAATATATTCTCTATGGATATTTCTATAGTTGCTTTAGCAGAAGCCGTAGACTTGAATATTCTAGAAATTAGCGACATTATTATAACTTTAATCTTTATTCTTTACATGGTACCACCATGTGAGTTAATTTTAATTTGATTCCAATGCCAGCGGCATAGGACATAGGATCAACCAAAGAGCATTGTCTTTTTTTAACATTTGATACAATGCTCAGGAAAAGTCAATGTATAATATCAAAAATATGCTTAATTAAATTACACATGTTCTTGATTTAATGTAGCTCAATTAAAAAAAATCTTCGTTAATAAGCGATTTCCTGATTTGTAGCCTACACATAATACCTGTGGTAGGGCTATGCAAGTTTTCACTGTTGCACGAATTGGGCGGGGATGGACCAAGTCCTGGTATGTACCACGACCTCACAGAAGACCGGCGAAGTGTTACACTTCTGCCTCTGCATTTTGTCTGGTGAGTGAGGTAGCCGGGGCCCACTTTATTTTAAGCAACGCATTTGCGACCATACGATTGTTGCAAATGTCTATGGGTGGCGGATATAATTATGTCTTATCTATGTGAACCGCCAGCTCGTTTGTCACTTTTTCACATAAAAAACCTACTTTTCATTTTTTTGATTTTAATAATTTTGTTTACTTTTTCATTCCACCGCTTTTAATTGGTGTTGTTATTTTATAGAAGTGCCGTGTGGTAACAGCTTAAGAATAAGCCAACCCATCATATCCCGGCGGTGTCGTAAGAGGTGACCAAAGAGTACATGGAGGCGACTAAGGGGTAAGCCACAAACATCCGGTGGCCTCTGATAGATGGAACAAAAATGATGAAAATAATAAATTATTATTAATTAATTGTTTCATGTATTGGTCATCGTATATAACGATATATAGGACGACTAGATGGAGTAAAGACCTGTGCCGCCTGCATTCATCGACTTCCCACCTGAAGTAGGTCGTGATCGTGCTTCGTGATGGTCTATGGGGAAGGCCGATCTTCAGCAGTGGTCTCAAACAGGCTGAAATGGTGATGAATGAGTTGGAGTTAATACATATAGAAACTCATTAACAAAAAAAGTAAATATACACATAGTGACAATAAGTGTCTTGACGTATGAATAAAAATCGGACAGTTCGTAAAGTAAAACAAAATAGCAAACTGTCGATAAAAATTATAAAACATCCGCGTAATAAATTCTACATTATAAAAGTGTGTTAGTATATTATTTCGTAACTGCCTGCGCTCTGCAATTTAAAGATCTCTGTAAGACCGAGAAAGACTCTGGTAAGATCTTTAAATCATATCAGGTTACGGGCCTAGACTACGAAAATGGAAGGTATAACAGGAAAGCTGGAAGTTACAAGCCAAAGCCTTATGCTTACTACGCGCACTGTACCGTCGGCCCTAGAAGTAGTTGAAGGATCGTTCCAGGAACCCACTCGTCCACCTACCGGATGCGGCGATGCTGAAATTGGCGGCTTATCAACAACAGAAAGATAAGCTTGATAAAGCTGATGCCAGTGCTATCTTAATACTTACCACCAATATGCAAGAAGACACACTTCGAAAAGTTATGCGGTTCACTAGAGTACGTGATGTCTGGTTAGAGCTCCACAGGCTGTTCGACGGAACAAATGAGGATAAAACCTACAACCTGTGTATGAGTTTCTTCAGCTTTAAGAAGGATCAAGCAGACGACATTGCCACCCACATGTCAAAATTAAAGAACATCTGGACTGAACTGAATCAAGAACTCAAGAAGGACAATAACCAAGAGCTACCCGAACTGCTACTTGTTTGTAAAATACTGGACACGCTTGACGATTCATACTTCAGCTTCAGAAGTAGTTGGCTCCTCCTGCCTAAATCCAACCGTACCGTAGAAAGCCTAACCAGTCATCTCTGCGCATTTGAAAGGGCCCTGCAAGGTAACAACGCACCTTCGCATCAATCGGAAGCCCTGGTTTCGAATACGGAGAAGAAGGACAAGAAGCCTAAATGCAACTACTGCCTAGATATTGGCCACAGAGTACGCAACTGTCAAAAATGGATCCGTGACGGTAGACCTCCTAAGAGCCATAATCCAACCCAGACAGCAACGCCTTCTACTTCAAAAACCGCTAACTTGTTACTCATGTCTAGAAGACAACGAAATCTTCACAGTTTCACGGGGCAATGAGAGCTGGTACATTGATAATGGCGCGACAAGCCACGTCACCAACAGAGCTGACATTTTCCAAACCTACGAACATTTCAATCAGAACTACACTGTTACAACGGCCGCTGTTAATAAAGTCCGTGCCAAAGGCAAAGGAACAGTACAGCTCAGAGTATATGTTAACGGGAAACAAATCGACATCAGCCTGCAAGACGTCTGGTACGTTCTGGCCATAAGCAAGAACCTCTTCTCCGTACTCGCACTTCACGACCGAGACCCGAATAGCACCTTTTCATCCAGGACAACTGAATGCAACGTCATTGTCAACGGGAAAGTGTGCTTAATAGGGAAGAGACAAAAACAAGGTGGCTTATATCGACTGGAAGTAAAACACGTACTACCAGAAACACCACCCGAAGTATTTGCAGCTCCAGAGCAAACTCACGTTCACGAGGGAGATACACCCGAACCAATCTCCAACGACCATGATTATTTTCTCGAGGGAGAAGAATCGGATCAAGTCCTCCACGAAGACCATGACCATAAAAAAGAAACCACAGTTCCAGAAGAATTTTATGACGCTGAACCACCGCCACCCGGCTATAATCTTAGAGATCGCTCACTGATTCGACGTCCTGAGAGACTAAGAGATAACGTATCACTGAAACATTCCCAAATAATTTCACAGACGCTATGAAAAGGGACGATCGCGAAGAATGGGAAAAGGCAATGGATAGCGAATTGAAATCCTTCGAACACCAGAACGTTTGGACGCCGTGTGCACTGCCAAAAGGAAGAAAAAGATAATAGACCGCTTTCAAATGAGTGAGTGCAATCCCGTTTCTACACCGATTGAGAGAGACTCTTCAAGAAGGGAAAGAAGAAACGGAAGATTCCTGTTTCCCATATAGAGAAGCTGTCGGTGCTCTGGCATACTTAATGGTTGGTACTCGGCCTGACATTGCTTATGCCATCGGAGTTGTCTCAAGAAAGTTGGAGAAACCTGCAAAGACAGATTGGCTCAAGGTAAAACGTATCTTGCGCTACATCAAAGGTACCATTTCGCATGGGATCTCCTATAAGGCTGGTCTCAAACCTGGAATCCTAGAATCGTGTTTCATGGATCAGCCAGCGACAAACATCGGTTGCTATCTCCACTACAGAAGCCGAAATTGTGGCAGCTAGTGAAGCCGGCAGAGAACTAATGTGGCTTGCTAGAATATGCATTGACTACAATTGCGGGCGTACTGGTCCTGCATGTGGACAATGAAGCTGCTGTTCGTCTCGTTAAAGACTCTGGTAAGATCTTTAAATCATATCAGAATGAAGTTTAAATCGCGACTTAATCACGACACATCTACGTAGAACTGAAAAGAATTTATTTTTTCGATATCTCAGACCAATTACTAACACCCTACGTTAATACTTATACTTAATATACGAGGGCTGTTTAAAAACTATTTATAAAACCTTTTTTCTGATAAATGGCATTGACACTGGCCAGTTCAGTAAGTATATTCAGTATATTATAAAGTACTGGCCACTGGCAGGCACAATCTTTCAAATGAAGACTGTCAAAAATTCAGCAAAAAAAAAAAAAAACGGATTTTGTCAGTTTAACCATTGTGATCACTCGTAAATTTTCAACAACTATGGAAAAATCTGAATTTCGTGGCGATAGAAAATATTATTTATGAAGGGTTGCAGTGCTACTACTATAAAAACTGAACTTGATTATGTTCATGGCACTAACGTACCAACGTTGCAGGCTGTTTATAACTGGATAAATGATTTTAAACGTGGTCGGTCAATCACATTTGATGCTCCACGCTCTGGTCGCCCAACCGAAAACACTAAGGATGATGTTGAAGAGGTCCATAATATTGTACTCGACGACCGCCGAGTGAAGGTGCGTGAAATAGCTGAGAGCACAGGCATCTCCACTGAACGAGTACATAAAATCCAATGACAAAGCTGTTTACACGATGGGTGCCGCGTTTGTTGACATTTTAACAAAAACGTGAACGAAAGCGAAATTCAAAACTGTGTTTGGTTGGATATTTGGAGATTTGGATTGTTTGAGTCGATTTGTCACTGTGGACTAAACTTAGGTCCATCATTATACACCTGAATCGAAGAAGCAATCAATACAATGGATGGCTGATGAATGTGCCCCATAGAAGGCCAACACTGTTTTATCGGCTGGGAAGTTGATTGCAACAGTCTTCTGGTATGGCAAAGGAATCATTAGAATTGATTACTTGGAAGAGGCTTTCCCATTTGAACTGCCCGTTATTACCTCTTGTATTGACTGATGTTTTTGCTTTCAGTCCCGAGACTATTAAAGCTTCATCTGACGCAGAACCGGCGGGCTAGCCAGAACCCACGGGTTTGGGGTTTCCCTTATTACGCCCTTAGTTATTGGACCGTTTTAATGCCTAATTGTTAGAAAACGACCAAAATTGTCACCCAAGAAAGTCCTCTTTCATCAAGACAATGCCACAGTGCACACGTCAGCTATCGCAATGGCCAAAATCCACTAGTTGGGCTTCGAGCTCGTTCCGCATGCTCTGTATTCGCGGGACTAAGCCCCGTGCAATTATTATCTATTCCCAAATCCAAGATGGCTTAGAGGGCAAAAATTTTTGACAAATGAGGATTGCATCGCAGGTGTAAACGGTTATTTTGAAGACCTCATCAAAACGTATTTTTTGAAGGGGATTAAAAAATTGGAAACTCGCTGGAACAAGCCCTCAAAGGAGACTATGTTGAGAAAATGTACCTAAATTGTTTAAAAAATAT